ACAGAAGCGGGCCTTGGATTCCAAGGATATTTTCTTAAATACATTAAAGAAAATGAAACAAGCTTAGGTACAAAATGAAATATTTGATACTGTCTAGTCAATCAAAAAAAATATAACATTTAGTGTGTCCTAAACGAAATTATCCATACACATGCTCTTCAAACTATATCGATGTGTCGAGTGTTGTTATTCAGAAAAACTGAAAGGATTACCTCTGGTTTTGATTCATATTTGATTAAAGATCAATGATCAATTTTGTTACGGGCTCATACTAGACATATGAATAAATAATTTTGAGTACCAATTGATACGAGTCCTTTTCTAAGCGATAGTCGAATTATGTCAATCCATTATGAGTAAATCCCAGAAATACCCACAGAAGCTTCTCACGGTAAGTTAATTTTGAAGTTGATGGCAGGTGGCAGGCTTCTGGAAAATCCCTAATAGCAGGAGAGTTCGGGGTAGGAGGAAAATTTGTATAAGGCAAAAGGCAGCCAAATTTGGTGCCACTAGCCTTTATCGACTCTGAGATCTAGGTGTGGATATGGACGGACAGACGGGCATACAGAGCTAAATCGACTCGTCCTGTCATGCTTTTCAAGAATATATCGCCTTTGTGGTGTCTGCCACGTCTTCTTCTGCCATTTGCTCTTTGCACATACTTAATATATTCTTGTACCTTTCAGGTACAGAGTAAGAGTATAAGCAGCATGGGACCTTTAAATTTCAAAGTAATCTATTCAAGATTGCAATCCACTGCGACAGTCAAGTCAACTCATTTAGCACCAAGCATGTGGTACACACTACACGTACGTTTCTCTGATATCGGAGATACGCTTCCTTCCGTTTAGTGCAAATATTTTTGTTCATCACTGAAATCACTTGAGACGCATGCGTCTGAATGTAAATTTAATCAACGCCTGACAATTTATTTTAAGCAGCCGTTTTGTATGGAAACGATTGATTTGTTATCGACAACTTGCATACACAACACGTTTTGGGCATTTATTGTATTGTGTTTGCAAAATGATCAAATCGTCAGATGATACAACAGAGATGTGTGGCCACTCTGACGAATGCGTAATTAATGAAGCCAAAGCATGATTCCAACGGTCCTTGACAAGCATCGCTTAATGGCTGTCCGAGAACACGAGCAAATATTTTCACTTAATCAATGTCAAGAAATCTAGGCGCTAATGCTTTCAATTAGTTGCCGTTGGAGTGCTTAACCAATTATGGGCAGACGCAGCAGCAACTTATTAAACACGGCCAAGAAAAACTTTGCTATGATTGATAAGACAGTGACGGCCAGTAACCGACATTGGATTGTAGTCGGCAGGAGCTGAGCTTAGCGGCTGACCCGACCAAAGCAAACACAAGGCAAAAAACTCAAAAAGGCGGTAAAAGCCAAATGGGCTGTCGGCCCGTATTTGCAACGACCCTTGCACTATATTTACACATATTCCCTTACATACATATATATGCTATATATGTATAACTTACCCGTTCACATTTCAGCGTATATGTATGGTCTGCTAAGCATATTGAAAGGGCTCACGACAACATAAACAACGACGACAAAAAACAGCAACCAGAACAAGGACAAGTGCACAGGAGGAATGGGGGGCTGCGCACATTGTAAAATGTTTACAGTGTCATAAAATATCAGTAACAACAACAACAACAACACTAACAACGAAGCAGCACAAAGGCCAAAACGATGAAGGGCAAATGTAAGCGAAATTGGAAAATGATGAAAGATGCTTTTAAAAAAGCCCCGCAAAATAAACAGAAGGCAGTCAGGCGCTATGCGTTTTGTAGATATGCATCTTTGAGATACTACAAGTATATGTCGCAGCAACAGACATTGGTCATAGGATTGCAGTTGAAGGCCAAAAGGCATGAGTGTGCGTGTGCGTGTTGTGTATGGCCATGTGTGCTGACTCGAGTTCAAATGGGGGCCAAACGCTCGGCGGTCTCTGGCCAGTCCCTTTGACCGGCTCAGCCAATGGGCCACATACTGCAAAACATCACATCAACTGCTTCCATGGCGAAAAATCCACAAAAGTCTGCACAGGCATCTAAAAATACAACACCAGTGCTAGTGGAGGCGGTGACTGAGCGGAAGGGGGAGTCGCAGTCGGAGGCGTACACAACATGGTCATAAAATCAATAAAAATATCGCATTACTGTGCTCTTTGTTTGGGCTGGGCTGGCGCATGATTGATTTTTTTTCACAAATTTTGGCACATACCGCCCGATCGAAGAAAAAAAAAACAAGTCACTAGGCACGAAACTGTTGCATAATATGATATAAATCGAGAATTGTGCAATGTGCGGTGATGTTGTGGACACAGCTATCCATAAATGTGTGTCTGTGTGCAGGCACCTAAGCGCATTATAAAACGCTAGTCAACAAATTGAATTCAATAAGCGCCGCCATGCCGTATGATTTTTGGTGCCATTTTTCCTCAATGCTCGCTCCCGATATTATTTCCAATTGGCGCTGGAGGATTTTGTGCCATTTGTTATGCATGAGAGTCGGCGTGGCATAAGCTCCTACGAGCATGAATGTATGGCAATGGCACTTAATACCACTAAGCGTATTAGGCGATTGTTTTGCAACTGGAGCGCAATGCTCCTGAGGGCTCCTTTTTTCCCCATGAAAAGTAATACATATGTATTGAAGCATGAATGAAAGGAATACAAAGAGGACCCCAAAATTACATTCTCAATAATACATATTTATTTGATCAGTAATAAGGATCGAGCTCGAAAATGTTGTTCTCCATAAGTATCATTCAACTGAGACATTTTGTCAGTATTTATTCCTCTGCCACAACTTGAATTACTTACGTAGGACGCCCTTCCATTTCGAGAATAAGAAATTCTACGGTTGTTCAGATCACACATTTGCAATGTATCGTTTAGTATTTCTTAATTAACAAAGACTCAAAATGTGTTGTCATAATTAAAGGAACTTTAAAAGGCACCATAAATGCAACTGTGGACTTTCTTCTTTCATAAACAACTATTCCTGGGAGGATCTTTCAAACACGGCTATAATATAAGAGGGGTGCCTCCTCGGCATTAGTTTTACAAGTATACTTCCATTGACACATGTATGTTCAACGTTTAAAATTCCCCCCGAAATTCCGTGACCTTTAAAGTGACCCTAAAAACTTTCCTAAAAACTCAAACGTGTCCAGACATAATAGGGCAGAAACAGTTAATAACACGTTACAATTCAATAATTATGTGCTGCTCGTCCTAAAAAAAACGGACACAATACATGGTTTTATTCTTAAAAGGACATCACAAAAGCAATTCACAGAGAAAAGTTTAACAATTATTAAGCATTTGCATTAAATTATTTATACGTACGAGGTGAAGGAAAGTTTCACGATTTGTTCAAAAATTATATTAGCTGGTCTATAATTAATATTTATTGAATTTTGAACGTGATGTATGCACTCTAAGAAAACAATATTCAAATGAATTTCGACTTAACGAAAGAATTTTAGATACGATAGATATAAGGCAGGTTAATCACAGGATTTGTTTTCGAAAGATGAAAGGATATACTAGAATGTCTAAGATCAAATGAAAGCGTGGCAGACAATTAATTTTTGGTTTAGCTGCAATAATCAATGCAATGATAGCTTTACTTTAGAGTATGAAATTGTTTATACCCTATACACAAAGGGTATGCTAATTAAGTGCGAGTGTGTGTAAAGCTGTTCTGCCGCATCTTTGTACTGCACATAAACTCAATTCATGATGTAAATTCATATGTCCTCATGAGTTGAAAAATTTTTAATTTGAAAAATAAATTTATTTAAAAATATATATATATATTTTAGTGAGATCGAGCTGGCTCAATTCCACCCTTCATTCTTGTTAAATGAAGTTTGTAAATATATAATGCATTTTTTACTTTTTTGTTTTTTTTAAAGCTATTTAAATATTTTAATTTTTCTTAAATCGATATCACATATATGGAAATATTTCTATCTAAGTAGTAGTTTCTACCGTTCAATGCCGTAAAAATAGGATCGAGGAATTTTTTGGGTGGGTTATCCCCTTTCCCAAGTATGCATACAACTTTTATGTTCCGAATCACATCTGACAACAAATAGTTTTATTGAGAGTCAATTGTTGTACGCTTTAGTTTTTATTGGCTGATTTTTCCGCATGAGCAAAACATCCACTCATACATACTAGTTCCTATTTTTGCACTCACTACCATCTGTGGCGGACATTTCGACAAATCAAGCTTGCGAAAATGTATTCAAAGCAGAAGAACTCAAACAAACAATTTTGCGAGCAGCATCCATTCATTCCCACAGTTTTTGCACTCTGACACATTAATGCGAGCAAATATAGTAGTATAGCATACGTATGTGAGCATATTTCTCACCAAAACTATACTATATACAAGTATATTATATTTTTGATGTGGCTGAGATTTTTCGAAAAAGGTGAATATGTATGCTGATCTAATTGGAATGTCCGCGCAGATGAAACAAAATACAGGACAATGTACTATTCTCGTATAAATGGATTAGTATAAATAAGCCATTAGGCGTATTTATGTTTAATACAATTTATCACAATTCAGTTGAATGCTCATTTAAAGAGATTTAAAGCTCATGCATGAATAGCAAGAACATAAGTCGACAATTTTTAATGCTGACAAACTGACAAACAGGCAAATCAACATGCAAGGAGACTGTGTGGAGAGTGGAAAACCGATGTGAATTGGCTTAAATATAAATATTGAAGCATATGCAATTTTTAACGATTGATTCCATTTGAGACGCAACGAGCGTATCAAATCGAATACCAGCTGCACGACAGACAAACAGACATACAAGTACAAGTATATATACGTATGGCACACACCGTTGCATTTTACAATTTCCGGAACACACATAAAAGCCATATTTCCCAGCAATGATTTTTAAAATGTTTAAATGCTTTCCCCTCTTATATTGCAGTGCTGGCAAAAAAAACAACCGCAAACAACATTAATGGGTGCTGTGTACAGCCCCCCATAGCTTGGACACATCACTACCAATTACAACAACAGCGACAAACAGTTACAACAATTACAATAGCGGCCAACACGATGGCAACGTAATGAAAACGACACATAAAAGTTGTGTTGCTGCCGCCGTCGCTGCCGCAGAGGCAAGTGGAAAAATGAAGTCCGTCATTTTGTATCCTTATGGACCGTTAACCGGCGGAACACGCTGCTGTCGCATGTTACATGCAAAAAATTTGGCCATAACAAGTGCAATTTACACAATTGTAAGTACATTTTATTGAAATGTAAATGAAAATGAAAATGTAAAATTTTGAGCGGGAATACGAACACGAATGCAATGCAAATGGGGACGAGGTCTATGCGAATGTAGTGGCTGGCAAAGTGCTCTTGTTTCTACAATGGTAGTTGTAATTACAACATAATTAATACGAGTATTCAGGCAGCCGTGCCACAAAATTGCTGGCACAAAATTTTGAAGCGCACTTTCGTGCGACTGCCGCACAATTATCACGGCAGCTGCTCGCCCGCCCGACTACCAGCAGTTACACACTTCTCTATGCCATATAAATTACAATTACAAGACACTCACTTGTTATGGCTTTTAATTTATGTTAATAGCCGAATCGTGCTCGGTTTTTTTATACTGTATCCGGTACCCTGTACTATGCGCTTAAACAAGTACCTCCATCATAAACAAGAGCGGACGGGATAATTGTGTGCACAAGCCACGCCCACTGCAACAGGCTCTGACTTGCAAGCAAATTGGCTTTTTAACACTACCACCCATTGCAGAATGGCTGCAGGACTGCCGGTCCGTTTCGAATGCAATTAGTGCCACATTTTATTGTAGTTAGGCGCACTCGTAGTGCGTTACGTGTTTGGCATTCTCAGTGAACAGAGAGGGATCGAATAAGGGAGCAGCGACAATGGAAGTAACAAAGAAGAAATGTTGGGGACAACGACATACATACAAGTATATAGACCGTTCGAACTGCAAGGTACCAGGCAGCCCATACAGAAGCGACATCGCGAATGTGCCCCACCTTGTCCAACTGTCTAAAGCACGCCATTTTGCATTTATTTATCTCGGCTGTTACTTTTCATGCACTCGGCACCGTCCGAGCCGCTCCCCCTCCTCGGCACACGTAAATATTTTACAGATTAATTAGCACAGTTCGCAGCTTGCTCACGGCTCACAATTCCGCCAAGTGGGAGCCATGCGCCACGTATTTTCACTTCGTGGCTTAGTCAAGTGCTTAAATTATACAAATTGAGTTCACACAACAGGCAGTGCAGGGCGGGCGAGTGCAGAAGAAACAAATAAGAGAACGACCTAGTGTCGGGTTAAAAGTAAAAACGTGTTTTCCTACCCAACACATTTAAAATATTGTGTGGGGTACTTTCGCCGGCAACGGGGCGTATGCGTGTTAAGCTTGCTAATGCCAGCTCTTGCCTTTCATTGCCAGAATATATCACTCTTAATTGTCCTGATCTACTCGTGGCGCATCAATGTCAACATGCACAAGTCTGGTGAGCTGCAGGATGTCTACTACGGTAAGTCCCATGCCCATAAATTTTAGCAATTAAATACACACACACACACACAGGTGCTTATACATACATAGCAAGACAGCCAAGAGAGCGACAATAGCCTGCTGTGGGAAGCATAATAAAGAAGTCGTTTTAATAAATAAATTAAATTTCGGGCGCTTCACTTGAGCATCATAAACGAAGAGCAACTTTTTATACTTACCTTGAAGAAAACGGCTATCTAGGTTGGCATTGAAGCTAAAACATTTACGGATTTCCAGAAACTTGTAAACTGCATATTAGGAGCAATTTCACATTAGCAAGTGGATTGTTTTTATCCGGTTGTCCCAACTTTAAAATACTCTGCATATATGTATGCATATGTGTACAAAAATTATAGAAATTACAAACAAACAAGAGAGAACGCTACAGTCGAGCAAGCCCGACAGTAAGATAGCCTGTACTCTCCACAAAAAAAAAAAAAAAATTTAAATTTTTTTTAAGTTAAATTATTTAAAAAAATTTAATTAATTAAGTAAATTAAATTAGAAGCTGCGGGCAGCGCTGCCGGCAGAGCTGAAGGCAGTGCATGAGCAGCGATTTATTTATGGCAAAATTGACCTATTGAATTGAGAATTGACAAATAACCACGAACTGGATTTATATGCCAATTTTGAGTTCAAAATTCCAAGAATTACCGGAGTTAGGAGAAACATGAATTGCGGGGGATTGGGGGGTGTATCAGAAAAAAAAACACAAACTCGATCTGCCTAGGGATTAGGGGAACCAAGTCAAGTTTGCCAAGTTTGGTTATCCTAGCTATTGTACTTGCTGAGATCGTTTCGCTCATACAGACAGACGGACGGACGGACGGACGGACAGACGGACATAGCTATATCGACTTGTCTTGTCATCGTGATCAATAATATATATACTTTGTGGGGTCTGCCACGCCTCCTTCTGTGTTTTACATACATTCACACAAAACTAGTATTGCCTTTCACCCTTTGGGTACAGGCTGTAAAAATGTAAAAAGTAAAAAACAAGTTTTGATCGCTTTCAGTACCTTCATTGGTAATGCAAGGCTTGTGGTATGCACATTATATAGAAATGTGAGTGCATGCATGTCTATGCGTGTCTATTCGGGTCTGTGTGTAAGCATGTACTTATACAGGACAGAGTTTTATGAAATCAGCAAGGGCTTTGGCAGAGATTACATTTATTGCTATAACTTCCTTTAAAGTGGGCCTACCTTAATAAAACTTGTTATACGGACTCATAATCATAACTGGAGGTCAAATTGCCAAATTTGAGTCAAAAATTCCAATAGTTGCGGGAACTATGGAAAACCATTAATTGCGTGCTAGAGGAGAGAAGGAGGGAAATCCCGAAAAACACATTTTCGAATACCCAGAAAATATAGAAGACATATTGGACTAAAATTTGGTGTCCTTAGTTTTTATAGTCTCTGTGATATGCAGTGGCTGACAGCTTATTCGACCCAGTCCACAGTAACAATTTTAAATGGGTTTAACTTTTAAACGAAAACAGATATCAATAAAAATTAAACGCAGAATCGTAGATTAATATTTAAACTAATGAATAATGACTTCATTTTTTATTTATTTTAACCTTTTTTATTTAAAAAACAAAATCAAAAAATTCAATAATTCAATGTCACAGCTTATTCGACCCACCTTAAAAAGTATTGACAAAATACCAAATTAAGGAACAACTTCGATATTTTAATACTTAGTATGACATCCCTGTTGGTCTTCAACTACTTTTACTGCCTAAAACATCGACTCCACTAATTTTCTTGCCGTTTCCGGAGAGATCCTTGCCCATTCCTCAGCAAGTGCAGCTTTTAGGTCATTTTTGTCGGATATATTTCTTTTCCGAATATTCATATCCAAAATCGGCCACAAACTTTCAATTACATTAATATCTGGTGACTGTGCCGGCGGTTCCATAAAGTGGGGACAGTTCCATATACAAGTACTCCAAGCTCGCACAATTCCGGTCGTGTGCTTTGTATCATTGACTTGGTAAAAGCGAAAAGTGTCCTTTACGACAAGATCTTCAGCACTTTTGAGCAATTTGTTTGTCTGAATCTAAAGGTTCGTATTTTTATGGCGTTAAGCTCATACAGATTGGGTCGAATAAGCTGTGAGCCACTGGAAGAGATTATACAAATGGCATGTGTATCAAAAAATAAAACAAATGCGTTTCAAGAATTTGGTGTTTCATTCTGTTAGTCTCCAGGTGCTCATACAGATGGACTGGCAGACAGGGCTAGATCTACTCGTCTTGTCATGCTGATCAAGAATAGGTATACATACTTTGTGGGATCTGCCACGCCTTCTTCAGTTGGCAGAAGACATTACTATACTATACTCTTATACTTTTCATCTACAGAGTATTAAAATAGGAACAATAATGCTAGAAAAGAGTCTACTTCCCACTTTAACTTTTATTGCTTTCAAAAAAACCTTTGTACCTTTACCGTCTTTAGCATCGCCTTTGTGGCAAAATTCTCGAACCACCTCGCATCTCGCCGGAGAGGGATAGACTATGTGAATACTTTAAAAAACAAAGAGACACATAGTGGTATGAATTTGCATAAAAAAGTATGTAGTAATGGTGGAGTAGGGAAAAAAATGCTCAAGCGAGGTTCCAACAAGCACTTTTTTATTGAATAACATATATGTATGAGGTTGGTATTTGCGGAAAGTCAAAACCAATAAACGGTTCAAAGGAAAAGAAGCGTAGTTCATCATCCGTTAAAGAGATATCTATTTGAGGGGTCAGTCGATGCAGCCCCATAACTCAGTAGCTTTAAAATAAGAAACTAGAGTGAGTTACATCGAGGAGAAACGAATCGTGAGATACTGAGTATGGCGGTACTCCATCTATGAATTATTTTGGTTGCGGCTCACCTAATTAACCCACGCCAGCCTGAAAACAAACTCACATACATACTACTTAATACACTTTAACATCCTATACATATGTATGTTAAACATGTATGCGCATGAATATTTATATAAAATAAACAAGTGTGGCACATGTGATAACTGTCGCTTTTTCTCTTTCATCTTCCGCAGGTGTACAAATTGCATATTTTGCCATAATTGGCACACAAATGTCCATGATTTTGCTGAGCATTGTGTTGATATTTGGCATATGTCGGGTAAGTTACATGCAAGTACATACATATTTGTACATATGTCGGGTGTTTGATTAAGAGCTTGTGGCGTTTTACAAAATTGCACAACACATTTACATGCACACTCACTCGCGCAGTCACGTGAGCTTGAAAGAACAAATAACGACAAGCACACACACGCACACACACATCAATGCACCCATACACCCATACATGACGCTCACACATCAAATAACTTCAAGTCAAATATGCGAAATTATGCGCATTTCGTGCCTAAAATGTTTACAGCAAAGCAAACAAAGCGCATTCAAATGTAAATTACGCAACGCCAGCCATAGGCAAGCATCACAAGCTCGTACTATACTATACCATGGCTCAGCAAAAATACAAATACAAATACAAAATAAAAACAAAACACAATGCCAAATGACAGCTCTGGCGTGCCAGCATCAGGCATCAGACTTCAGGCACGGATCCGGCCGCCAAACGGCGTGTTGTTCAGGCATGCAAGGGTTGCCCAAAAAAATGCCATTGACAGTGGCTGAAATGTAGACAATTTGTCACACAATTGGGCCCCTCGCTGGCTGCCGCTGCCGGCGACACATGACGCAAAGATTAGGGCCCAAACGACTAGCACCGAGAGCCGAGAAACGAGCGATAAGCGCGCAATGTGTGGAATTTTTTAATTTCGACATCGAGCCACAACCAAGCCAAGAATAGGAAAACAACAGAAACTGAGCCCGCGACTTTAACCGACCAAATTATTCTTCACATACTTGTAGTATGTATTCTACATTAATTGCAGTTGCCTTTCGGGAGATGGGAGACAAGTCGTGACTGCTGATCATATTTGCATACATTTATAAAACAATATTTATTTATGGTATATTTAAATAATTAAAAAAGGTTTCATACGACTCGTACGGATTTATTAACAAGTGTTATCCATTTGATAACTGCTCTATAGGATTCAAGCTTAATATCTTACCGCCACTCTATAATTGCACAACACAGGGCTTTTTGTATCCTTGAAATATTTTAAATTACAAAAAAACTAGAGAACAATCAATCTACCTTCTTGTAAATGCAATAAATTCCTTTAGTCAATCCTAATATGCAATCCACTTTCTTATAAATTCAAGTAATCCCTCTGCCATTAAAAACTATATGTTATAATCGTAATGACTGCGTTGTTGAAAGTTTTCAACACTTGGGAGTTATATAAGAGCCATAAATGTACTTCGAGCACGCTATTGGGCTTTTTTTTATTATATCTTTACTCCATTAGTACAACTATAGTTTTCAGATTGTATGGTTGACACAGGCAAAATCAAGGGCGTACGCAGCTCTTACCAAAGGGGGGAGCCAAAAAATTAAAATTTTCATTAAATAATAGTTTATGCATATGATCAATGAAAGAACTTCAACAAACCCAACTCAGTTTCATTTTAAAGCGAAATAGAGCGCCATAATAATGAGCGTGTGGTCGACTTTTTATGGCAAACTTTTTTGTAGCCCCCTCCCCCCCCCCTGCGTACGCCCTTGGGCAAAATAATTTGCTTTTAATTGTAAACACATTTTAATAGACATTAATTTTAATTTCTGCAATTTTATATAACCTTCAATGCCATTTGATGCAAAAGAATGATTCAAGAAATAAGCTAAACATATTTTGCGAATAAGGGGAGCATGATTTGTACGCAATTCGTACTTAAAAGTTTTAGCTAATTTTTTGGACTAAATCAAATTCGAGTAAACGCTTTTTGTGTGACAACTCAAAAATCATATTTTACAACATTTCTGTGATTAACCGGAGCATCTAACCATTTATCCGCCAATCCTTTCGCCGGTCCTTCTACCTTTCTTATTCAGCAGCTGGATTTCTAAATCGGTTCGAGCAACAGATACCAGACATGTCTGCTTTTCCAAAAGCAGGACGAGTTTATTCTTTTATTGTTGTTACATACATCCCTCTGCCTCTAAAGAATTTGACTAATCCCAAGTGATTTCCAACGTTATCAGATTTTATTAGGCAGTTATTATAAGGAATTTAACATAATACGTAGACATCACACCGCTGCTCCATTTTGAGCAACAAACACCTCTCGTGCTGCTTTGCGTACCACTTTTCCATTCACGTTGGTTGGCAGTTTGTCCGTGAAACGGACCCCAGCGTTTAATTGTTTCTGTATCCCAGTCAATCGCTTCGCCACGTGCTCCTCGATGTCGCGCGCACTTATTGTGGAACCCTGCCTCTTGACCACCAAAGCACCGGCGGCATCGCCATGCCGTTCATCATACACGCCCACTACACAGACATCCTGCACCTGCTGCAGTTCGGCAATGACGTTCTCGATCTCGGTTGGCCAGTAGTGCAGACCTTGGTACTTCAGAATCTCCTTCTTGCGATCGACAATATACAAATAGTTCCGATCGTCGAAGTAACCTAGGTCGCCCGTGTGAAACCAACCTTCGTAATCTTGCATGCGTCGCGACTCAAGGGGATTACCGTAGTAGCCGTTCCATGTCTGGGAGGTATGCACATATATTTCGCCCACCTCGTTGTGGGGCAGACTCTTGCCATTTTCGTCCACAATCCGAATTTTAATGCCCGCCGATGGCTTGCCAGCCGACGAGGCATTGCTCAGACCGATGTTCACCGTAATGCCACCCACCTCTGTCATGGCGTAGGCACAGGTGAAGATGGCGCCCTTGCATAGCTCCCGAGCCCGTTCCATTGTAGCCACTGATGCCATGCCTCCGCCATAGCTCATCATGCGAATCGGAGCTAAGGCCTCTGGTGTGGCATCGGGACACGTCGTTAATGCGGCCAGATATCGAGGCGGAAGTACTGCATAGCTGATTTTGTACTTGTTAACCAACTTTATGAAATATTCAGGATTAAAAGGCTGACTCGTTATGATACGAGTGCAACCAATGAGGGTGCTGGCAACGAACGCCCACAGACCTGTGATCCAATCCAAGCCGCTCTGCACAAAAATCACTGTCTCGCTGGTGATCGGTCTACAAGGAATGGTTAATTCAGTTAAATATACATTTTAAAATCGATGGAGCTGATTCAAGCATACACATTTTCCGGAATCAAAGTGCTGTTGGACATGCAGACCGCCTTGGGCAGACCTGTGGTGCCGGAAGAGCATAGAATGGCCATAGTTTGTTCGGCGCCAGACTTAAGAGGTTCGGGTCTGGGGGAAAAAGATATATATAAAATAAATAGCTTCGACTATGAAGTCACAACGCTGACCGATTAGCATTTAATGCGATAAAGAACTATCTACAAGCATCGTGCTATCGGAATACATGTAGAACAAGCATGCTTATCTCACTTACGAGTAGAACATTTCGGTTGTGGTGGGAGTCAAAAGACTTTCAATTGTTGGCACTCCTATGATGGGATCTGTCAGAGTATATATTTCAGGTTTCCAAGTAGGCGATGTAGTAGCAGCGTAAACCTTTGCATATTCCTGACCATCACAGAAAATGAGCGTCGGTTTAGTTATCTTGAAAATGTGCCGTAGGGTGTCTGAAGCGAATAGAGTCCTTTAATTATTTTTCCCTTTAAAGGTCGGGCCAAACAAACCTTCATCCAGCATCGGATTAATGGAATGGAAGGGTGTCGTGTTCATTAGACAGGCCACTCCCAAAGGCATTACATATGTAGTATTTTTTGCGGCGATGCCGATTACGTCTGTATGGTTGAGGCCACGCTTCTTGAAGTGCTGTGCTAGGCGGATAGCCCACGCCAGACCTTCCCCATTAGTCACCTTAACATCTTCGGTGTCATATATCTGCAAGAAAACTTGAAGTAACCCCATAGTTGGTGGTACATTGAAACTTCTGACACACCTGAAAAACATTCTTCGGCCAGTTCTTCATTGCGTTAAATATCAATCGGCCAACAGAAACGTCTTCTCCGTAAATGGAGCTGCGTTTTGCGCCACTCCAGATCCTATTCTTCGCATCGTAGGTGGTTGGTATATCAAACATTTTGTCGTTACGCAATAGAACCAATCACTAGTCCACAATAAAGAGCTGCCTCTGCCCAATTCTGTGTGCACTGTCATAGAGCAATGAAATCACTAATATCAATGGTAGCCACACCTGCTGTAGTTTCATTGTGAAAATCCGCGATATTCCTTATCACTATCACACAAAGAAGTTTAAATCACGCGAATCGTGCCAAGTAATACATAGTCGCCAGGAAACGGTGTTCATTAAAACAAAAGCTAAGGGCGCACTATCAATACACAAGTATATTAACTTATCATTAATATTAAATGACAAACCTCGATTAGCCATATTCCCATGGTGGCTACGTAATCTCTGGCGATAATGCACAGTAGCTCCATATGGCCATATTAATATACTCGTATACTAATCAAATCAAATCAAGAACACTTAAGGCAGTGAATTCGCAAAACATCCGATACCCTACAACACTGCACCAATTTGATTTCCTTAGTCTTAAAAATAGAAATTATAGTAAAGTTGGTACCAGGTGGCCCAAATACCCAAAAAAATGTAAGTACATAGCCATTGCATATGACGAGCAATCACGAAACTTGAATGCCTTCAACCATATTATTGCCTGACTTGTGTTTTAAATCTTGTACTTTAGTTGCCTGTTAATTTCATACTAAATTAGCAATTTCTTTTAAAAGCGATTCCACTTGTTACGAGTATTGGTTGCGTTTATGAACGACCTCATCAATTGTTTATGGTTTATTTGCATTTCATAATATTACGTGACATTTTAAATATGTTTCAGTCATAGAATTAAAAAACCTATAATTTAGCTTCAATGGAAACAAAGAGAAGAGAAGAGAAAAAATCTCATCTTTGCGCCGAAAATCAGGAAGTTTTGTTAAAGCAGTTAAAAATAAGTTACAAAAATACCATTAACTCAGAAACTATACCAATTCGAAACATTATTTTTAACACTATTCCAAATAGCATTGACTGCCTTCAAATCCATATACAATTTTTATATCAAATTAAGGCTCTAAAATGAAAACAAAATATTTTTAAAAAAATATTGTATACTCCCTTTTGCTTTTTTGTTTTTATATTTTTATTCAAATTCTCGTATTTTAGCAGGCTAGATGTCTGGGTGGTTTTCATTTGATAACCAACAATAACAGAGTATACAGTGATTAAATTTAAATATTTCCGCCATTTTTATTTTTTTCTGTATTTTGCTTCGAATGCTGAATAAACAATAAAAATCCGTTCTATTCGTTCTACAAGTATTTCTATAACAAACTTTGTTGTGGAATGTGCAAACTCTTGTTTCTCAATGGCAAAATTATGTCAATGGCATATAAAAGTTTTAAACAATTGTTCTTCTTGTTTTGTTTTATTAGTAAGAGAATAAACTACAATGTGGCTGCACCATCTATTTTTTCATTAGAAACATTTCTTACTTATATTTCATCTAACGAGTTATGTAACATTCGGTATGAAATTAGTATTAGTATTAAATATCTTTTGAAGCGAAAAAGTATGTTTATCATGTTTCCATGACAGATCGAAAACGTTAAAAATGTGTGACGAATAGTAATTAAAATAGCCAGATGGACTGAACATAATATGATGTTCATAAATGTGGTGCATACCAAAAACAACTTAAAATTTTCAGTACGCAGCAAAAATATATAACAAGTGGAAAAGGTAAAGGCAGATGTATATAGAATAAGAGAATTAGTATTATGGAATTTGAAGAAACTTAAAAAAATAATTGTAACGAAATTGTTATATATACCGAAATTGTATATACCGTCCGTCCGGACGGAAAGACATAGATCGCCTTGTCTTGTCATGCTGATGAAGAATATACTTGTATATATTTTATGGGGTCTGCCAAGCTTGCTTCTGCCTGTTACATTTTTCACCTCCTGCAAATCTAATACTCTTGCACATTTCCTATACAGAGTACACAAATTCGATTCAATTATTAAGGGGAACGCAGCGCAGCCATGCTTCATCGCACACATAGAACATATAATTAAAATCGCACCCAAATTAATCTAGTTGTATATAACATAAAATATTGCTTCTTAGTTCCTATGCTTTTTCTTCTATAATGATATCATAACGTAAACAATATTAGTATAGGGTGTAGGAGAGGTTAATTTGGACCTTGAATTCTTGTCAACTTGGCATGGCTATTTCCCGACGTAGTGACGTGCTGATCAAGATAGCACTTTCGAATATGCAGGAAAACAAAAATAAGCAAAACATATGAGCTTTACGCGTTTGCAAAAGGCATTGTTAATACCTCTACGAGCAAGTAGATAGTGTTATCAAAAGTGATTAACGATCTCTTCAATGTTAAAATTTGTTTTACAAGGCATAAATACGAGTAAAACAGTTTTTTTAGGAGCCGTTTGGCTCGACAATCAAATCAGCACATATGAACATATTAAACTGAATGGGAAGGAGATAATAATGTCTACGGGAGAAAGATATTTCCTTATGAAGAAAAATATAAAATTTAACAGAACCATGCTAGTGGATCTGTATTTTTGCAACAAGACTTCTTGTGTCTATACGATCGTACCAACCTTAATCGTAATAATGGATATATTACTGCATTATTATATACATATTATTGCATTCTATGCAAGGAGCGCAGGCTGTTTACAAGTAGATCAAGTTTCCCAGCTCAAAAAGATTTTTTTTTGCGCAAAGCGTAGTTGGTGGTAGAGCGATGGAGGCTTAAGGGAACAAAAGATCTTCTAGGTCTTTCGGGAACCATAAAGTTAATTTGGCTAACAAGCACCGAAGACTCGATTTCCTTTTTTTACCACAAGCAAGACTTCAAAAAGTGTCGCACTTTTTACTGAATGATTTTGATGAAGATACAGTTGATTTTAGGCCAAACTACGATGGAAATGAAACAGAGCCCACCTGAAAACGAGATGAACGTTTAAATCGTACCAGCCCGACTTTCGGATACTCTGAACCCACCGTTTTCAACGCGATAGGCGTTCAACTGAACTGAATTCTGTTTTACCAATCAGCTATACTTGTATAATATAGGTAACAGATTTAGTTACTATAATTTTGCATTGATAAGATTAGTGTCCCTTACTCACCCGAAGAGATGGACAGACGGATTTGTCTCGCCATATATGCTCGTAAATTTTTATCTGTTACATACATTTGGAGTGTGATGCACTAGATGCAATTCTGGGAATACTCCCAATACACCTCATGGGAAAAATGAACGCCACGCTGGCGGCTCTTCGCATGAGAGAAACAAACCAGTGGTCAGAAGAATGCTTTGGCCATGCCAAAATTCTGAGGGGAAATGACAATATCCCATTAGTCACTGACCACTTCATCGCAGAGGAGTATCCACTTACTCCTTTCCACACCATCATTCCCTCTAGGGAAGATTGGAACTTCGGCTCGCCAGGCCCAACCAATTCCATCAAAATATATACAGACGGTTCTAAGCTGGACAACCGCGTAGGCGGGGGTGTCTTCTGCGAAGAACTCGGAATCAGAAAAGCCTTCAGGCTACCGGATCACTGCAGTGTGTTCCAGGCGGAAGTAATAGCCATTCAAGAAGCTCTTCTTATACTGCCAAGCCCAGCCACATATACCAGAGAAATCTGCATTTACTCGGACAGCCAAGCGGCTATAAAATCCCTTAACGCCATCACGTCGAACTCGACGTCAGTACAGAACTGTCGCAAATCTCTTCACGAGATGGCAACACAGCTCTCTATATACCTCATTTGGGTCCCAGGCCATAGGGATATCGAGCCTCCTACCAAATATATCGGCACTAGCAAACAAGAAGCCGATAGACATCTTCAAGTTCATCCAGGCAGCTGCCAAACACGAGTATTTTGGGAAGTAGACTTGTCCATGCGGTATCACAACGGGCCAATCTCCAAGGCCTAAGTGAGTCGGGGTGCATACCCTGGCTGCCGCTCCGACCTACCTACCTACATTTGGAGTTTAGAAATTATAGTATACCCCATAACCCTTCGAACTATAACAAGAAAGGAATGCTAAAGTTGAGCAGGCTCAACTCTTAAATACCCTGTACCACCCCACAAAAAAGTAATTAAATTAATTAATTAATTAAATTTAATTAATTAACTAAATTAATTTAATTAATTAACTAAATTAATTTAATTAATTAACTAAATTAAATATAAAATATTCCATGCATGCATACATACATTTACATTTACATCAGAATCGTGCCTTATGCGTGTTTGTGTACTTGTACATATGTATGTATGTGTGCATTGGGCCTGGTTATATGGCTATAACTTTCTTTCCGATCATTCTATCATAATGAGACTTGGTATACGGTTATATAATAACTAACCTAATGTGACTACCAAATTTTAGTTCAAAATTCCAAGAATTACGGGAGGTATAGAAAATCGTTAATAGGGGGGGAGTGGGGGGTGGATCAGAAAAAATGAACAAACTCGTCCTTTCTCGGTCTCAGGAGAATCTGTATACCAAGTTTGATTATTCTAGCTCTTATACTTTCGGAGATCCTTGCGTTCATACAGACAGACAGACGGACAGACAGACGGACAGACAGACGGACAGACGGACAGACGGACATGGCTATATCGACTCGGCTTGTCATGCTGATCAAGAATATATATACTTTGTGGGGTCTACCAAGCCTCCTTCTGTGTGTTCCATGTGCACTCGCACAAAACTAATATACCCTTGTACCCTTTGGGTACAGGGTATAAAAATAAAGCAAATACCGTACGGTTGGAAACAACAATAAGAAGCGTATGTAGAGTTTTGTTTTAAAACTCGACAATCTTGCAATGATATTCCATGAACTATTCAATACTAATCTCAATTTCTCAATAAAAAGTGCACTTTGTATGCACACTGCTGTCAGAAATGTGTTTGCTTATTCCAATGGTCGATTTATTATACAAGTATAAATGCAGACTCGGAATATAAATGGGAGCAGCTACACATTTTTAATTGAATTCAAACTCCATCACAACATTCATTGTCTGTGAACCCAATTTAGCAAACTTAGCTCAGACACAACCAGTGTGTGCGAACAAAGTCGAGAGCGTTAACTGCTAAATAAATATTAAAAACCTCGGGCTGCTGCAAATTGTGCGGCGAATAATGTCAGGAACAGAAGTGCAGGGAGCATCAGCCAGCCACCAACGACTCGCGAAGCCGCACGCGAAAAAGCGCTGAAAATCCAATCAGAGGTTTACACAATGGTGAGATAAATTACAGCACACATACACACCCACATAAACGCATTCACAAGCCCAAATACGCGAATTTACACCACACCCATATGCGCATACGTATATAGACCATAAAATATTTTATATTGTAGTACGCCACGAAATCAATACCGCCATTTTGTTGGCAAAAGGTGTAAAATTGCTTTCATCGATTTGTTTTGTGATTACTTGTACAGTTTTTAACCAAGCTGTGTTTTGTTCTTTTCTCCTTCTTCACTTTAGGAAAACCCCGGCCTAATTGTACCCTGGATAATCGGTTATATCACCTTTATGGCTTTGGAAGCTGTCGCCATGGTTTACTCGAATGTCTTACGCGATCATGTGAATAAGGTAAGTGCACGGACCTCAGCAATCTCCGCGCCACAGAAAGCCTGGGGATTTGTTGCATATTTCAGATGCTTAGCTTCAGGCCATTTGTTTAATGAAAAAACGCTCGGTTCCATCCCGATGCGCCCACGCCGGCGCTCCTATCAATAGTTACTCCGCATTGACATAAATCAATTGGAAACAAAACAAGGCGATAGCACAACACAAATAAATTACAAAAGCCCACGAGTACAGTGACAAAGAGGACAACGAGTTCCTTTCGTTACGCCGGGGGAAATGTAAAACAAAGCAGAAAGGGAACGAATCCGTTACATGTGTTTAAGTGTTTTTTATGCAAAAACGCGTAGAGAGTTGAGACAGAGTTTCGTCGTAGGCGGCAACTGAATACCTTTCCCTCTAATAACAGTTAAGTAGCTGATTTAGCCAGAAACTTAGTATAAGCTGAAAAAAAGCTAGCTTAAAAACTGACTATCGTATTTTAGCATTACCGAGCATTACCAAAGAAATACTTCAATTATGTAACTTTTAAGTAGCTTCGCTTAACCTTGCATAGTCCAGGTAGTTTTTATTGATATGAAATGTGCCCTTTGATCCTTTTTAAAAAAAAAAAGCAGGTATTCAGCCAGAAGAACTTTAACTTAAAACCGTTTTGCTAGATAGTGCTGCTTTAATTTATCAAATATTGGTCCACTAAATGTACTATATATGAGTACTAATTTTGATTCCAAAATAGGATGTTCTCGCGTGTTTATTGGGGCTACCCCGATCCTATCCATCCCTATACCAATCTTTAATCGTGCATGTTCACACTTATGAGCTCGATAGCTCTGAAGCACAAGTGAGTTGGCGGCTTCCTTTGAACTGTTGCCGGACTAAATAAAGGGCAGCAACCCCTATGACCGACTGAAGGACAAAGAATACTCTAGGCTAAGCACTTTATTCCAACGCAACACAAAGTCAAAGCAACACAAAGCGCGTGTAGTTGGCGTACCAGATACAAGTACTAGCCCAGAACATCTACAACCCGGATCCCCCTTTTGCACATACAAACATATGCATAGATACACTCACTGACTGGGGCATTTGCTGTGCCACTTTTTTTGTGGCCCAGCTCGTGTAACGTTTCCAGTTTTTGCGGCGACAAAAAAACAAAAACACAAACTGGGGAATTTATTTGTCTACGACATTTGTTTTTTGTGGCTTTTTCTATTAGAACGAAACCGTTACTACTGTTTTTTTGTTTTTTGTTATTGTTGTCTGTTACAAAATTGTCGCCTCATGCATAATTTATTGCAATTGCGAGGTAAAAATTCATGTTTTTTGCTTTGGTTTCCTTGCCAAAACTTTTACGTTGTGTGAGTTCCCTCTTTTTTCAGACAGTTTCGGGCAGCTTTAATGACTTCAACTTTAATTTGCATGCCAAAGGCTGCCGCTCAGTAGTCGGAAGTTGTCGAAAGTTGTCTGAACCGAGTCCGAGCTCTCTATTGTCAAGGCGCCACTTTATCCGCACTTTGAGTTTCGTTGTTAGCAGTTCTTTTTAAGCACCTGTACTGCACTTATAAATTAAATACGCTCTAATTTATTTAATAAAGTTTTCCATATTTTACGCTTTGCAGCAGTTCGATGCCATGTGCAAGGCAGAGGTGGCCTTTTTCATAGCTCGCGCATTTATCAATGTAAGTAGCAAAGTTTTTCTTTCTGTGTGACTGTGTGCGTGTGGGTGTGTGTGGGTGTGTGTGGGTGTGAATTTGCTCTCCGCCTTATCACTTGAAAAGCGGCCCAATAAAAACGCGCCCTAAAAGCATGCTATAAAATATTAAACCACTACATTAACAAAGAAAACACGAGAGAATGTTATGCTCAAGCAAGCCCCTACTCAAATACCCTGTAGCCGGTGTCTTATATGCGCCTGCGAAAAGAAGAAGAAATCAATGCCTGCTGACGGATTGCCATTTTACATTGATTTGTGTTGCCACGCTCCAATTTCCAGCCATGCCTGTTTTACCCTTCGAATATAGGGTATAACAAGTTGGCATGTGGGTGGAATGAACAATGCGTAACAAATTATTGACTGCTTGGACAGTCCATGACAGCTGCGATAAAAACACAAAATGTCAATAAAAGGAAATAAAATACTAAATCATCAAAAAGCAAGCATTTTGCAGAGGGAAAAATAAATTTAAATTATCCTTTTTTAAATTAATTTGCATGTAAATAAGCCCATAAGTTCGTGGAAACAAACGAACATTTTAGTTTTGTGCAATTGTTTAATGATAATATTAGTATTGATAAAAATCGCTATCCTGTGCTCCAAGTCACATGAACGTATATCGACAAACCAGATATTTAAAACGTAGGAAAGTTTACATAAAATGGTATAATTGGTAAAGCCAAATATTGTTTATCAAACATATTTAAGCAAAATATATATCGATTAGATATTAAACGGAGTAGGATTTTATATACATACAAGTATTACAACGCAAACTATATGTCTCCGTAATCATGGGTCACATGTAATTAATAGACGTTATTGTACAGTTTTTTCTTAGGCCTTTTTGTCTTTTGAGTTGAAATTATAACGTAATATTATTACAAATCTTTATTTTAATTTATAATATTTTAAAATATAATATAAAACAAATCATAGTTTTTAAATATGTATCGAAAGCACAATTTGTTGATTTATTAAATTAAATAAATAAAATAAATAGTATACCCAGCACCCAAATGGATTACTGAGAATGTATGTAACACGCAGAAAAAGAGAGCCCACAAAGTACATATAAAGTATACAAGTATATCCGGATAGCACAAGCATAATTTACTCTTTTATCCACTTATAAGGCATCTGTGTGCAACAATTTGGCTCTATCTTTTATAGTCTCTGAGATCTAGGTGTTCATACGATTTGTCTTATCATGCTGAATATATACACGTATAGTTTGTGGGACTTGCCACTTCTCCTTCTGCCTCTTACATTTTCTAGCTTATCTTAAACTTTATGTACTTTTGTACCTTTCAGGTACAAAGTATAAAAGCGAAAAATACTTAGCCCAGCAAAGATAAGTAGACCTGCAAGTAAAGTTTACATAACAAATGCATTCGCCTTCAGATACAATTTTTCTGAAAGCCCTTATAATGCGATCTATTTTGGTATCAGATAAAATCATTATAACAACTTTAGTGGGAATGTGTTGCTCCTGAAATTTCCAAATATTTTATCACGATCCACTTAATACGTACATCAGTGCTTATTTCAACTGCATCCTATTTGACCCCCACCATCAGAGGTTTCCACAGCATTAAAACCTCACGTTTATGAGTCTGTAGTGAGACTTGGAAAGCCAGCATGGAGCGGTGAACAAACCCAATGGTCAGGAGAGTAATTGCCAGACCAACGAATGATTCAATCTTTCGATCATGCACAGCGCCACAGCAAATCTCCTTACAGAATCCTATTAAACGGCATATAAAGATGCCGCCAAAGACGCACAGCCAGGGCACCATATGAGGGGGTGAAACCTAGGTACAAATCGTCAGAAATTTATGTCGATGTGGATAAAGTAAGGCCAGGGTATAGAGTACTTACGAAAACTGTCGCGTAGGCCAGTAAAAGCCATGCATTAATCGACACAAATGCGCTCACATAGCGCAGCTGACGGGCTAGACGACGGGGTATTATATAGAATCGGTGATTATACCACATTGTCAGTCTCTTGGGGTCCTCGGTAAAAAAGTAAGCCGCAAATGCGTACATGCTCTGGAGCTGTGCGATAAACAAAAAATGAAAAGGTAGGAAAACTTAAGGCTCCGAATACTCATACCGCGCCATACAAGCTTAGTACGAACAGCATCCAGTACAGCAAGGAGTAGCAGGCGGGCTCGCCTTGACAACAGCTGACTAGATAACGCTTCCAATAGCGTAAGCGGGGCCCCTGAATCAACGAAACTAGCCCTATTGAGTCGGTGCTCTTGCAGGCGTCTGCAATCACATCAAAAGAACTTCCCAATAGACACAACTGGTGCTCAAAAGGTACCAATTGGAACATGATGGAGATGGTAAGAATATTTGGAAAATTCTAAACTGCCAAAAAGTAATTGACTATTAATTTTTTTTTAAATTGAAACTGTGAGCAGACAACAAATTTTGCGTTGATCGATGAATCAAATCTACCTCAATCGACAACATTACAACTAAAATTTGTTGCATGCGTTCAAAAATTCTACACAAAAACATCAAATATTCAAAGAGGAAGAAGAGGGATTCTGCTGTCTTAGCTTTTATTCATTTTATTCATATATATGGCTGAAATCGGGAAAATCCATTCACTCGTGTTACTTATGTTTATTGCAGATATCCAAAGAACTCCACTAAGTTAAAGCTAATGCGCTACTTCACTGTTTAAGGAAATTCCGCTATCGTCCTTAGCGTTAAGCTTATCGCTTATTGGGTCTACACTTTCCTATATTATCCCAAACCACATATGTCCACATTATATTAAATTGAAATTTATATAAAAAACTCAACAATTTAATTTCTGATCCAATTATAACTCAGAATTGTACATAGGATCAAGACCGATTTCATTAGATTCATTTTTAGGGTTGACGCAAACGTACAAATTTAAGATAATAAGTATAAATAAACAAACCAGTTTTAATTTAAATAATAAAGGAGTACTTTTGAAGTAATCATATTTGTATGTGGATAAGTAGTGAAATATATGAAATATAGTGATGTCCATTTTGCAGATCATATATTATTTGCTCTTAAGATGTGTAGTTCCCTGTTGCCTAAAGATACACGAATTCGTAAGTCGCTGTACAGCAAATATTATTATTATATATTATTATATTATTAAAAACTAACAAAGATTTATATATGAATGTATATGTATGTATGTATAAAGTTTTCTGTTCCAGGTACTTAATGGTCGAACATTATATACAAGTAGTTAGTTTCAAATTTCTTATAGCAGTAGGTATACTCGTATGTACTATAGTATGTATATCATATCTTGTCACATTCTCACAAACTGATGTATGCTGATGATGTGAAGCTCGTTCCATCTTTCGATGGTGCTTGGTTCACCAATTAAGGTGCCTTAACTGCTCTAAAAGCAAGCTGATTTCTTTTCATCGATCCAGACCTCATCTAGTCACCTTTTCATTTATGATTACGATTGACAAGGAATTATTGCAACGTATTTTTACTGTCGAAAATCGTAGAGTACTTTTTGATCTCAAATTGAACCTCAATCTGCACATTTCTTCTAAATAAACAAGAACAAGGGCGTTCCGTGTCCGCAGTACAAAACGCAACAGGATCGAATTGAGTCTGTTCAAAAATAAGTCCTTCTTTTTTAATTAATTAATTAATTGTGAGCTTCTCTGTTAAGTTCTTTATTTTTATATTGGTAGATCTATTGACGCATCTGATCACACTTGGCTGTGAGCCGGGGCATGCCTAGTCGAAAGGCGTTTATTAGATACTATTGTAATTATTTTAGATCTCTCCTACTTAGGCTTTCTGAGCTTAAAGGGTTTTTAAAATAATTTTTTATGTATATTCTTTTCCATGTAGACAGGCAATGTTTGTTAACATAAATATAAATAAATAATAATTATGTGTGTATGTATATCATGTAATGTAAATAAAGGACTCAAATACAAAAAGAAAAACCCTCTCAAAACTTGATTATTTAAAATTCACAGTCTTTGAAAATACTTGCAATCTTTGTACATACAAGTATGTGCATGCAACTTGTTGCTACGCAACAAATTTTCCAAAACCCGATTTATGGCTTTGCGAATATGCAAGAATTGTGCGTTTGTCCACCGCTATTGTCGCTGGGGTGAGGTTTTGATCGATAAATGTAATACATAAATAATTTAATTACAAAAAAAGTCCATTAACATCAATGGAGAGACATAAAAATAAAACTGCAACGGCATTGAGGCATACGCGTGTGTGTAATGAAGTGGAACTCCGTATATGCAGGCTAAATAGAATTTACGGCACTTAATTGTTGTTTATGCTTTTACTTTCAGGTGCTGGCCATGTGGGGAGTGCTGCGCTTTTACAACCTGGTGCGCTCGGGCATTACCTGGCGCGGCCCCGAGGTGAGTTGAGTAACGGAAATGCTGGGAGGAGCTGTGAAGTGGCTTCTCTTAAATCGTGACCATCCATTTGTTCTGCAGGCCAAGACCACCATCTTTGCTCCCATCTACAAGAGCGTCAGCACACACAGCAACCCACAGAAGAGCAAGCGAGCCAAGAACCGTCGCTATAGTGATCTAGACAGCGGCTGCTGCGCTATTTTCGACTTCGACCTGGACGACGAGGATGATGAGGACGACGATGATGACGCGGTGGGCTACGACTACGATGACTACTGCGACTATTACGATGAGGATGACGATGATGAGCAGGGCCAGCTGCAACAGGAGCAACACGATGCAGCCGACTGCAGAATGCTGGGAGCACCAACTCGATCTCAGAAGGCGCGCCGCTCGCGCACCAACAACAACATACGCAGCGTGCTGATCAACAAGCGACACAACAAATATAAAATATCCCGTCCCCAAACCCAGCTGGAGGTAATCAATGAGTCGGAGCGCAGTGCGGGCAGTGGCAGCGATGAGAACGATTCTCTGTTGGTGGCCTATGACAGCAGTTCGTCGCTGGCGTCGGTTTGACATTGGCCGCCATGCATTGGAGTTGCAACAAATGGATGTGCCGCTGTGCAGCAGACCGAAGAAGATGACGACTACAGCGTCAGCAGCGAAAGCAGCAGCAGCAGTAGCAGCAGCAGCACCGACAGCGACACCACCAGCACCAGCGATGATGCCAGTGCCAGCTCAGACCCGGGCCAGTATCTGTACGGCGACCTGCATGGCAAGCAATCGCACCGTTCAGGCCAATGTGGTGGTCAGCGTCAACGCCGACGTCCATTGCGACGCGTCTACTGCGCTGTAAATGCGCTCCTCATGGGCCTATTGGTGGCTGTGGAGGTCTACGCACAAGTTGCCATATTTCTATAGGAAAATGTGGGGAACAAGCGAAGGTAGACCTTGGTGATTGCTCCATGACCCTTGCCAGAGGCCGTGTACAAAAACTTCCGTATAGAACAAGTTTAATGTTTATTACATATGGGTAACCAAACGCAAGAAAAAGCTTTAATGTAAATGTAATTCCATGTCTAACAAATACTATAAAAATATATAAGTCCCTAGGAATATACTATTCTTATTAATCGCATAAAAGTATTCAGTATTCGTACGGTGGCTTTAATGACCCCCAAGCTACTTTTTTTCATTTCCCGACTACCTTCCACTGATTATAAATATATTATTTAGAACTCGTCCTGGACAACTTTTAGCTTAAATTATGTAAGTTACTCTAAAAATGTCAAAACGAACCAACTAATAATAAATATTAGTTATTAGAGTTTTGTTGAGAGAAATGCTTTTCTGCCACATTGAAACTATTTTGTAAATCAGACATAAATACAAGTAATAAAATATTTACATTTTAAATATATTTAAACACGCGTTATCCATAGTTTGTAAATAAACCATACTAGTATGCCTATTAGAGCATAAATGAGGATAGAACAAGAATAGCATCAAAACAATAATCATATCTGTAATTGTTGAATAGGTATATATAAATATAGGATTGTATATTTAAGGTACAGTTGCGCCAAAAACCAAATAATAAATGTGAGTTAATAGTTAATCGTATACTGTATACTGTATAACAACAAATTATGAAATAAACAATTGATATTTGTGCAAAGGAAATGCGTTATCGGTTGCAGACTCGATCTCGAAACGTGATCAGCACGTGTTTAAATTAGCCCGGGGAATACGGTGCGTATGAGCTATCTGATAACACATTGACGTTAAATGTGAACCAAAATTAATCAATTGATAAGTACATCCCACACGTGAAGCACTTTCTCAATCAGATAGCTAAGTGAGCCACTCATACTTGTACACGTAGTGCCAGCTACGTAAGTCGCCCATTTAAATGCTATCTCTCTTAATGGAACCACAATTTGAAGGCGCGTGGCTTTGTTCACAGTCAATTAAAGGCGTGCAGTGAATAATGAGTGCAACTAATGCCATCGGATGTCGCACTGCCAGATGCCACTCGAGCTGAAATAAATATGTACAAAAAGTCGTGTTGAATTTTCACTGAGGACTGTTTACCCCGAAGACAACGTGCTCAGGCGACTTGTCTGCTGTAATTATAGGAACTCAGGAGCACAAAGAATATGCTACTAATTGAATGCCCCACTATGCAGTGTGGAAGGAGTGTGGCAACTGGCAACTGCAACAGTTCTATCTAGCATATACTAGAGCTGTGCATCAACTTCATGTTGGGCCAGGCCCTGGCTGAAGTCTCATTTTGACTGCAACAAGTATATTTTGATTACATGGACGTCAAAGTGGATTTTGTTAGACCACCACAGTAGCATTCCAACTCACTGGTGAACACAACACCTAAATATACCCTGAATGCTGGTAACCTGCTCTCGTGACATGGAAAGTAACTGGAGAATTGTACAGACAACATAGTAGGGGAAACCACTCTGCCCCAAAAAACGTGGCATACAAACAGATTCACTGAAATAACACAAAACAGAAATACTACAAAACTTTTCCATAATTAGAATTATTTATTGCCGAAGCCATGTATATAGATAGTATCAGACGGCGGTCAATTTCCTAACATGTTTATTTCTAACTGGCATTTTGAGCACCAAAAAATATCAGTAACAAAAAAGTTAATTACCAGTTTATTTCATTCCTAATTAATTTTGAGTATTTTCAATAATATGGGTAGGAATCGGGAAATTCCAGAAGAGCAAGCAACCGAATGTGAATTGCGAAGTGGCTCTACTTTACTGAACGATGAGAACCAAGAGAGCGAAATGCTAAGAGTAGCGAACAATTCATCAGTCCGTACCAGAATCTCGTGAGCTACGCACTTATCACTGAATCCTAAATATATTAATGTTATTCATTAAAGAACTTATACATATATATACACACACAAAAAAAACATCTAAGCCAACCTGTAAAATATTAAAAAAACTATTAAACATAAACATACTACGTCGTCTCTTGGTTATTTCACCACTACGGATTATTGGAGACCACAAATGTATGTATATGTGAATAAATATTTCACCAGCAAAACAGTAAGGTATACCATGTGATAAATGGGGAATTTTTTAATGAATGCTCAGTTAATAGTTCATTTAAAAAATATATTACCTCTTACATATTATTCTTGTTGGCAGAAAAAGTTAGCCCACCTCTACTGCGGAACATTTTTTGTTGCACCAACACCACTATCAGGATTTCTCTCCAAACCCACTAATGTTCAACACATTTCACTTGGAAACAGCGAATAGCAACGAAGAATTTAATATCAAATATTTCAACAGCCCCCCCTGACTTTTTGAAATCTGAAGTAATTTTCTCTTAGAATATGCAATTATTTTTATTCACATTTAAACAAGCAGACCACCTTTAGCAGTCAAAGCAGGCAAATGCTTCACCGTTTTTAGGAAGTCGGCCACCTCACAAGCGTACGACCAACCGGCCTTGATGTCCGTCTTCTTCCAGCTAATGTATGTAACTTCATCACTTACATCATTACAGATAACGTAGTCCTTCTTGATCTGCTCCTCGGTTAAGTGAGGGTTATTAACACCGACAAATACAATACCGCGGTGGGTGGAGGGCTCGATCACAACACGGAAGTACAACATGGGGACTGGAATCAGGCCGTTGTTGTTGGTGTCGTGAGACAGATACAGGGGGGTCTCAACACCGTCCTTGTTGGGCAGCGTCGTAACGCCCCAAACACCGGTGTAGCAGTTAACATTCATCTGGTTCTTGGATACCCAAGCGCGAACTCCATCCTCCACACGTGCCCAGTTGCCCGCATTGAAGGATTGCCACTGAGGGGCGGCGTTGATGAACAGGAAAGTAGCGCGCTGCTCAGGAGCGTAATTAAAATCGGCCTTGGCGCCCAAATGACCACGAGCCAAGAACACACTAGAGGTGTCGAAATATTTGCCGGCATCGTAGCCGAGCTCGGCATTGATGGTCTCCAATTGAGTAACCTGAGTATAGAGTTTGTCAACGTTCTTTCCGCCAAAGAAGCCAGCGGTCTGGAAGGTAATGCGATCCACACCGGTTTCGTAGTAATTGCTACCAGGGAACAGCTGATGGCGTGTGTAACGAGTCACCTCCTCCTCCTCGTTGAAGCAGATTTGCATTTGCTCGGCGAAGCGGGACGAACTGATTTGGAATCCAACACGAATGACGACGCCTCCGTTGCATGTAGCGCCGCTCTTGACAGCAGTGAAGCCCGGCCAGGTCTTGCAGGCGAGCTCCTTAATGTCGTAGCTAGTGCCGTCCACACGGAAGGTGCTGCCACTGACACAGGTAGCAGTCAACAGGGTCTGCGAGTGTGTGCTGAAGGCTCCAGGACACCAGAGCTGCATTGTGCCGCCTGCCTCAAACTCCATGACTCCGGTGCTAGAGAACGGATAGATATCCTCGGAGTCGGTTTTCAGATACACGGGCTGGGGGCTGGGAATACCGCCACGGATCGTCACACTGCAGGCTGTAGTGGCTCATTAGAAACTGTTCACTCGATATATCTCTTACTAATGTTGTTAATGATATCGACATTTCATGAGCCAAGGTTTCGAAAATATAATTACACAATTATTGTAAAAAGAACACTTTACAAAAATTAATTTTTTCTCAATCATTGAAACTTTCTTTAATTAATTGATTAATTTTTAACAGGATTCTTGTCTTTCAAATATCGATATCAATCGGCACTAGTAATCCCATTTCCCACTTACCAGCAGCACGTGATTCGGGCAAGGTTTCAACATAGACAGCGCGTTCGCGAATTTCCTCCACCTCCACCTCGGGCAAGGGCTTCACATAGATGGCGCGCTCATAAATCTCATCCTCCACGATGGGCGGTAGCTCCACCTCAGGCAGTGGCTCCCGCGGCCAGGCCCACGCGGCATTTAAACTACACACTCCCAAGAGGAGCAGCACGGAAGTAGCGAACTTCATTTCACTTCTAGCGACTATGGCTGGCTAGGCCTAATGCGAACCCGTTTAAATAGTCCACTGATATGGCGCATTGGCAAAACCACTATTAGCCATATTATCGGGCCATGCATAATGAAAAATATTTTTAGCACATCTACGCTTATCACTAAGTCCATCCAAAACCAAGTCCAAGTCGAGTGCTGCTGTTATCAACGAGCCCCATTCATATTCATTTTGCTTGAATTACTTGAATTTGTCTTCGTACGTTTTTGATTTGTCTGCTTGGCATCGCAAATGTAATTGAATTGATAAGCACGAGCTCGCTAATTGCGCAGGACAGTCGCTTATCACTTTACAAATCCGCGATGACAAGCAGCAGGACAACGAAAGTACATAAGTACCTACCAAAAAAAAAAAAGATAAAAAAATTCAACAATGTGTCAAAGTTCGCTGGCCATGGAGCAATAATTAATGAAATGTAAAGTGAGCAGCGACAGGCGGCGCTACAAAAACAGCAGGAACAACAACAACAAGGACGCAGAACTGTAAAAACAGAGCAGAGCGAAAGAAACGCAGGCAATTAGGCTGAAGGACACGGACACGGACATGGACACAAAAAAGAAACAGGATGGCGACCGTACTGCCTCATATAATTTGTGAAAATTGATGATTTGTTTAGATTCACGAATGGGCGAACAAAACGAGCCAAATTGGCAGGAAGAAAGGAAAACGTGAAAAGGTAGCCAAGCTGCTTGCTTGGAGCTCAGCATTGGAAGGTAACACTAATTGATTTGATACAGATAAATGGGATAAGCTCGGCATCGGCAACAACATGACCAACAACAGAGCCGAGGAGCACAAACTTTCTTCTTGGTAGGGAACAACTAGTCTTATGTGGAGTATCTTTTTTCATAAAATTGCATTACTTGTTGATTATAAATTATTAGGCGAAATGTTTATATTGAAATTATGAATTAGATTAAATAATAAAGGCATAAATATTAAATATTAAATTGGTAGGGAACAACCAGTCTTATGTGAAGTATCTTTTTTCATAAAATTGCATTACTTGTTGATTATAAATTATTAGGCGAAATGTTTATATTGAAATTATGAATTAAATTAAATAATAAAGGCATAAATATTAAATATTAAATTGGTAGGGAACAACCAGTTCTATGTGGAGTATCTTGTTTTTATTTCATAAAATTTAATTACTTGTTGATTATAAATTATTAGCGCAGCCAAAAGTTGATTATAAATTATTAGCGCGGCGAAATGTTTATATTGAAATTATGAATTAAATTAAATAATAAAGGCATAAATATTAAATATTGAATTGGTAGGGAACAACCAGTCCTATGTGGAGTATCTTGTTTTTATTTCATAAAATTTAATTACTTGTTGATTGTTATTAGCGCGGCGAAAAGTTTTTATTGTAATTATGAATTAGATTAAATAATAAAGGCTTAAATATTAAATTGCACAAAGTTCTTTGCCATTTTCTTCTTGGTCGGGAACAACTAGTCTTATGTAAAGTATCTTGTTTTTTTCATAAAATTGCATTACTTGTGGATTATAATTATTAATGTTTAATGTTAAATTGCACAACGTTTTTTCCAGTTTCTTCGTGATAGAGTCTTGTGTAGAGTATCTCTGTTTTCCTATTTTTAATATAATTTAGCATTTAAAGCATTTTAGAACTTTAACAATACATGCTTACAAATATAAAAATAGTATTAATAAGCAAGGGGTGGCTTATGGTTTTATAATTGTTTTGGAAGACCATAATCGTTTTAGCCAAGGTCTAGCAGGAAGGAGTCATCTTACAAGCAAACTGCGATGCCTCAGTAGCCTGTCGCTATATTTGTGGAGAATCTGAAGTAATTTCTCATTTATTGTCTCATTTATTGTCTCGTAAAACTGTTGTCTCTTTCAACCTAGCATTATTCCAAGTTAGTTAAAAAATGTTATACAAAGTTTAATGCTTAGCGTCAACCGAATGCCCTTGTAGCCAACTTCAGCACGGAACATCCTACTTTCCTGTCTTCTGTCTCCAATAAGTAGTCCCATATAATAATAACATGTGGGTGTTGCAAGCATGTGGGTGTGTATGAGGCAGTCGCCCGAGATACCTTTGATTGATAAGGCTGCCTAAGCGTGTTTGTTCAGCAGCAAATCAGCAAAGCAGCGAAGGAAAGACGTCGAACATTTTGCACCTTTTCAACAGGTTTCAAAGCATTTGTGCTGAATGGGCTGCCAAGCAGATTGAAAGGAGGAGTGCAGTATACGAGTCGAGTAAAGGCGCAGGCGGAGGAGCGAGTGCGCTGGGATCCAGGGGTAGGCTTACATGTGTCTCGCGCTCTTTATGTGCGTTTGTAAGTGTGTGCAATGATGGATTAAATGTATTTCAAAGGCGTGAAAGCTAAAAGGTAGCACTTTGTGGTTACATAATAAATATAAAGCACACTTCAATTTGGCTTAGCCGCTATTGAGCCCGGCGCACAAATGACTGGCAATACAGGCACGCAAGGTCGCCTAAAGAGCCCACTGTATAAGGCAATAAAATATATTGACTAATTGTCAGATGCATTATGGGGAGGCTTTATGCAAATCACCAGCAGATACGCAGTCAACTGAAAAATCTCTGATAATTGGAAGGAAGACGAGCCAACCTTTTTGGGGCCACGGCTACACATGTAGACATGTGTATATTGGATTTGAACTGCTGCTGGCAGTCTTATTGAAGATGATCAGCGGAAAACATAAGAATATAGGTATATCAGAGTTGTGAACCGGCACACTAGCTAATGCCTTGTTTTGCATTAACTTACGCCCAATAACGCAAGGAAGCGTAAGGAAGGAGACCCTTCTACGATGCCCTTTAAATACAAAGTGATGGTTGCCAACGAAGTGTGACACCTTCCTATACTTAGTCCCTTAAAGTAAAGCTCCGAAAGTAAGCACACATTTAAGAAGTATGTATAAAGAAAATAAGCAACAAAATGAGAGAAAAATATAAAAGTTGGACACTTGCAAATGTTTGTACATACGAGTAGTTGAGCGTGACTAGGAAATAACTCCGTGATTAATGGACAATCTAATGTCGGGCAACAGCATAAAGCTGGACGGCAAATTACTTAAATCAGTCATGACAACGAGTTAAAGGGCAAGTTGCTCCAGTAAGCTTGGCAAGCTTCAGCTAAAGCTGGATCACGCATTAAGAAGCAATTACGACGCAAGACGGGAGAGAAAAAATCTCTGTCTGACACATGCGACAACAGGGGGCAGATAGGCTGTCGCAAATACAGAAACAACAACGTAAGCACTCGCAAGGGGTCACACTCAGATACGCAATGTCGCAGATACACACACACACATTAACACAATTACAATCTGCAGATGTGTGCTGGCCTTCAAGGGCATGTATTGACTATCAAAAAAAATCCAATTAAAAGTGATAAAAGTTATTGAAGCGTTGCATGTTGTGCGCTTCCATGTTTGTGTTTATCTGTGTGTGTGAAAAGCAACACGAAAAGTGTACGAAAATAGCTTTACAAAGTGGCACCATTAGTGCGAGGATAACGCTGATTGTGACGGCCAGATTATCACAAGTTTGCGTCTGGCAGGCAAGGCCAAGAGACGTGAAGGCGTCACTCGGATATGGGAGCAGCGTGGGGGAACGAGGCGGCATAACATGCTGAGTCAATTTTTAAATCAATTAGAAATAAATTTGCTACGTAATTTGACAAATTATAGAAATACAAGGTGCTACATACTTGTATATATTTAAACAGACTCCGGCAAAAGTTAAAGGAAGTAAAAGTTATTTAATGGGACAGCTCAGCTAAAATTTGTTGTTTTTTTGGAAAGTTGATTTAGAAAGTTTGTGTTTGCCAACCACTTGAAAACCATCACACCTCTTTATAAGATAAAGTAGATTGATAAATTACAAGTAGGAAATCTCAACAGTACGCATTTTAAAGATATACAACTAGTCAAGGGGGATTACCCAATGGAGTGGCATAATTTATGCCACTATACTATTTATGTTTTCTTCAAATAAAACAGGACGACAGACGGACATAGTTTTGTGGACTCTGCCATTATTCCCTCTGTGTGTTGCAAAAAATGTGATTCCCTGATATACAAAATACTCTATAACATGAGTCCTTTCGGATGTTTTAAACTAGCACACCTAAAACCAATTTACATGATTTTAAAAAGCAGCTTAAGCAATACGTCGGCGCTTGGGTCCATAATATACCTCACCAATTAATGACCATGGCTACCAGCAACTCAAGCGGTAGTTCCTTAATTGCTTATTGTATCAACCATATACATACATATGTACAGACATACACAAATATTGTACACTCAACATGACCAATTAATACTACAAACACGCTGTACACTCTTCATTCAACGCAGCAATAAATACCACAACGAGAAAGGAATGCTAAGGTCGGGCGAGCTCAACTCTAAAATACCCTGTACCTCCAAAAAAAAAAGGAAAAATGAAAAATAAAATTTTACATAATCACAAACTGGATGTAATTGCCAAATTTGAGTTCAAAATTCCAAGAATTACGGTTACTTATGGAAAAAACACGAATAGTGGGGAAGTGGGGGCGCATCAGAAAAAAATACAAACTCGTCCTTTCTCGGAGTTAAGAGAATCTAGACCCCAAATTTGGTTATTCTAGCACTTATTCTTTCTGAAATCCTTGCGTTCATACAGACGGGCGGACAGACGGACGTGGCTATATCGACACGTCTTGTCATGCTGATGAAGAATATATAAGCTTTGTGGGGTCTGCCAAGCCTCCTTCTGCCTGTTACATACATTCGCACAACACTAGTATAGCCTTTTACCCTTTGGATACAGGCTATAAAAACTATATCAACAACAGTCGACTTTCTCTTTTTATACCCTGTACCCGTAGGGTAAAAAGGGTATATTAGGTTTGTGCAAAGTATGTAACATACAGAAGGAAGCATCTCCGACCCCATAAAGTATATATATTCTTGATCAGCATGACGAGAGAAATCGATCTAGACATGTCCGTCCGTCTGTCCGTCTGTCCGTCCGTCTGTCCGTCCGTCTGGATGAACGCAAGGATCTCAGAAACTATAAAAGCTGGAATAACCAAAGTTGGCATCCAGATTCTCCTAAGTCCGAGTAAGGACGAGTTTATTTTATTTTTTGGAATTTTGCCCCCCTTCCCCCGCTACAGAATTTCGTCAAAAGCGTCCACATTTCAAATGCTACCTAAACCAAACTTTTCACACATAATTTATATATAATTGTCTATTGTTGTTAAAAATTTTATTCAATTCGGTCAATTCCAAGAAAAGTTATTAGCAAAACAAATTTTCGCCAGAACAACCCCCACAAACTGCAGCAACAAGTTCACTCTTCTTCTTCCTCTTTTTGCTGCTGCTATGGGCGCATATAACTCAGTGACGCAAGTTTACCTGGGTACAGGGTATTACACTGTCGGGCTTGCTCGACTGTAGCGTTCTCTCTTGTTTTTATAAAGAAAGGGGCCCCTGCAAACAATAATATTTACATGTATCCACGGTCATCTCTCGTATGAATGTTGGAACGTTTCGAAATCGAAAACGGTAGTTAACAAAAGGCTTACTACTATGGACACATACAGCCAGTAAAGGAGAACAAATCATTAAGGCATCATTAGAAAGATGCCCAAAATGAAAAAAGCGACCTAGTTCGAACCCCGATGTAAATTGTTTGACAATTTACTATGTGTATGGTTTGTATTTTCTTTGGCTTATACAAGAGCTGTACCCGTACAACTATATATTATAAACAAACGCATACAAACTAATTAAATAAGTCACATTTTTTCATTGACTATAATGCCCTTGTAAAGGCTTTTCACGTAGTTTTAAGATAATTTAAGGGTATGATAATGAAGTTGCCGCATTAGACTTCAGAGAAAAACGGGCGTACACTGAAGCTGTCTGCGAACAGCATAATCGCAATGCAGCTTCTCTACAATTAAAACACTTGTAATTTTAAAGCCGAGCTGTGCCAACGTGTTGTTCTTTTTTGAGCCAATTATTCTTGTATAGAAAGACACGTGTCTTTCTTTTTAAATTGGTGAACTTTTCCTTTGCCAACTGGCAACTTACCGGCTTTAGCCTTTATCCTTTTGGTTTAGGGTAAAAAAACAGGTTATGAATCGCTTCAAAAACAAAGACAGGGTACGCTTTTTAATTATTCTCTTATTAGAATAGTAAGTTCCTATTAGAAAGCTTCAAAACTCCTCATTCAGCTATTTTACAAATACATACTGGAGTTATCCAGCAGAGCTGGAGGTCGCAGCAATTTAACATTCAAATTTGAAAGTTGCAGGCGTTGAGATGTGTTGGAAAGCGCCGCTGTTGGCACCAAAAAGTCAATTAGTATTGACAAATATCACACAAAACGAGCAAGAATTTACCATCGCCTGAGCCAAAGCTATAACCCTTCTCTGTGCCCTACAATATAAACGAGTTTTTGTCCGTTCAATTGACTTTTCTTTACAAGTCATTTTTTACCATTTTCGCACTTGGCCAACTTTTGCGAACCATAAATGATTTCACAGTACCATCAGGGATGAAAACATCATTTTTTAAACAGCTATATGATGTATTGGTCTGACAAATTAGCGAGGGGGTGCAAAGCGGGCAAATTAAATATGGTTTTTTTACAAAATTCAGTCTTAACTATTGTACTTTCAGTACTGAACTTTCGAACTAAATGGATTTTAGATTTCTTTATCTGCCATCACTTCCTTCTGTTAACTGCCCCGAACCCAGATACGGCTCCCATGCATGTGAGCTTGAAATAAAATTCTATTCAACTAAGAATTCCCTTAGAAATTCTTTTTAGAAAATTAACTAGACTTAATACTATAAATTTGTTTTCAAACTGAGCTCCCATTAGAAAAATTATATATTTTCCTCTCCGTTTGCACTCTTCCTTATTTATTTCGCAGCCGTTACTATTCATATAGATTTTAATAATGTTAAAGTATGTACACGTATGTATGTATATATTTATCATAAATACATAAATTGATCATTTACATATGTAAGATAACAACATTTGAAATTGTTAAATTTTACACTCTCGATGTCGCACGGTACCAACTTTATATTAGTTTATTTTTTAGCAATTTTTTTTTTAATTTTATTGCGTTTGAAATTGTTAGATGAACACATTTTCATTATTTTTAAAGTCATGTGTTTTTTGTGTAGTGCAAATAATTTGATAGTAAAACATCGGCCGCCCTGGACTAAATCCTGGCTACACCCATGGTGTCCATCAAAAAGAAGCCTTTGTGCAATGTGAGACGAGTTGTAATTACAACAAACGTCGAATAGGCACCTCGTCATGCTGATCCTTAGCCATTCTTCCCTATGGATGTTACAAACTTGTACACTTTTCAGTCAGAGTATAAAAAACGTAAACAAGTAAATGTGAAAGCGGAATACATATTAATGAAATGCAGCTAACACAATCGTTGTATTCTTAGAAATTCTGTTGCTAATGAATACCAATAAAAAATAAATGTAGATAGAACATAAAGTAGATAGAACAACTCTATCTATCAGCAATATATAACCTTTTTACTATATTTTAACATTCGATCTAGACACTCACGTTAACAATTGTGGGACAAATAACGTTTTGTTTCTAACGCAAAACAACGAGCCTTTTCCGCCACAAAAACACAGCTAAATATCTTTGTCCCAATTTTAATGCCTATTGTTAAGTTATTACGAACGCCTGATATATGGTTAATAAAGGATTTTTTACTTAATATCAAAAAAGGAGAATATCTGTATTTGCAAACAATTTTATTCAGCAAATAGCTATTGAAGACAAAGCTTGTTAAAAACTTCTGTATGAAGCTCTTTATTATTTTATACTATTACGCTTCATTTACTTTGTCCGTGCTTTAAATAATTTATGTAATTGCCGATTGATTAACTTGGACGCCGGCTGTCAGCCACTGCAGAAAATTGAGTTTCGTGAGACACGGCGTATACTTAATGAGTGTGGAAGGCGCTGAAATCAGTGGGCAATTGTTATGCAATTTTTGCCATTATTATATTTAATATCTTTACGCCACCGACTCGTAAAGCAATTTTAAAGGGTCAATATGCAAATATCTCTTTGGAAGTAAGGGGGTGGATGTATCTATGTGGTTGATTGTGCATCTGTGCGTGAGTGCGGGCCACATATAAAAGTGTCGGTGAAATCGAAAACACCGAACAAATTGTAACGGAAACGCAACGCAAAAAAGCTCGCAGGACAAGAAAACTGAAGGAAATGTGGAAATAGGACACAGAGCAAGGATGAACTCGTTAATATTCCCAGTGCTGGGAGGAAGCTGGTTTTTGTTGGCTCTGTTGTTAGTGTTGTTGGCTTGCCCTGTTGACAGCAATCCGAGGACCGGAGCCAACACAAACGCGAATACTAACACCAACACCGTCAATGCCACTTTGTCAGCGATGGCGTCGGCCACGCGTGACACTGACAGTTGGCGCGATCCCTGCGGACAATTCGGTGCAGCCAGAGAAGCAGCAGCAGCTTGGGGCAATCAGTTGCCGGATATGCTAGTCGCTTATTTTTGCCACCATGGCGTGTACAGTCTGATGCTAGTCGTTTGTCACGGGGACATTGGTGAATTACTAGCGCTTCGAACGGAAGCGTCACTAAATTTATTACCTGCACCCAATTCCTTTTTCGCACTACCTATTATTCTCTCTCTTTCTCCCTGGCAGATACTGAAGAGGCTCAGCAACGCCTCTACACACTGATGCATCACTTGAGTGCAAACAACTTTTATATACAACTCAGTTCGGAACGTTGCTTTAGGGATTTGAAGTATGTTAGTAATGAGACTGCAACGCCGCAGGCTCCGCCACCCATAACGTTCCAAGCGGACAACGAGACAAGGCTGGAGCTTTCGTTTCTTCTGCCCCCCTTGAACTACAAGCTGGGTATACTGCTGTTGCAATTCAATAGCTCCTGTGCACTCAACTTACTACGCTGGGCGGCAGCTACAGAGCACAATTACTTCACTACCAACCGTTTTTGGCTGCTAATGACGACCGATTGGGCAGATATTGAATTGCTCGATGATGCAGACATTTTCATACCACCCGATAGTGAGCTCCGGGTGCTTTGGTACACGAAACAGCCTTTCGGTGCCACTCTCCTGGATGTGTATAAAGTAGCCGCCTGGAAGCCACTCAAACGCTCCATTATTGGACAACATCTTCGTAACAAGCGGCATATGAGACACGCACTACAGCACTACGGATCAGCCATTTCCTACAGACAGAATCTGGAGGGCATTGTGTTCAATACGGCCATTGTCATTGCCTTTCCCGATGTTTTTGTCAACATCGAGGACCTTTCAATGCGGCACATCGACACAATTTCTAAAGTAAACCACCGTCTAATGATGGAACTAGCCAACAGGCTAAACATGAGGTACGTAGGAAAAGCTCAATTTCAACTTACTTAAGACGGTCAAACGTATCTTTAAGCGGTTGCATATGAAATCAAATTATTACTTTTTGAATATACTTGTATATGTTTATATATTCGAGAAACTTGCGGAGCTTTTTACCCTACGGGTACAGGGTATAAAAATACAGTGTTAATTTTAAGACATTTAGGCATTGCACACTTTTTAAGCAAAACTTCGTATTAACAACTAATGCGTGGTTGTCCATGGATAACCAAAAGTTAAAAAATGAAGATAAGTACATATTACATTTATCTGTTATGAAAGATTTTTTCAGGATAGATCTGTCCGTTTAAGAATGGCTTAAGCCTGAAAAAAAATGCAAAACATCCCCTATCCGTAAATCTATCCTTTATTTTGTGTTGACTTAACATTTTTAAGAATTTTTTTTTATAACCTTTACCTGTAGGGAAAAACTCTATGTTAGGTTTGTGCAAAGTATGTAACAGATAGAAAAAAGCATCTCCGACCCAATAAAGTACATTAATGTATATACATAAATAGATATATATACATATATTCATAATCATCATGACGAGAGAAATCGATGCCTGGATTTTGGAAACAGATGTCCGTTTGTCCCTAGCCAAATCGAGTTTATTTTGAATTAATTGATTTTCCCACCGGTGAAGAATTTTGTCAGTGCGGACAGTGCACGTCTTATAAACCAAAGTTTTGCACACGTATTTAACTTTTGTTTCCAAGTGCATCACAATCTATAAATTTTTAGAAAAGTATTAACGAAACAACTCCAATACAACGACGTTATACTGCAGGAGAGGGTTCTTCTTCGCTCTTCTTTCTTCTGCTATAATTCACCGCTGGAGGTTTCTTTGGTTACAGGGTCTTCCCTGGGCTTGTTCGACTGAAACATTCTGCCTTGTTTGTGTAAATAATATTTAAATACAACATTTTGACATCGCTTTTATACATACTGATATCGAATTTACCTATAAAGTCATACAAAGTCAACATTATAAGAAAAAACTAATTGTCCTTTTTTCTGTCCATTTTAATTTTTTCCACTTTTTTATGTCTCTTTGTCCTTATTTTGTGGCGAGGTGCTGGCAACACTGGAGTCCACTATTCTTTTTTAGTCAAGTCCCCAAAAGGGGACATTAAATGAGAAATTATCTAGACATGGATTCTATGCTCCCTTAGAATACAGTTAAATAAGAATGCGATCGAACGGATCAAATGAATTTTATTATATTTTTATCTCATTTGTATGCATCCAATTTTCATGCCCATTTATGCAGCTATAACACCTATCAGACAGTCAACTATGGCTGGCGACAACCGAACGGTTCTTTCGACGGGCTCATGGGACGCTTTCAACGCTATGAAGTGGACTTTGCCCAGTTGGCCATCTTTATGCGCCTGGACCGCATCGCTTTGTGTGACTTTGTGGCCGAAACCTATAGGGTACGATCTGGCATAATGTTTCGGCAGCCTCCGCTCTCAGCAGTAGCCAACATATTCGCAATGCCGTTTGAGATGGATGTATGGATCTCCATACTATTGCTGCTGATCATAACCGTCATAGTGCTGGTGGTGGAGCTGCTCTTCTCACCGCACACCCACGACATGAACTATTTGGACACGCTAAACTTTGTGATAGGTGCCATGTGTCAGCAGGGATTTTACGCGAATGTCCAGAATCGTTCGACCAGAATCATTGTGTTCACGACCTTCGTGGCAGCCCTATTTCTTTTCACATCTTTTTCGGCCAATATTGTCGCACTGCTGCAGAGCCCTTCGGATGCCATTCAAACGCTGGGCGACCTGGGCCACTCACCGCTTGAGATTGGCGTCCAGGACACGCAGTATAATAAGATCTACTTCACGGAGTCAACAGACCCCGTGACCAAGAGCTTGTACCAAAAAAAAATAGCCGGAAAGGGAGACCATGCCTACATGCGCCCGGCCGTGGGAATGGAAAAAATGCGTACTGGATTGTTTGCCTACCAGGTGGAGTTGCAGGCCGGCTATCAAATTGTCAGCGATACCTTTAGCGAGCCGGAAAAGTGTGGACTGATGGAACTGGAACCGTTCCAGCTGCCGATGCTGGCGGTACCAACGCGCAAAAACTTTCCGTACAAGGAGCTCTTTCGCAGACAGTGAGTAGCATTTGATTTTGGGTTGAACTGCTAAAGAAATCCCGTTCCATCAATCCCTGCAGATTGCGTTGGCAACGTGAAGTTGGTCTAGTGAACCGCGAGGAGCGCAAATGGATACCGCAGAAACCAAAGTGTGAGACTGGAGTAGGCGGCTTCGTGTCCATTGGGATAACTGAGTGTCGTTATGCCTTGGCTATCTTTGCGTATGGACTTCTTATCAGTTTTCTTTACTTTATTTGTGAGCTGCTGTTCAAGCATCGCTTAGCGGTTTGGGGACTGTTTTATCGCAAAATAAAGCATTAAGTAGCACATTTTCCTTATATTGTAGGAATTCGTTTACAATTTATTGTAAAATAAATAGGAATGGAATGTACTAATAATAAAACAATTTGCTCAATTAAACAAATGTCATACCCCATACCCGAAAGCCAAACGGGTATTATAAAATCGTTCAGGTCGACCCAGAAAAGTATCCATGTTAATTATTCATCAGCACGACAATACTATGGAAACGACAAGTTTATTGTTTAAATTACGTTTTTGAAAAATATGTAACAGGAAAAAGGAAGCATCCCCGTCCTAAGTACATATAGTACTAGTATATTAATCAGTATGACGAAACAAATCGATCTAGATAATCGATCTAGACCGTCTGTCTGGATAAACGCCTCCATTTCGGAACATTCGAACGGCTGAGCTCAAATTGACCAAAATTGGTATGTACGTCTCTCCTAGTCCCTAGCCAGCTCGTGTTTATTATACTTTTTTGATTTAATTTGGTATCACAATCATACACTAATATACATCTTCTGATAATATATAAAAAAAAGTCGGGTTTGTTCGAACACTTATAACTCGATAAGTATTTGTATACGTCCCGCTTAGTAGAGAATTATTAAAAAACATTGGAAAATTTAACTTTAAAGGAGGCAAAACGAGCTCCAAAGTTAGTTTGAAAAATCAAACTTACCAACTTTAGAGACCTTTAGAAACTTTAGAGAGTGTCGGAAGAGAAATAGGATATAATAAACAACCTTATAACTTAATTGTATGCAAAAATACATAGTCTAGCAAAAACGGGCAAGACCTGCTAGTTTTACTTGTATATACATGTATAAATGTACATATCTACGCTATTTATCTGATTAATTTGACAAAGACTTTTGTTCAGGCTGTGCAACAGACTACGAATAGAGGCTAATAGCTTTATTCGTGAAGGCATCATCCAAAAAATTGTTCAATTAAATGCTATTTGGTGTTTTCTCTTTGAAGTATAAATGCTGTTAATATTTTATTATCAATCAGGAGAGCATCGCAATTTCTGTAAATTCGAAGGAAAACATCCACGCCAAATGTACTTAGTAAACAAAAGCCCTCAGAGCATACAGTCACACTCATAGGATCCAACTGTGTTTGTGTTTGTTTGTTCATTCCCGAGTTGCCGTTTGCGATTTTTGTGTTTCGTATTTTATACTACTTATACCCTTTAAGCCTTTGGGAACAAGCTATAAGAATTTCATTTAAAAACTAACTTTTTTTCCTTTAATTGAATGCAGAGTTTTTATGAGTTGGACCAGCACAATGATGATATTAATTTCTTATTTATATCTAAACACTGAGAACATTCGAAATTAAATACTTGAGTATGTTTTTTCGTAAGGCTAAGAGTTTCGGAGCCAATGAAAGCAAACCCACACAACGTGATGACTTTTCACACCAAAATGCACGTAAATGTTTGTAACTTTAGAACGGAAAAAGCCACCGTCCCTAAATTTTCGTAATCCCGTAGTATTGTTTTTAGAAAATACCTGTACATAATGCTTTAACATTATTTTATACAGCTGGTATAAAAACGACCAGACGAATTTTCATTCATATTACGAAAATCTATTTAGTTTGCAACCATATGGGAGGCAAACATAGTACGCAAACGTTTTTATTAATGTTGCACTATTTTATTTCTAATCGAAGTTGGTGCACTACATATATCATAGCTGCAACCCATTCGACGATTTGTAGAATGACGTTGAGGGAACAGGTATACGATATACAATTCATTACATATATCTACATTTTATTCTAGCTCGAGATGTATTGGTTTAATTTTCTTATTGTTATATACAATTTATGACAACACACACAATTTGTGTTCATAAATTACTGAAAAACTACTTTTAATGGGTCAACCAGCTTTTTAAATTGTTTGTCCGTTAGGAAGTGTCGGAAGCATTTTGACACCAAATTGGAGGGCAGCTTATGTGTTAATGAGCCTTACTTTAAACAGGTATAGATAACTCCTTGACCACACCACGCAGCACATCCGGTCCTTTAAACTGCCAGTTCTTAATGCTCTTGCTAACTCTGCACCAGGCCTCGCCATGCGTTGGTTCCGCTGCAATGCAGCGCTCTAGGACTTCCTGTTGCTGGGCTTCGGTGCCATGCAGTAACTCGAATTTATAGAAATAGGCCCAAGCGTCACCCAAATCTGGATCGATCTTAACCTGAAAATTAACAATTATATTAGTTGTCTTCGACAACCTATAATCAGCTCAAAATTAACTCACTGTCCTATTAAACCAATCGCGGCACTTTGAGAATTTATGCTCCGACCAGAACAGCTTGGAAACTGCCAACAGAACATGAGGATCGTGTTCACATTTTTTGAGCGCATCCACAGATTTGGTTTTGCGTTGTGGTTTCGACTCCATGAATATAGCCTCCGCCCATAGCTCACCCGCATTCGGGCACTCCTGTAGCGCACGGGCCATCATCGTGCTAGCAATTTCCTTGAGACCTGCACGTAGCTCCACGCGTATGGCTTCCAACCACAACATAGACATTTTAGGATTTCGCAAGCGTCCGCGTTCCAAAATTGATCGGGCTTTGGTCAGCACACCTTTACGCTCCTCCAGACTGGCTGACAATACCCACAACGGTATGGAGGTGGGACACTTACGTATTCCCTGTGTATAAGTGGCTGCCGCATCTTCTATGCGTTGCTGCTGCTCCTCAATCTGGCCTTTCATCATCCACAACTTGGGGAAATCGGGAAATACTTCCACGGCTTCTTCAAGCAAACGCAAAGCTTCGTCGAAACGCTCCAAGGCCCACTCTAGGCGTGCCGATTTCATCATGACACGAGGCGTGGGCGCCGAACCACGAGCCTTAGCCAGAAGACGACGCGCTCGTTCGTATTCCGCGTTCTCCGACTCCAGTTTAACAGCGGCTAACCAAATGTCCTCCGAATTGGGGTTGGCCTGAAAAGCAAGCGACAGAATGCCACGTGCGGCAGGCACATCACCTGCTAGCCACTTGGACTTGGCGCCCATTAGCCAAAGTATCTCGGATTTAGGGCAGTGGGCGACAGCGCGTTGCAGAAGTGCCTCCAGTGATTCGCGAGTACCATGATTTTTTTCAAAGTATGCCGCACGAAGCCAAATGCTCTTCTTCGAGGGAAAGGCTTGGAGGGCATACGCGTAGACAGCGCGAGCGCATTCAAAGGCACTCTCTTTGGCGCACTACAATAAGAATTATAAATGGTTAAACGAAGGTCTTAAATTAAATAAGAAGAATACATACAAATTCGGCATCATCGATCCAAGTCTGCTTTCGATCTTCCTCTTCTACGCCAATGCCTATGACGGCCTTTACAATAGCCTGGCAACAATTAACGGCGCCCGATTTCTCAGCTTCAATTGCTTCCTGAAACCAGTGATCGCGATTGATCTCAACACCATTCGCTGTGAGTGATGTCAGTGACCGATCAATAATTTTTTCGACCATGTGTATGTTGCCATTAGCTTCTTCCAGCTTGGCGGCCGTGGTCCAAATCTGACGATCTGTAGGTATATTTTCACGTGCCTTGTTCAGAACTTTTCGGGCATTTTCGTAAGTCTCGAGGCGAGCCAATGCCAACCACAGCTCTACGCTAGTGTTGCAGCACTCCACAGCACGCGAAAGCAAAATACGCGCATCATCCGGATTTTCGAGTTCAACGGCAGCCTTCCAAAGGCGAACAGAATTTGGGATGTGCTCCAGTGCTTTGCGAAAGACCCGCCGCTTTGCTTTAGTCTCTGTTTCCAAATCAGCCGCCTTAATCCAAATGCGCACCGATGTGGGAATATGACGCGCAGCCTGGGCAATGACAGCTTTGGCTGTATCCAGTGGCTGCAATCGTGCCGCTTCCAACCACAGATCCTCCGATTGTGGATTCATTTCGCAACCACGCATTATCAAGTTTCGCGCCATTTGTACTTTACCCGTGACCTCCTCCAGACGAGCTGAGGCAATCCAAGCTGGTGGATGATTGGGGTTGGTTTCGCGTACACTCTTTAATAGAAGACGCGCCTTCTTTATGTCGTTGATATCGCCGCCATAAGTCGGAATCATGCTCTGCAAGTCAGTTAAGTACCCTTTGGGATCAACTACAGTCTGGCCTGTGACCGAATCAGAAACTTGCGACAATTTTACGTTCATAAGAGTGTTTCGCGCTTGGCCGATTTTCCTTAAATCCAAATCGCCAGTAGGAGTTAACATGCCGGGAGTGGCCACTCCAGGCATCATAGAAGCCAGACCGGAAGAGGCGTCAATTGTAGAAGATGTTTCGCCACCCAAGTTTCGTGAGAGCACGCTATCCGGTAACGGAGTAAACTTCTCGGCACGTGGATTGCGCTGCTTGCGATTGCGACTATCTCCCACCTCAGGTATGGTGGACCACTCCTCAGATGTGACAGTTGCCAGTGAACGCTTTAAATCGGAGAACTGTTGCTGTATCTTGGGGCGCTCCTGACGATAGCGTTCCAAATCCTCGCGCAAGCGACGGTCGCGATACTCTTTACGTTTTTCATCCATTCGCTTGTCTATGGAATCATAAATAGCATCGGCTTCCTCATCATCTTTGTCATAGGGATCTTTGGAGAACAGCGAACCACTGTAGCCGCTAAATTCGTCGTAGTTTGAATCGTTCAAGTCCTCGTCCTCCTCCTCCTCTTCGTCTTTTTTCTTGCGCTTTGTGGCTGGTGGAGCGTGTCGATCATCTGACACATCATTGGCATCTCGAGCTGGACCAATATCTGATCGAGTGGTGAAACCAGTTGCACTAAAAGAGAAGGCCGTCTTATTTGTGTAATATGAATATAACATTTGATATTATAGCGATTAAACTCACCCACGACCTACACCGGCTACATAGCCAAGAGGTGCCGGCACACCAAGAAAGTGTTTCTTATTGCGGTTAGCGATTACCGCAGCGGTTATATTTGACATGGTGATGTTTTTTATGCACCGACTATACGAGTAAACAGATTACAATAAAATGTATATAAGCGCAAAAAATAAACGTTTGCACGGAATTTTCTTCTTCTTCTTCAGTCAGCTGTTAGCTACGAAACAGTGTTGAAAAGCACCGATTCAAATAATTGCGAGTATCGAAGTCGATGCCGGACGATGCAGCGAATGCATTGTGAATGTGAACATTTTATAGAGGCAAACGAAAAACTTGCAAAACATTAAATAAATAGGTAGATATAAATAAATTAGACGAAAAACAGTACAAGATGCCTGTACTGCCCCTGCCGGCGCTGATGCAGGTAAGTAACTAAGAGCGCCGTATGTAATTTCACAAATTTACAACGTTTGCAATTTTTGCTATCTGAATACGAAAAAAGAACGTAGAGCCGATGCAAGTTGATGCCCCGCCCAACGAGGACAACGAAAACAATGAGGAGCAACAAATTGTTGTGGAGAACCCCACCATCGATCTGGAGGTATATGCCAATCAGTATATTGGCATAGCCCGTCTGCATCGCTTAATCTATGTTGCTGATGTCTGTCCGGTTCTAAGCTTAGAAGCGCTGAAAATGGCCATAACTTATGTGCAGACAACGTACAATGTGAGTCTTTACCAGGTTTTGCACAAGCGTCTTAGTGATTTGCAGGCTGGCAATGGTGGCGCCGCAGGCGATCCACCAGCCGGCGGTGCTGCGGCAGGCGCAGCTGCGCTGCCCGACATAGCCGCTGTACCAGCTGCAGCTCAAGGAACTGGAAACCAGAACGGCAACGGTACTGAAAAAGATGCATACGCCTACGACGCGGTCTGGGTGGACACCAAAATGAAAAAAGCAGCACTGAAGCTTGAGAAACTGGACTCGGACTTAAAGAACTACAAGTCTAACTCGATCAAAGAGAGCATACGGCGTGGCCATGACGATTTGGCTGATCATTATCTTAGTTGTGGCGACCTGACCAATGCGCTTAAATGCTACTCGCGTGCACGAGACTACTGCACTAGTGGCAAACACGTAGTGAACATGTGCCTGAACGTTATCAAAGTGTCTATCTACCTCCAGAACTGGGCACATGTAATGAGCTATATTTCGAAGGCCGAAAACACGCCCGATTTCTCTGAGGGCTCTAAGGAGGCCAATGCGCAGGTGCATACGCGCCTTGAATGCGCCGCCGGTCTAGCCGAGCTGCAACTGAAGAAGTACAAGGTGGCTGCAAAACATTTTCTGGCGGCAAACTTTGATCACTGCGATTTTCCCGAAATGATTTCCACAAGTAATGTGGCCGTCTATGGCGGTCTCTGCGCCTTGGCCACTTTCGACCGACAGGAACTGAAGCGCTTAGTAATCGGCTCGACATCTTTTAAGCTATTCCTGGAGCTAGAGCCGCAGTTGCGCGACATTATTTTCAAGTTCTACGAGTCTAAGTACGCATCTTGTCTGACACTGCTGGACGAGATACGCGACAATCTGCTTATAGATATGTACATAGCGCCCCATGTGACTACTCTGTACACAAAGATACGTAATCGTGCACTGATCCAGTACTTTAGCCCCTACATGTCTGCCGACATGCACAAAATGGCAATAGCCTTCAACTCGTCCGTCGGGGATTTGGAAAACGAGGTGATGCAGTTAATTTTAGATGGTCAAATTCAGGCACGCATTGACTCGCACAACAAGATACTTTACGCAAAAGAGGCGGACCAGCGCAACAGCACCTTCGAGCGCGCCTTGCTGATGGGAAAACAGTACCAGCGTCACACTCGCATGCTCATCTTGCGCGCAGCCATGCTCAAGAGTCACATCCATGTCAAAAGCGTCTCCCGTGAAGGCGGCAGCAGCCATGGAGCAGAACTTTGTGTGTCAGCGGGCTCGAGCACCACAGCTCCACTGGCTCGCATTTAAATAAGGATACCAATTTGAAATATTTTTGAGCGAATTTTGTGCGGCAGAATAAAGTCTACTAGCAAAGCTACCAAATCAAAGTGAAATGTTTATTTATAAATGGGCAAATGCAAATGCAAAAAAAAAGTGGACTAACGACGTGGACGTCCATGTCGTTCCTCGTGATCCCTCCGATCTCGACGCCTATCCCTGCTGCGCGAGCGCGAACGTTTCCTTCGATCTTGATGTTCATTGGAACGCGAGCGCTGACGTTGATCCCTACGATTGCTACGGTGTGGATTGCTTTCTTGGTTGTTCCGTGGTCTCTTCTCATTAGAATCAGAATCGGATTCAGAAGACGAAGAACTGCTGCTGCTGTCATTGGATCTTTTGCATGTCTTCTTAATTTTTGAACTTTTCTTGCTGTCCCTCTGCGCTTTCTTGGCTTTCTTTTTGCTGACCTTTTCACTTTTTTCACCCCTCCGCTTCATACGTTCTATCTTCTCTAATTTCTTAAGCAGCTTCAATTTTTGTTTCTTGCTTAGGGACTTGAGAAACATTAGTTCTGGATTATGGCTCTGTGCGTCTCGCATGGCTTCATCTTCCTCATCGCTAGGGACCAACTGATGCCCCTGTTGTACGGTTTTAATGCTCTGCAATTCTAATGCTGAGCGCTTCATCATCAAGCCGTCTTCTTTCATTTGCTCCTCGAGTACATTTTTCGACATAATGTCACTGGCTTCAGCTTCCGAGTGAAGCTTACGCGCCTCGCTCATCGATATGCTGTACATGCTGCACTCCTTATCCGTGTTAATATGGCCCCACTTGTGACACTTAAGGCAGCGTACATTGCGTACCTGTAAGGACAAAAGAATAATAATGTAATAGTTGGAGTCTATAGTTTAAGGTGCATTTGGCGTTAAGTCTTTATAGTATATCCTTGAACTCTTTGGGTGCCGGACATAACACAAAAACGATCGGTGCAATTTATGTTTGTTATTCACCTGTATGCCAAACGGCTGATCACGTATCTCTGTGTCACCCTTGCAGTAGGACTCACGAGGGGCATTATATTTGCGCTGCCACTCGAACTTGTACTCCGGCTCGTTGTCATCTTTTTCCCGCTCCTTCCGTACTCCTGGCGGTGGCTCATACATGAAGTTAACACTAAGCTTGTCCTTGCTATCTTTGCTAAGCATAGCTTTATTTTCGTGGAGGTTCTGTTCTTTTTCATATTGTGTGCGTAGTTCCTCCTGTTTCTTTTTGTATGCCTCGGCCTGTTGCTCTGCCATCCACACCTGTGGGCAACAAAAAACATCACCAAATTAATCAACATACATATGTACATATGTGTGTACATACACACACAAAGTCCATACTTACTCGCTTCAGGTTATCCCTGGAAGCCGGGTGGAAGAACTTTTTGCACATATAATTATTGAAACCTTTTCCCATCTTGCTGCAGCAATAATTTTCAGCTCAAAATGAAATATTTCACAATTTTCTGTAACTATCAAAAAATGTTTACAAATATAATGCTTGCTAGCGATGAGAGATGAAGCGCGAGCAAATATTGAAGCAACTCTGTACACTTTGTCGCTTACCAACACTAACCGTTTTACATCCACTTGCTTTAAAAGCGCGTAAATAAAAATTTCTTAAGCTCCCATAGCCAAATATTTTAAAATTGTTTCCTGAAGACATGAATTTTATGGAGAGCAGTAGCGAAATGGTGACGTGCCCCTACAACAGTGCACACCGTATGTTACGGAAAAAACTACAACAGCACATCATAAAGTGCCGCGAGCTATACAAAAACGAAATACCTTTACTAAACTGCCCCTTTAATAATAGTCACTTGATACCTGAGCCAGAGTTCTATGTAAGTAGAAATTATACCAACAAGAATCACTTTTACTAAACAGCACTTAATAATACAACTCAGCAACATACCAAATCTTGCGAGGACCGGAAAATTGTTGCCCACTTTCAGTTTAGCGAGTCTGCACCAATAAAAGAAGATGCAAAGCATGAGAAGATTTCAGCCGATGAGGATTGGGACGAAGATAACACTCCAGCTTATAACCCTCAGGTGTATGCCGCATCGGCAAACATTGTGCGCGAGCCAAAGGGCATATTCCCGGCTCAACGAAAGGACTTTATCAAGGAGGAGCGCAAACGCTTGGGTGATCTTAGCGACGAGGAAAAAATGCCCGAGCCTCCCCCGCCCCCCAAGATAAGCATTCGAGAGACCACAAAAACTCGTCACCAGCCTTACCAACGTAGAGCTAACCATTAAAATATACAGTTCTAAGCAATATACAAGTAAAATAAACTTATACTTTTATAAAAACTAATATTGTGTCACAATTCGGAGAAGATTATACATTGGCTGTTGTATAGGATATCAGAGAGCTCCAAACATACAGACGACAGGACAAATTTATTGTGTGATAACAATAACTTTCCAAGAGCTTGACATGCTTTGCGCAACAGAGAATTGTCCGTACGCAGCTACCGACGAAATTTTGGTTGAGGGACCACATCGGATATTCCTCGCAATTTTCCATGCGTCGCATTTAACCATACATTTACGAATTAATTTTTAAACTTGGATTTCGAAAAACAAACTCTTCTTTATTACAAAGAATTGCATATTTTCACACTCCACAGAACTTTTTTGTTTCTTAATCACTTATGATACGGTAGAAACTGTAAACAGCACAAAGACGTCAGCGTGGGCGACACTCTTCTTGCTGATGCAGCATTTACGCGGTCTCCATAGGTTGGGCGGCAGTCTCCTCGGTATATTTGCCCTTGTCCTTGCCCAAAGCAGCCAAACGTCCCTTGGCGCGACGCTCCAAAATTGCCTTGCGGTCCTTGTCGAGCTTTAGCTTGACGATCAGCACTTTGCTGGGATGGATGCCGACATAGACGTTGGTGCCATTAGCGTTTTCACGCTGGATTTTCTCGATATAAACGACGAACTTCTTGCGGTAGGACTGCACCACTTTGCCAACCTGATTGCCTTTGTAGTGCCCACGGATTACCTGAACCTCATCGTCTCGGCGAATGGGCATAGAGCGCACGTTGTACTTCTGACGGAGTTCCTTGGACAAGGGAGCAGACATCAGGCGACGGCGAATGTGTGAAGGTGCTTGGAAGTGACGCTTGCGGTTCTTCCTGCGCGACGACGACACAAACTTGTTCAATTTCATTCTGCCTGGTTGTGCGGGCTTTAGATAAAAAAAAATAAATAAAAGAATAATTAGATATCTTCTTAGGTACGTGGAACTTATAAAAGGCATCCAAGATCATTCTCACTGCTGTTTTTGCAATAGCCACAATTTACATAAATATGTTCTTGATACGCTGCACGTCCATCTTCGAGGTTTATTTATCCGCGAAAAAATACAGCTAGACGCTCCATTTTATATTCTCCGTTGGCGTCGCAATCTATTCTCTGCATTTTCGCCGGTACTTTGCAAAAACTCGCAGTGATGCCTCGGTAACTTCAAAATTAAATTTACTTACTACTGGCCGTCGTAAAAACAACGAAAAGAAAGAATTTGACAGCGCCCGGCGGAAGTATTGAAGAGAGAGTAGTCACAGCGTTGCCATACCACAACGATGGGTGTAATCAGCTGTTCGCAACTGTTCGAGAACAGTTGAGAAAAAATTAATGCCAAACAGTGGCGCAATTTCAAACATCTATGTATGTATAATTATATGGCACGTTATGGATGTTACATTCGTAAGAACTTATAAATACCAAATATTTATAAAATATTGTTCCAGCTTTTATTTTCTATTTATAATTTTAATATAAACTTATTATTATAACTTAAACTTATTAAATATAACTTACAAAACAAGCAATTTTCGCGTGACTCTTGGAGTATTTTGGTTTCACACCTAATTAAAGTTTTGGTGCACCATTTAACGATTACGAATATGTTTTGCAAACATAATTTACATTAAAGCAGTTATTGCAATCTGCATCGGACCAGTGAGTTGATCTTGAATTCTTAGATCCGGTCCGTAAATTGATGTTGCAAGAATGTTATGTGACGTACATACATACCGTGGGATCGTAGTACCCTTAGTGGTTAATGGGACCAGCAAACATTCGACCGTCAAGAAACTTTCGCATTGGATTTTCCACAACATAATTAGAATTGTTAAATGTATGCGTGGTTACTTAAAATACCTCATGGATCTAGGTAAATGGGCGCAACACAAAATAAAAAGCCTTTAAACCGTGCGTTATGGACCATCAAACATACATACGCTACAGTGTTGATAATCATAGTAAATATTAGAAAAAAACTATAGTTCCAAATAACAGATTTTTTGGAGCTTGTAACGTCCATACATACATATGTGCCTATGTACATGCATATATGCGCAGTAAATGCTAAAATTTCAAACTTGAAAGCGCTACCACTATCATAGCGGCATGGTTATTGGTCCAATCAGCTGGTTCACAACTGTTCTGGAACAGTTGCGTAGTGTAGTTTATAACAGTTTTCAAGCTTTTAACTTAAAAGCTTTTGAAATCTTGTTTTGCTTCTCATAGATCGTCGCCGAAACCAAAATCTTCTGCTGGAGTCTAATTAGAAATTAGTCGCGCGCGTGTAGCCATCTGTCGCTGTTGTACAGTATCTGGGCAGAGGATCTAGTAGTGTCTAATTAATTTTTATTTATTTTCTACATATTCAACATCACGATGAACAACTTGAAGAAATTGCCTATGCGCTTGGTAAGTAGCTGACTCCTGTCGCCTGTTCATCAATCTTATTCGAATCTAATTTTTGTTTTTCGCCTTTCACTTTTAATTTTCAGCTGGCCAATGCAGCACATCGTCAGCAATGCGCCGCCATGTCCTCTGCCAGTGGCTTGCCTCCACCACTGACTTATCTCACCGATGATGAGAAAATGATGAAGGAGACGGGTGAGTTGCCTTTAAAGGATAACCGTCTTAGGGTCGCTGGGGGCGAGATAGCAAACTTCAAACCTTCGTATACAATTACATTCCTTACATGGTGTAAACTTAGCCCCATTTGATAAGCGCTGTTGTGTTAAATAGTTTTAGATATTATTTACTCAACTTCAGCGTTTTCCAGTTTGTTACGTAATTTGAACATCGCGTGTTGCTCTAAGTTTTTATTATTATTTATATTGCATTTGTGCTACGTTAAGCCGAATAATTTAAATGCAATTCCTTTCTTCCCTTCGACTATTTTAGGGTTAAATTATTTTTTTTTTAATAGGCAGCTGATAAAACTGTACTTTTCTGGGGTGGTGTGTCAGTGCCGCAGATAAGAACATTATTTGTTATGGGCAAGAACAGAAGAATGGCAGCCGATTTTAATTGTTCACCAGATCCGAGTGCATGCTAAGCAATTTTCTACATACAAATGTATGTATATGACAGACTGCATGTCGTTTTAATTTTCCTCCATTATCAGTGGAAATAGGTATTTGTTGCAATATTTGCCTTAATCGTATTAAATGGCTGAAGTATCATTTATTGCATTGCATAATTTATTACTCCCAATCCAATTTCATCGTTAGGCATGATATGCACAGGACCTGGTGCAATCAATCGAAATTAACTTCTGCACTGCAGACGTGGCACAGTTAAGTGTATTTATGTACATACATATGTATATGTGTTAAACTAACTAGCAATTTAGTCAATTTAATGGGTAACTACAGAGCATTTCAATCAACGGCCATTGGGTTCTAAAAATAAACTCGTCTGTGTCTGTGCTTTAGCTTTAGTTTTCGATGGTGGCGTTGCTTGGCCACCGTTGGTCGTGTGCGTTAAAAAGCTGCGGCAAAATTACGTTCCTGTCTATATATCTTTGGGTGGTTGTTGGGTCAAAGCCTGCTGCCGGCTGCTTTGACATGCAGATAAAGGAAGAAGGACGACACGTTTATATCGGGAATTTTTTTCACAAGTCAGTCAGCCGTTTAGTTTCCCAAATCAAAGCAAACTTGATGGCGTTACACTTGTGATAGAGCAAATATGCGGCTATGCCACGCCCCTGCCCAAATGTGTCCACTGTTCTAGTGGCACGCGGGCGACGGTGTGCGTGGCATTTGGTCGCGTAACTCACCTAGAGAGTTGAGTCAGTGGAACTTCAAGTTCTTAGACCGCTGATTCTTAGTTGGAGAGTTGACACTTTTTATCATAAACCGGCCAATAGATCATGAGCACATACTTTGTAAATACAGTGAAAACTCTCGTGGATGGACACTCACGGTCGGCCAATTTTTGTCCGCCCAAGGGGAGTGTCCTCTTAAGGGGATACACCGATCGAATGTTTTAGAAAAAGTGCCCGCTGAAGTGTGTCAGGATAAAACAGATGTTCATTAAATGAGTTTTCACTGTACATATGTACGTTATATGTGTGTGTGTGCGTTTCTTATGGTTAGGGGTTAGAGGGCGAGAGGCAGCAGTGTGCTGAAATTTACTTATCAATCTATATGTGACTCTTGGTAAATTGAGATTGTTACGTAACTTCTGCTGCCGGGTCCCGTAATCTGGGCAAGCGAAGGGGCGAATGCGATTGCAAGTCTTTTGGATTGATCGAGGCTCAAACTAGTTTTGCATGCATTAGTATAAGCTTAGAACAAGTTAAACAGAACCAGTGAAGTCTGGGTTATCAAGAGAAAGATTGGGCCCGGAACTTACAACATTACCGATGCATACAACCGAAATGAAAAATTTTAAAATCTTTTATTGCTTCTTGAAAAGTCCCTGCCCAGAGTCTGTTCCGGGGTACAGTTGCCTACAACGGCCATATAGCCCACTTTGAGGTTGTGGCAATCAGCAATGCCCAAAGAATCGTAGGGCAAGCCACAGCCTTCAGTTATAGTTTGGAAATGATCAATAAATAGGAATTGTCATACACAAATAATTACACCGACTTGTAAAATGACCTGACATACATACGTTTGCACGTAGGCTTTCGGAAAAAAATATACTGCTGACCGGCCAGCTGGGTGCTAAAAGACGCAATAAGTAGGTGTGTGCGAGCGTCACTTGGAAGCTGTCCAACAAAAAATAAAAAACATACTACATATACAGAGAAAGAGCGAGCCACACGCGATCGTGAGCGCACAATCGGCGCTCGCAGTACAGAATTGATAAAACAAACGCGTGGGCAAATACACCCGATGACATACAGATATACACACATACATATATACATATATATATATAAATACTTGCGCACAGATAAATATATTTACATAAAGTATGCTCACAGGCCCCCGATAGAAAAGACCAGTTTGATTAACGACTTTTTTTCTAAGATTGTACAGGCGCAAGGTGGTCGAAGCTTTTGCAAAAGTTCTTTAGAACTTTTCATGGTCAAAGCTTGATAATGAAAGCTTTCGATGATAACAGCACTGACTAAACGATTCCTCTCTTCCTCCCATTACTTTTCAGTGGCCAAGCTGGCGCAGGATCAAATCTTGCCGCTGGTCAAGAAAATGGACTTTGAACACAAATTTGATCCCTCCGTGGTCAAAGCCGTTTTCGAGAACGGTCTTATGGGCATTGAGATTGATACAGAGCTTGGCGGCAGTGGCTGCAACTTTATGACCAATATTATAGTCGTGGAGGAGCTGTCGAAAATTGATCCAGCTGTGGCTGCCTTTGTGGACATCCATAACACATTGGTCAACTCTCTCATGATTAAATTCGGAAACAAGGAGCAGAAAGAAAAGTATTTGCCCAAGCTTGCTCAGGAATATGCTGGCAGCTTTGCTCTCACCGAGCCCGGTGCAGGCTCCGACGCCTTCTCTCTGAAAACTGTTGCCAAGAAGGACGGCTCACATTATGTAATCAACGGCACCAAGATGTGGATCTCTAACAGTGATGTAGCTGGCGTTTTCCTGGTCTTTGCCAATGCCAAGCCCGAGGATGTAAGTTTATTTCCACCGTTGATAGATAGGGTCATCATTTTTCTTTGAACTCACCTTTCGTTCTAGGGCTACCGCGGTATCACGACCTTCATTGTTGATCGCGATACACCCGGTCTGATCGTGAACAAGCCCGAGGACAAACTGGGCATTCGTGCCTCTGGCACCTGCATGATCACCTTCGACAACGTCCGCGTTCCCGAGGAGAACATTCTTGGCACCTTCGGTCATGGCTACAAATATGCCGCCGGCTTCTTGAACGAGGGCCGCATTGGCATTGGCGCCCAGATGGTTGGCGCGGCGCAGGGTACCTTTGACGCCACCATTCCCTACCTGTTGGAGCGCAAGCAATTCAACGACTCAATTTTCAACTTCCAGTCTATGCAGCATCAAATCGCTACTATTGCCACAGAGATTGAAGCTGCGCGTCTTCTCACCTACAACGCAGCACGTCTGCAGGAGCAGGGCGTACCGTTCCTGAAGGAGGCCGCCATGGCCAAGTTCTACGCTTCTGAAGTAGCTCAGCGTGCAGCCATCAAGTGTATTGACTGGATGGGCGGCGTTGGATTCACCCGTGACTTCCCCCAGGAGAAATTCTATCGTGATGTGAAGATCGGAGCGATCTACGAGGGCACAACCAACATGCAGTTGAGCACCATTGCCAAGTGCATCAAGAAAGACTACTCTGGTTAGGGCAGTTCATCCCCTCTCTTTCTGTGTTTAAAGCCTACATATAAAGCTGAGATATCGTAGCAGATACGTCAAGTGCATTTAAGGAAGTTGCGGGTCGGTTCCTCAGCCGTCCCGCAGCTGTCAAATAACCGTAGCATTTACATATATATGTACATGGATTTTTTTGTTATAATGTATCAAATACAAATTAAATTTTTAACTTTACAAATGTCTGCTTTGTGTTTGGTGCCATTATGGGTTGGTATGAGCTCGCGCCGCACTTCGTCCATCGGTGGTGGTGAAGGCTGCTAACAATATGTTTATCACTGTGATCATAAAAACGCCCATTACGAGCAGCTCATGGGTGCGCGCAAAGCGACGACTACGGCAGCGCTTGAGACGATTCTACAATGATTTAAGTACGACGATATTGCAATGTTTGAAAGTAACTCACACATTTACCTTAAAAATGAGGGCTATACCCACGAAAAGCTGCATGACAAGGGACAATATAACTAAAACCAAGCTGTAGTAGTATGTGGAGGACTCGTGATTGTAGGTGATCAGAAAACGCAGCTGATTAGCATTCGCCGAAAGCAGAGCTATGTCCATGAGACCTGCAATGAGATAATGCTTTAGTACGCCAAGGAAAATTTGGAAACTTCTCACTCACCCTCGGCCACATTTTTATTTGCCGCATAGCTATTATCAGGCGACAACACGCTTGTGCAATTCTTTCCCCTTCCTCTGGCCGTTGTCTTCTTTATTTCAACAGGTGTTCCAGTTGCTTTCTCTTCCTCCTCCTCAATGGTAGACTCACTATTGCAGCACTGCCCTGTAGCCACTGTGCTCGCATAGCTACCCGTCCGACTAGGGACTGCATCGTCCAAAACTATCGACACCGCATTGCTGTGCATGACTATCCTGTTTACTTCGGACATGTGTTCTGTAACATTTGCTTACGTTAAATGAAAATATTTGGAACAATGCCCAGACATTGCGTGGCCCTATTGTGAACATAGCAAGTTGCGGTTGTCCATTTGTGGTCACAGCTCTGATAAAGCGTGGCTTGCGGCCACCTGACACTGACCTCTCTTCGCAAGTCACAACATGCGCCTCACTGTTGAAATATTTACAGTAAAAACTAATAATGGTTATAAGAAGAATAAGAATGCTCCAATAAACAATTGCTCAAAACTAAAACGATCAAACAAATAATAATGGTAAGTAGAGACGTACAGTTTGTATAAGTTTGCATTACACCGTTTACTGAAAAGTGTAAATGGTATAGGAGTATTGTTAAAAGTGTAAGAATATTAGTGCATTGGAGTGTACTTTGCAATAATCATAAGAAAGATAGATCACATGTTATAGTTATGTACATACATACATATGGGATCAGCATGACGAAACAAATCCAAATCGGGTTATCCGTATGTCTGTACCTGACGGTAATAATCCCCAGTAATTATCTTTCCTTTTTCGATAATGTTTATGGACTCTAAGCATTATTCCATTTGTGTCCCCGGGCCACCCCTGCCAGGCGTACTAGCATCTACTTATAAAAATCGAATAATGTTATATAAAACGGTATTTTTTAATAAAGAAAAACAGTATAAGAGTAAAATTTAAGTTAATCTACCTAGTAGTTCTTGTTCCACCACCTTTTAGTCAGTTCCCGGTTTGTTTAAAGAGATGAACGGTATTCAACTCCGAAGGTAACGTATTAGTTTTTTATATATACAGACAATTTATGAAAACATTTTTAATTTCTAATTTATTAAAATAAGTTCTTAGACTTTAACCCCAATGTACTTTTTATAGCGTCAACTCCTCAGTATTAACTGCTTAACTTAAGTGGAACACATAGATCGCAGGAAATACTTTTCGAAGGGCACTTGCCTTAAAATTATAATACAGCCTGAAAGTATGCCACAATTTTACTATGGTGCCTTACATGTGCTGGCTGAGCGTTTTTCACACCAGAAAATTGCTCAAAGAAATATGTCAGCTGACAGAAATACTCTTGGGCATCTATAATTGGAGCCACCCACTATCATCGCGCCCACTGAACCGACATTGACACGGTGCTGCCGTCTGTGACCTGAACCCGGCGCCTTGTTGTCTCTCAGCTTTGTTGCCTTGTCGCACTCTTTTGCTGCATTTTAAAAAAACGTTATCACACATACCTACATATGTATTTATACATATACATGCATATGTATGTATGTATGTACATATGTTTACGTACAAGTATGCACATATGTACAGTAGGTAAATATTTATACGGACAACAAACTTAACTGGGTTCACCCATATAATTATATTTAGTTGCTTTATTTTCAATAATTGATTAGCCTGACAATAAATCTTGCAAGCAAATATTGATCGAAAGACTTTTTATAAAAATACCAACAGCTGCCACAAAAAGGACACACATAGACTAGGTGCGTCTCCTCCCATTTTTCTCAGGCAACCACCTGACATTTTTTTGCAGTACCAAATGCGTCACAGGCCCGACAGTCGAACGCCTACGGACAGCCCAAACACCCTAACACATACACACACACGTACTTATACACACACACACCTACGAACCTACATACTATCACACATAAATACGAACACGTGGGCTAACCTAAAAGTTACTTGAAAATTTACGAATGCGATCAAAATTTAATCGTTACAACGTTACAACGCTACAAATCTAATAATTATCCACCTAGAAACTCCGTGCTTTAAAACTATAATAGGTACATACGGATTTTTTTTTATCTCGAATTACTTTCCACCAACAAAAAGAAAATAAGTTATCTATCTGTAACTTTAAAACTTTTCGTGAAAGTATAGTAAATATATGTTTATTATGGTTTTCTTTTATTTAAAAATATGTCTACAATAGTCAGGTTTATTTTAAACAATTTTAGTTTTCCAACGAAAATTTGAAAATTATGTTTTGTCTACCAAAATATGTTGGTCTCAAAAATTTCTACTTTGCCTTACACCTCTCAGATGAGAATGACTGTTGTGGGGGGGTCAGTAATCGCCAAACACTGCAATGTCAAAAACTTCTTTCAAAAGACGTCCACATAACTAAAAAGGTATGCAAATATTGAAAATATGTAAAAAAGAAACTTGAAGATTTATCGAAGCATTGCTCATATTTTTCAAAAGTAAAATAGAAATGATGGTGCTTAGGTATAACATAAAAATCATTCAGAACACTGTCGTTATGATAAACATCGAAACATTTTTTATATCACGTCATATTTTGCAGTACCTAATGGCTGATACTTTCAAGGCAGTCCGTGTATCTCAGTCAGGCCATCCGTTTGGTTCTTGGAAACACAATGCAGGACCTCCGTCGCCCGGCCCCCACATTTTATGCCGCAGTTGCCAGCACGTGTAGCATGTTTGCCTTTTCACCGCTTGGCAGTTAAGTTTAAACTACGTACGTTTTTGTTTTGACTGGGCTCTGAATTCTCTCCTGCAAAATGAGTGCTCTCTACCTCGTGTTCTCACTGCTCCATTCATTAGACTTCCACACAGGCGGGTGTTTGCTGCACGCATGCTCGTTGGCCAATCTAGCCAACTAACTGACTTCTTGCCTCTTCTGTCTCTGCTACTGTCGCTAGCACAGACGCGGCTCCTATCTCTATAGCCAACAACACGGCTTCGGCTCGGCCTCAGTTTAGTTTATTTCTGTCGCTCGACACGTTTGGCAGCCTTTTGGTTTCATCTCCGCCGTTGCCTGCCTAACTGTCGTTGCTCACTGCACGCGCCGCCGTCTACCGTCTGTGTGTCTTTTACCGCGTGCCTACGTTTTTTTCTGTTCATTGATTTTCCCTTTTATTTATTTAGTTGGTTCAGTTTACGTAAATCGTGCGTCTATTATTAAGTACGGATAGTTCGTCTATGAAATACTTTTAAAGCATACTATACATCTCAGACAACAACATCGTTGCGGGTAAGCTTCAATAAAGTAGCACCACCGCTCACCCACATCCAAACCCACCCACTAATGCACGTGCTGTTCAGTCAGCCATTGTGTCTGTGTCCTACCTCTACCTCGACATGTGACTGTAGGTCCTGCCGGTAAAAAATCAATGACCCGTAATTTGACAGTTGCGGTTATTGCCCCCCCGTCTGCGTTTCTTTCTCATGCCATTATACCAAAAATCATTAAATGCCACCTTGACCTCACACCGCCGGCACCCGCCCGGTACTTGCGTCCGCTTTTTACAAGCTGTGTGGCGCCATCCTATAAGGAAATCGATAGAGCCGACCCGGCGCATTGCATAACAAAGGAACCGGATGACCTGCTCCAAAAACTAGTAGCAGAAGATGCGGAATTTACTCTATACTCGAACCGCTTCAAGATTTTTTCCACCTACTTATGTACATGCAAGTGTATAATCTCATTATGGTTGTTGACGAGCAAGTCGGCTCGGTCCAAAGTTTTGGGCACGTTGATAAACAAGTCTCGCTGTTATTGTTTGTTGCTTGTTCTTATAATTATCAACTTTTTGCTTCGCTTTGTTTTATTTTTATTATTATTATTTTTCTTGATACGCTGCAATTGTGCACCGATCTGGGTGAAGAGGAGTTGCTTATTTCAATGAGTCTTTTTGTGACAACGCTAAAATCTTTGTGCGTATTCCCATATGTTTACGAATATTCAAGACCGAATCAATGGAAAACATTTAAGAACTAAAGAGATATTAAATTTTTATACATGATAGATTTTCGTCGCTCAAGTTTAGTTTTTGTATTTTGAATCTTTATCCTATTATTAGTTTCTGCTTTCTTTATTCTGAAATTTTTTATACTATACAACCTAAAGGTTTATCAAAATCAGTGAATCATGTAATCATATCACGTATCAGCAACGAACTGATTGGTACAACAATGTTTATGGAAAATAGTGGGTACAAAGTATATAAGAGTCGAAACAGTACGACTTTAACAGGTTTTACTCGTTTGGTATAGAAATTAATATATGTATATATAATTATACGTTCCACTTTATTTAAAGTGTATATAGTTTTGGGTTTGAAAATCTGTAAGACCTTATATAAATATAATACTACTTATAGTATAATATAAAAATAACAGAACGACGTTGAATGCCGTCTAGAATGGCATGCATTCTGAATATGAAACGTTAGAGCATTCACAGTTCGCAGTTAATTCTTCTGGCTTTGATAAGCCACCCTACACTCAAAGTAGAACTCGAGCTGATAAAGCCATAAATGTTTTGCTCTCCATTCTGGGTACTACTTCGCCGGAGCTTCATAGGCTTCATATATATTATAGTGTATCAGTTATGTTTTGCGGTCTACTTGAATAACAGGGCCGACACTCTTATCCCGATAGTAAGAGTGGGTTCCCCTTATTGCTCATATTTCTATGGAGAGGAATCAGTTTTGAAAGCCGCAATTAACATTGGTTTGACCATGGCCATTAGTAATGCACAATTAAACAACTTTATTAGCCCGGTATTAACTATCATACCACATATGAAGAAACATCTGCTTTTAATGAGCCTGTAAATGCAGTTTAAGTGCGTTTTATATAATAACAAACACTTTTGCGTACTTCGACCGACAGATCGATCAACTGAAACTGTTTTAATTGTTATCACCCGATGCATGTCATTACACACACATGCATAAGTATACAACAATTATTGATAGGCATCCATTTAAAAAAGAAATTGACTATGCGGTACTTGTTTTCCTCAACGCTCGATTGCTTTTGTATTGCGTCGAGTCTATAATTACGCATATTATAAACTGAAATATTTATCGGATGAATTGTGAGTTTAAAATTACACATATGCGTCGATTCACAGGTTTCCATTAGGGTTGTGTTCATGTTAGTACATATAGTGCTATCTATGTATGTGTATAATTTATATATACGTAATATATAAATTATTGATTAAAAAACGATTATTGTTTCTTGCTTATAGCAGCCAAAGTTGTTGGCCAAATAATATAGCAACGCCACAGCCGAAAAACTGAACGTTTACAGGAACCAAGGCTTAAGATGACGCCAGAAAAATCGGTTTTAGCCTATGTCAATCATTTGATCGTTAGCAATTTTTCATATTTTTGTAAGTATAATTATAATAATTTAACCCAAAGAAAATTGCTTGGAGTAAACATTCTCAATTTGCTTTCAAGGGGACGAGGTCGATGGGTACCTTAACTACTTTGGTGGCACACTGGGCACGCTGACCTTGACCAGTCTAGCGGCCAGTGTCGCCTACTACTTTGCAACGCGACCAACACAGGAAAAACCATTAGTGCCTCTGGAAAACCAATCACCTTTGCTCGATGTAAGTAGAAAAGCACAAATCAGCTGACAAGCCAACAATGGTCATGCACACATAAAATTACACATTAGTATTTGATTCTCACTCACCCATTACATCATCGATTTGCCGATTGTTTGTCTTTAGTTTGAGGTAAAACAGACAGTTGGCTAAAGCAGGGCAGGTCTTTTGATGTGCCAGCCGCACATATCTCTCGAATACGTTGTCGTCACATGATTTTTCGTTTAATTTTCTTCTATTTTTTTATTTTTGTTGTGGCTTTTGTCTTACGATGACGCAGTCACTACAGTGGTACAAACTAGTGCAGCGGTATCTGCGAAAACGAGCAGAGGTCCCACGCTCTAATTAGTTGCCGTACTGGCTGCCAAAAAGTGCAACATTTGTGATAATTTATCAAACGTCCCATGCACTTGATGGCCGCGAGTGCCATAAATCATGCCATGGTTCAATTGACATCCCATAATTTCATTTAATTAGTCAAGTCAATTGTTGCTAATTCAATTTATGCAAAACTGCATTTGCCATTTAGGTTTCATAGCTTATAGTTTGTTTTTTTTTTTTTCCTTTTAACTTTTCATTTTACATTTGACTTGCAATATTATTGTTGAATTTTTTGTTCTGCATTTTTCAATGCACTTCCTCATTGTTTATATTTGTAAATAAACAAAGAATTTATAATTCGCCAATTTTTGACATCTTGGAGAAACAAGCTAACACCCACGACTGTGTCTGTTGAAAAAAAAAAAACCTTCAACAGTAATGCAGCTTTGAAAAGCTTAGAGATGAGAGCGATATGCCGCAAAATGTCATGAGTTCCCCAAATGCATGTTCGTATGTACATACATATATGCCTAAAATTAAAATATGCTATTTTTATTAACACTTTTTACCCGCTTGAGCTGAAATTTCTTTGGATATCCCCGACCTTGCCAAACATGCAAAAATAAATAAGCCCTGCTTAGTTCTCGACATCTGGTAACACTGATTTTCTAACGAATTGCTAATTATGCTAGGGATCTTCGACAAAACCAATTGGAACAAAAATAAGTGGCAGTTGGTTTTTAAAAAATAAATATCTTTGCGTTTAGTTACAATTGACGTGGAAAAAGTATAAACCGCATTGTTAGCAGAACAAAATTCGCCGCATATAACAGCACCCCCAGTTACCCACCTGACTGCCGGCGGCGACGACGACGTCAACAGCCTGGCTGCTGTAATCATAAGAGATGAGTAGCGGTACGGTGCTCGATCTCGTGCACATAAAACCAAACAGCAAGAAGGAAAGCGGGTGTTGGCTTCCGACAGACAGACGGACAATCAGACAACTTGATCAAACTAAAACAAGAGCAACACCCGAAAAATACAACTACAAATTATACACGAAAACGTTCAATATAAAAAATTCAAGCGAATGAAATTCCTATGTGATCACTAACAAGCCCACCCCCGCCCACAACGTCTGCATGGTCACCCGTTTCATGTGACTCCCTACTCACTGCTCCCCCCGGCCGCTGGCAATGCGTTGTCTTTTGGCCATTTTTCTCTCAGCAAAATGCTCGTTGTTGTTCTTAGCGATGAAGAAGATCTGCTGTGGGCCAAAATCATTTTTAGCCACAAAACTGGCTGCTCAGTTCGAAATTACACGTCGTGGCGTCGCGTCGGCCGTATCTGTGCGCAAGATTCTAGGCGTTGACAAAGGAACCAAAAGCAAATTTCGTTTAAAACAACAAAAGCAACATAACGTACATATAGAACGCGTTTTTTTTTTTTATAAATACATACATATACCACATTCTAACAAATATTAGAATATACTACCCGTTGATCAACAGCACCAGTGATCGCGAAGCGAAACAGAAAATATCGAAAAGTAGGAGGGAAACAAAACGCACGAGGCGGGCGACAATTTGCAACAAATTGACAAAAATACTGCCGTTTAATCATTACGTAAAGCGCGGGACAAATTTTAAAAAATTATCTTTTACTATTTCTTATAAAGGCGACGTCTAAATAAGTGTCATACTGCCGCCGCCTTGTTGCTGCCTGGGCCTTTGAACCCTAGAACCAAACGCTAGAGTTCAAGTTCATATGACATGTAGCGGACGGCTAAGACAGCTCCTCTATAGCCCCTTTCTGAAAAAAGAACAAGCCGAACATGCATAAACATCAACATAAATAAAAAAAACCCAGCGTACTCAGAGCTATGCGTGCCGTTGAAATCATTTCGATTTTAATACGTTGTGATATATGAATGAGAATAAAATTAAATGACACTAAGGCATTGTCGAGTATTTTCGGGGCCTGGCTATAGCCAATAGGAGACGTTGTTCGAAGCAGACAATGCCCATTTTCTTTTTGTTAGCCCATAAGCAGTACGCTTACGAGTGTGTGTTTGTATATTTTTTTTACCTAATGTTTGGCATCATAATATTAGTTGTAGTTATTTCATATTCAGATCCTTGCAGATTTACATGAGCGTACAATACTTTTAACATTTTCTCAATGTCTAAAATTGAAGAAAGTGTGCGGCTATTGAAGCATTTTTCAATTTGTCTGCTTTTTTCGAGCACATACCAACTAGAACCGGTGCGGGAGCAATGTGGTACATTGAACATTTTATGGAATTTTGATTGAAAGCTGTCATAAAACTACAAATTGCACTCACAGTAACAAGTAATTTAATTTAAAATATCATTGAATAAAAATCGAAGACAGACAGTATAAGGCTTTTTTAAAATTCACATATTTTGAAATCTCATCTTATCACTAGTCATCATAGTACGCTTACTTGATAGTTCACGTCTAGTCTATCCACTCTTCTTGCTGGGGATAGCATTCCCCCTACCTCATAACTATAGATAAATATATTTTTCGGTTGTTTCTACAACTGCATTTTTAAAACAGCCATTGAAATATAATTGCTGATCTAAAACATCAGGTAGTTCAGTGAAAAATATTGCCATAAAAGAAAAAATTTAGCATTACTTTATTTGAAGGCAAGATATGCATGTGTTAGGTATTATTCTTACAGTAGACTCTCACGAATTGAAAGCTCAGAAATCGGAATGTACAGAAAATAGAACCTATGTTTTTCAGCACAAAACGAATATTAATTTCATCAGTTTTAATTTCCAAATTAATAAGAGCCATCGAGTTTACTCATGTATTAATTAATTAAATTGTTTATTTATTAATTTCATTTTGGGTTTAAATATTTATCAAACGTATTTTATCAAACGTATCAATTTTGTAAATTCAAACTACAAATATCTGAATTTTAAAAAATATACTCGAAATAAAAATTAAGTGCTCTGAAAAACGAAGACTATAGTTTTCTACAATAATTGAAATGAAATACGACAACGTAATCAAATTGAATTGAGATCAAAAATTCTCATTGCAAATCATGAATGAAAACGATTTAATAGCGCATCATTTGTTTAATGTATCCATTAAAAAGAAACAGTTCGGGAATTGTACATTTTCAAAATGAGACTAGATGATTTTGATTTTAAATGGCGTGTATATAAACATATAGCAAATACAAACAAAGAAACTAAATAAGTGCAACTCATTCTCGTTTATAGCTACACACGTCGTCAGCTTAGGATTAACCAATCCTTCATAAATTTTTCAGCATATATTTAAAGTTATTTAACAGTTTATTAAATTAACCGTAAAGGAGATCGCGAGAAACTTAAAATATATTGTACAAAGAAAAATAATTATCAGGCCATAACAATTAAATAAGATTATAATTAATAATTTGGCAAAATCTCTCTGGGTCCGAATGGAAGCATTTGTAACACAAATTAAAATTTATCTTTATTATTTATTAGAAATTAGTAAAAAGTTTCACCAATTTATAGGTAGCTTATACAAATTGCTAAAGAATAATGCATTCCCCACTTACACTCATTATTCTTAATCCCCTCCTTTCATAGCGTAGCTTCTACAAGCCAATAATTCCCATGACTATGACTCAGGCCCCAAAACAACTCATTATTTGTTTCTGCTTGGGTGTGTGTGTCAGTAATTTTTCAACACACAAGTCGCTATGTTTTTGCAAAATCCTCAGCAAATGATGCTACTAATTGTTGTGCGTTTTGTGTGTTTTGCGGCCACTCGCTAGCAGATAACAACAGCATTTAACTATTTATAGACATTTGGGGCAGAAGAGCGATTCCGACCGCGACTGCGACTGCGAATTGTGCTGTCGATGTTTGTATCGGGTCCGCGTGCCCCTTCCACAGCACGCAACTGACAATATTGAAAAATTATAAACAAAATCGAATTGGCAACACTTAGCAAATAGAATCTGACAGCGGCGGCTTGCGGCGCCACAACTCTTGTCGCTTTGCTTTGAAGATAAGGGATGAGGGGGACTTACCAAAATACCTTACGAGTATACGTGTATGCTTCTCTGCCTCGCTATAATTAGACCAAAGAGCGTTTGTACCTGTTGGCTCGATGCTAGCGCGCCTTCATTCATGCTATATTAATTAGAATTAAAATGCCCGGTGCGTAAATATGTGAAAAATTAAATTGAAACTGAAATAGAGATTTTATGAACGGACCGACCGTTGCATGACGTCAAATGATGCGAGTGGTGAGGCCGGGGGGGCTGAAGCAGAATCGAAGGCGTGAGCGAAGTGGGCAGTTGGTGCTGTTGCTGCTCATAAAAATAGTTGTCGAAAAGTGAAAACCGTATCGTTTCATTTTGCAGTCATTTGGAAAATGTGCATAATAAACGCTTTGGCGGGTAAATTGAATGACCAATAAAAGCTGAAAGCCGTGCAAAGTGTCACACAGTAGACGTCAAAAGTGAATAGCAAATAATAACGACGGAGAGACAAGATGTCTTGTTGCGGCCAAATCACCACAATACGCGTGCCAATCGAGCTGAGCAATCAGAGTGATGTGCTCAAGGTAAAGAAGGCTTCTACTTACTTGTATATCTAAATCTTAACTAACATTGGCTTAAATCCGTTTACGTGTGCGAAACTAATGATAATTCTTTGCTTTTTCTTTTGTTTTATTTTTCTTTTGTTCCTCTTGTTTTTCGGCCAACATTTAATCTGCAGCTTATATACGATCCACGGCAAGATATCAACCACAGGGTAGGCGTGCGATTTCATTTCAATTTCGTTAAAGTTTCTGCCCCTAGGGGTATGCAGTACATTTCGTCGCTCGCTCGCTCTCTCCCTTTCCCAACCTTCCTCAAAGTATACCGTGCGTCATGAAAACACACAGAACCGGCACAAGCTCGATCAGTTTATTGTATAAACAAGCACAAATCATTCGATTTATTTTTTACAAACATTTTTGAAAGCATTTGCTCATTAAAGCGCCAGCAGACCATTACCATTTGGCCTTTGGTCTATTTTGATACTCGTCCCATGCATCAACACTTGGGTTTTTTCGCCAATCATGTTTTTTTTTCTTTTTTGTTTGCGGCTGTTTCTCATAAAGGAAGTGCGCTATTGCTTTTCGATTTATTGATACGATCGCGCCACTTTGCACTTACTATATTGGCCGATTTTATGTGCGCAATATTTCCGCTGAGTGATATGTTTATGGCATACGAGGATTAAAGAAAAACAAACCGTATATCATGCGATTGTATGAAGCAAGTAAATTAAAATTCTTATTGATGAACGTCTATCAACGACAGCAATCACAACACAAATACAAATACAAAGCTATTTCCAGTAATTCCTTGTGCAATGTGAAATGCGTTCAATCACAAATTTTGTGTAAATTGAACGGGATGGCCTCGAAAAAATATGCTTTCATGTTCGATTCATAAGCCATTTACTCGGTTTGTTTTCAATCAAAATTTTAGCAAATGGCCATTTTTTTTAAATATTTTTATATAGCATATGTATGTGTATGTACATATATAAAACAGATATTAAAATGTCTGTAACATCCATATACTTATAGACATCAAAGTCCGTCTACCCTTCCAGCTTTAATGCTATACGCCTATTTTGCTGTCAAACGAACAATCGCTTGAACAACCACTTGGTGGTTGTTCTTAAAGTTCTTGAATTTGAACAAAATAAAGCCACTACTATCCCTTACCTGTTTTAAAAACAAATATATTGTTTGTTTTCAATAACAGCGCACTGAAACCACCATGACACGATTAAGTACATACCTTAGATTAGATACTTCATCTACCTTTTTACATTACACTTTATTTTAATGGGGTAAGGAGTACGAGTTTCGCTTTATTATTAGTAATTTTCTACTAAGACGATTAGATATGTCTAAATAGACCAGAAGGGCCTTTTATATTGACCACTGGGTTAGAAAATGCATCTCTTAATAATGATTTAGCAAGCTTTTCTGTAAATGGAACGAGTGTAGTTAGAAGTTTAAATTTAAACTGTTGTAGATTAAGATTATCCGAAATCAGTTGATATATTTTTGAATCTATTGAAGGAGCCTTTGACACTGGAAACAAGTTTGATATTTTTAACAACAAAATTGATTTTATCATGAAATAATAAGAAAAACATCACTTTATTAAAATTGGATATTATTCAAACTCTGGAAAAATTCTCAAAAAGAAAGACAGAGAAAATCTGCATTAAGATAGGAATATGACAGAATTGGATAATAATCCGGTTCCTTAGAACTTTTAATGGCAATACTTGCAGTCTCTGCTATGAGAAATATGTATATAGAGAACTTATTCTAAAGAGCTGTGGTGCAATGCAATAGAAAATAAAATTGTCACACATGTTGCCCATTGCCTTCTGAGTTTAGACTATAGGTACTCATTAGATAAATTATAAAATTAATGATTAGATAAATAACACCGTATATTCAGTATGTTTTTACAACAGTCTAGGAATATACTTACAAATTTATTGGAACTATTTCACTTTCAGCTGCTTATACAATACATCTCATGCATAAAACGTATTAGTATTCCGCATTCCAAGTCCCCTTTTCTCAATCTCTGTCACTCATTGCATGTACACAACTTTTTCCTTCTTTTCTATGGTCTTTTTCAGGGTCCAGAACAAATACACGTTTCCAAATTCTACAAAGAATCAAAAAATGGCAAATTTGTGTCCTACATCACAGAGAACGTGCGGACACTCTATCAGACGTTCCGCGAAGGTGCATATGCCTCGAACAATGGACCCTGCCTCGGCTGGCGGGAGACGCTCACATCGCCCTACCAGGTGCCTAACTCTTGATATATTGTGTGCGCTTAAATCTTGACGACTATTTTTTTCGTACAGTGGATTAACTATGACGAGGCCCTATTACGTGCCAAGAACTTTGGCTCCGGAATGCTAGCGTTGGGCGCTCGTCCCAAACAACTAATTGGCATCTATTCGCAAAATAGACCGGAGTGGATTCTATATGAGCAGGCCTGCTATTCCTTTTCTCTGGTTGTGGTGCCGCTCTACGACACCCTCGGTCCAGATGCCTGTGCTTTTATCATACGCCAAACGGAAATGTCTATAGTCATAGTGGAAGACGATGCCAAAGCGGGCATGCTGTTGGAGAAGGCGCCGCGTAGCCTGAAGATTATTGTTTCCATTAAGCCCATCCGGCAAACGACGTTAGAGCGTGCGCGAAGTCGTGGCGTTCAAATATTCTCCTTCATAGATGTGGAAAAACTTGGCGCCAAAGGCAATCATGCCGAGGTACCGCCCACAGCCGAAGACCTGTGCACAGTGTGCTACACTTCCGGCACCACAGGCAATCCCAAAGGCGTCATGCTCACCCACGGCAATGTAGTGGCTGGCGTCTGTGCCGTTATCTTGCAAATGGGTGATCATCGCATACGAGCCGGGGATGTGATGATCTCGTTCCTGCCTTTGGCCCACATGTTCGAGCGCTGCTGCGAAAACGGCATCTATTATGTAGGTGGCTGTGTAGGTTTCTACTCTGGCGACATCAAGGAGCTGACGAACGATCTGAAAATGCTGAAGCCCACTGTAATGCCAGCCGTTCCCCGACTCCTAAATCGCGTCTACGATAAAATACAAAACGAGATATCCTCCTCGTCGCTGAAGCGCGGTCTCTTCAACATGGCCATGAAGTCCAAGGAGAAGGAGATCGCCCGAGGAGTGCTACGGCGCAACGGCTGCTGGGACAAGCTAGTCTTTAAAAAGGTGCATCAGGCGTTTGGAGGTAATCTACGACTTATGGTCGTGGGATCAGCGCCGCTGGCTGGCAATGTTCTTACCTTCATGCGCTGTGCCCTGGGCTGTCTGGTTCTGGAGGGTTACGGTCAAACGGAATGCACTGGAGCTATTACGCTTACTGTTCAGGGTGACTATGTGCCCAATCATGTTGGGCCGCCTGTCTCCTGCAACGCCGTCAAGCTGGTGGATGTACCCGAGATGGAGTACTTTGCAAATCAAAATACGGGAGAGGTGTGTGTGCGTGGATCGAATGTGTTCCACGGGTAAGTAAACTACAATAAAACAGTAGAGACTAATTCTTTGGTAGATTATATTTTAATTAGAAAAAGGGCTTCTACACATAGATACCATTTGTTTAAATCTTTGCCAACAATATAAGGCAAATTCAATATTTGACTTTACGTGTTTATATAAATCAATAATTATAGTTCCCATATGGATATCTGTAGTTGGGTGCTACAGAAATATTATGCTATCAGTGTTGAAGCAGCTTTTTCTCCAAACTTTTAACTCGTGTAAAAGTAGTGTACTCCTATATATTTAAGTTTTTATAGCCTGTACCCAAAGGGTGAAAGGCTATACTAGTTTTGTGCGCATGTATGTAACACACAGAAGGAGGCGTGGCAGACCCCACAAAGTATATATATTCTTGATCAGGATGAGAAGCCGAGTCGATATAGCCTTGTCCGTCCGTCCGTCTGTCCGTCTGTCTGTCCGTCTGTCCGTATGAACGCAAGGATCTCAGAAAGTATAAGAGCTAGAATAACCAAACTTGGTTTCCATATTCTCCTAAGACCGAGAAAGTACGAGTTTGAGTTTTTTTTCGATGCACCCCCCCACTCCCCCGCAACTCGTGTTTTTTCTTATAACTTCCGTAATTCTCGGAATTTTGAAATCAATTTTGGTAGGTACATCCAGTTAGTACTAATGTGTCCGTGTGCCAAATTTCATCATGATAGGTCAATTCTGAAGAAAGTTATAGCCATAAGTAAAATCGCTGCTCATGCGCTGCCTCTGTCGGCAGCGCTGCCCGCAGCTGTTGTTGTTGTTGCTGCTTTGGTTCAACTTTGTGCTGCATACATACACGCATATAAACACGCATAGGTACGTGATGTAAATGTATGCTGTTAAAACTAAACATAAACATATATTCTAATTTAATTTAATTAATAAATTCATTAATTTTTTTTAATAATTAAATTTTTTTTTTAAATTTTTTTTTTTAATTTTTCTTTTTTTGTGGAGAGTACAGGCTATTTTACTGTCGGGCTTGCTCGACTGTAGCGTTCTATCTTGTTTTAAACTAATAATTCTTCTTATAACTATCTACAATCCCTCGTTACTTATTACTTAATTAAGTTAAACATTCGCTTAACAGCTACTACAAAGACGCGGAAAAAACAGCCGAAGCCATTGACGCGGAAGGATGGCATCATACGGGCGACGTGGGAATGTGGCTGCCTAATGGTACATTGCGAATTATCGATCGACGCAAGCATATCTTCAAGCTAAGCCAGGGCGAGTACATAGTTCCCGAGAAGATTGAGAATATCTATACGTTGAGTCAATATGTCAATCAAGTTTACGTCTATGGCGAAAGCTTAAAGGTAAGAAGATGATGGCCTCAAAAATAATTTATTTGGGCTGTATAAATTTATGATTAGTTGATTGATAAATATTTTCCATCTCATTGTCGTAGAGTTGCATCATAGCTGTTGTAGTACCTGATGTTGATGTACTGAAGCAATGGGCCACGGAGAACAACGTACGCGGCACCCTCTCCGTCCTATGCAATAATAAGAATGTCAAGGAACTGATTATGAACGATATGCTCAATTGGGGAAAGCAGAGCGGTCTAAAATCATTCGAACAGGTGCGTACAGAAGACTGCCCTGAATCCACCCAAAACCCCAATTTTCACATCCTTTGCAGGTGAAAGACGTTTATCTGCATCCTGATCCTTTCTCTGTACAAAACGGTCTGCTCACACCCACATTCAAGGCAAAGCGCCCGCAACTGAAGAGCTACTTCAAGCCGCAGCTCGAGGATATGTATAAACATTTGGATTAAAGTAATAACAAACACTACAACAACTAGAACAACGAAGAGCAAACTAAACCGCATCCAAATGGACACAAAACCAACAATAAATACTACTACTTATAAATAAATAAATAACTATATAAACTGATAGCAAAGACTAAAATTATTTTTGAATATCAACAAGAAGCAAATGCCAGAATAATAGTTACATGTACTTAATACGTACATCTACATATACAAGAATAGTACTACATAGCAAGAAAATCGAAAAATATAAATCTAATTTTGTAGTTTCGTCAATTTTTAGCATATAAGCTGAGCAATAACAAGTACACGATTCAGGATGCAGATATAATTCTAACTGGCCGCAGCATTTTACGACTATACATATGTAGGTATAATTTAATAGGGAACCTCTTAGAAATTCTTGTCAAAACTGTAGGTCAAATATGTTAACTATGGTTGTCCAAATTGCAATGGTTTAGTTTCGAATCGTGTTTTATTTAATTAGCAACAAATACGTAGTCTGAATAAAACATATTCAAACATATTGATAAAATGAGTAAAACCAAAGCTTTAATACTTAACACTACTAATACACTCAGAGTTAGTTTAAATAAAAAATATAACATTTTAATTAAAAAATTATTAAAATAAAGCTATAAATACGATAACGCTGATACCGAGAATAAAAATAAAAATAATGCCAGGGCCGATTAGGGATATGCAAGCAAAGCATGTCGTTTTACAATTAAAGCAAAGCAATTTAACAATAAACTTACAAATTTTACAAAGGATTAAGCGAATTTTTTTAAAACGTCGCAACTCACTTACCACTTGGACTGCACTGTCTGCCTTACAAAACGAAGAGAAAGCAAAGAAAAACTCTCTAATATACTAAACATAAAATACAGCATAATGATAATAATATTGATAATTCTTTTCCTAACTTATAATTTTAAATAAATAACCTAAACAAAATCGAAATCGTTTTTCATTGAAATAAAACGCAAGGACTAATTTCTGACTTCTTCTTGAATTTTTTTCCCATATAATTTATATAATTCCTGGAAACTTTTATTATACCCTCAACCTGTACTTAATGGCTAAACTGATGATGTATTAAGTTCCAATGTATTTAACACACAGAAGAAAGAGTGGCAGACATCGCAAAGTACTTATGTACTTGTATATGTATTCTTTATAAGTAGATGAGAAGATCAAATCTAGTACAAACATATAGCCATATCTGTCTGTTTGTATGGACGCAGCAGTAAGTGCGGAAGTTTGTGTTTTTCTTGTCGATACACCCCCACTCCTACGTTGGCAATAACTGTTTATGTTGATACTCCCGTCAGTAAAAATATTTTTACGACTGCGCCGAAACAACAATCTGTTCAGTCAGTGATTCTCCACCTTTAGCTTTACACTTTTTTTATAGCCTGTACCCAAAGGGTGAAAGGCTATACTAGTTTTGTGCGCATGTATGTAACACCCAGAAGGAGGCGTGGCAGACCCCACAAAGCATATATATTATTGATGAGGATGACAAGATAAGTCGATATAGCTAGGATAACCAAACTTTGCATTCAGGTTCCCCTAAGCCTCAGGCAGATCGAGTTTGTGTTTTTTATACCCTGTACCCAAAGGGTACAAGGGTATATTAGTTTTGTGCGAGTGCACATGGAACACACAGAAGGAGGCTTGGTAGACCCCACAAAGTATATATATTCTTGATCAGCATGACAAGCCGAGTCGATATAGCCATGTCCGTCTGTCTGTCTGTCTGTATGAACGCAAGGATCTCCGAAAGTATAAGAGCTAGAATAACCAAACTTGGTATACAGATTCTCCTGAGACCGAGAAAGGACGAGTTTGTTCATTTTTTCTGATCCACCCCCCCTATTTTATATTTAATTTAGTTAATTAATTAAATTAATTTAGTTTATTAATTAAATTAATTTAGTTAATTAATTAAATTAATTAATTAATTAAATTAAATTAATTTAATTACTTTTTTGTGGGGTGGTACAGGGTATTTAAGAGTTGAGCCTGCTCGACTTTAACATTCCTTTCTTGTTTTTTTCTGATACACCCCTCCCCCCACTCCACCGCAATTCGTGTTTTCCTAACTCCGGTAGTTCTTGGAATTTTGAACTCAAATTTGGAACATACATCCATGTCCGTGTGCCAAGTTTCATCATGATAGCTCAAATATGAAGAAAGTTATAGCCAGAAATAAAATCGCTGTCCGCAGCTGTTGTTGTTGTTGCTGCTTTGATTCAACTTTGTGCTGCATACATACACGCATAGGCAAGTGATATAAATGTATTCTGTTAAAACTGAACATAAACATGTCTTCTAATTAAATTTAATTAATTCCATTTTTTGTTAATCATTTAATTTTAAAAAAAAAAATTTTTTTATTTTCCTTTTTTGTGGAGAGTACAGGCTATTTCACTGTCGGGCTTGCTAGACTGTAGCGTTCTATCTTTTTTATCATTTATTATTTAAGTATTTTAATTACATTTACTTCTTCTTTATCTTGTATTGCCATTTTTTCTTCTTCTTTTCTTTTTTGATAGGTCTAATAACGTCTCTGACTACACTCTGCTGTGAATCGCGGCATAGCTGGCCATTGCCTAGTAAAATTCCCCCACCGAGTCGAATACGTTTTTAGGCACTTTTGTTATTTCTATTGGCTTTGTTTTTCTTTAGTTTTATCTAGTATAAGTTCTGTATTGTTTTTATTTTTTTCTCACAGCTCTTTTTCGACAGGTCTGTTTGTCGTTAAATAAATGAAAATATATATACCCTTAAGCCGCAAACTATAAGTCTAAATATGTGCAAAATAGTAACATCAAAAAGCACTCTTAACCTATTTTGCATTTTAAGTAAAGATTACATTTTGATTATGAACTAAACTTCCTACCCTAGAAATTAGATCCTCGCATCTCAACTTCTCGACCAGTTACATATTTTTACAGCCGTTCTCATATTATTTTGATATTCAATATTGACTCCAGCTTTCAATCCATTTACGATCCTCACCTTTCAACCCACCACACTTTCATTTACATGTGTGTTTTTTGATGAAAAAACAGTTTTTAATCGCTTTCAATACGACTTGAAATTTCATTGACATTTTGCAAATACATATGTATGTATATTCCATGTTCTGTTTCGAACGGTACTCACAACGGTTAATATATCCCTTTCAGACCCCACGCCAAAACACCGTTTTTTTTTTAAAATTATATGGTCTTTGTATTTTATGAAAATTTTCTCAATGTCTGGGTTAAAGGGAAACACGAAACAATGTGAGAAACAAACGTAAACAATAACACGCACAATTGATGCACCAGGATCTGAAAGGGATATAGTATAAGAATGGAGACTACTTATACACATGTATCCATTCAATGCACGATTCTCAGTACCACGCCTTCTCCACTCCATTAGTTCTACAATGTTCCCTTTTATCAATGAAAAATGTTTTTACAAAAACCGAAGTTATACTTTCTTTTCGAAGTGTTTAAAGGCATAGGCGCTAAGGTGTTAATGCAAACTATTCAAAAATAAGTAAATACTTTAAACAAGCGTTTAATACAGTTCTTTCTATGGTTCCACTTATAATAGCGCTCAATGTGTACATTTATTCATTAATTTCAGCTTAATTAAAGTCGTTGCGAGCTCCTGGAATGCAAATTGAATTAAAAATTGCTTGCTTAATTAATTAAAAATTAGATTTTTAAATTTATTATGTTGTAGGAGATGCTTAGCTATGTAGTATCGAGTTGACATTAGGCTTACAAGAATCACTTAAGGCGCAACTGCATTACAAATTCAGCTAAAGGGCAGTCACAGCTCGCCGTGCTTTGGCTCCGGCATAGGCGGGTCAGTCACAGGAAACGCATTATCCTCTCTGCTCCCACTTGTCCCACTACCGTGCGAGTTCTCGTGATCTTCTATGCGAGCCAACAGAGCCTTCAGCTCAGCATCGTAATCCTTCCACTCGGGCACGATGCGTTGCGCCGCCGTAAGTTTAGCCTCCTTTGTCTGCGGATTGTTGCACAAATCGATGACCTTGGCACGCTTAAAGGAGCTATCACTGCACCAGGTCTGACACCATAGCCATTCATCTGGGAGTGATTTAATTGCCACCTGATGTATCATATTATTGGGTAAGTCCTGATCAAGATTGGCCAAGCTGTTGGGATCCTGACTGAGCGCCTGATACTGCCCACGTAGTCTGTCACCGGCAGCAATCTTGCGGAAGCGCTTTAGATCCACCACATACAAGGCAGAGATATGATACCGTCTTCCCATAAGATGACTGCGCCAGTAGCCCTGCTTCCAGAACCGGAAACCTTCCATCTCCTTCCTCGAATCACAGAAAGGAGTATAGGCGTAGGGCGCACCACCCAAGTCCAAATCGTACAACTCCTTAATGTCCGTACGCACAATGGCATCAGCGTCCACAAAGATTATTTTGCGAACATTTAGCGGGAAAAGGACGTCAAGGAAGAGTATTTTGTAGCCCCAAATCGTGCGCTGTTTTTCCGTCTGCTGATGCAACCAACGCGGCCACTTGTATTGGACTAGCTCATAACGGAAATTATACTCGCGGGCCATGTGGGGCAGAAAGTCGGTGAACTGTGGCGACAGATAGTTCTTAAGGAACCAAAACTTCACCGGCGATTTGGTGTGCTTCAGAAGCGACACCATCATGATGCGCAGCAGACGCTCGTACAAATGTCCCGACGCCACGGAGAAGATGTTGATCGTCTCACTGTCCTCGTCCGTTGCTCCCGTTCCGCTGCTGCCACCGCCAAAGCTACTAGCAATGCTATTCCATATGCCCGTCTGCGCATTATCGTTGTCATCGGAAAGCAATTCAGCCTGCTGCATACCCGGCCGTTTGGATACTCGCAACTTGATAACATGCGAGCGCAGGGAACTAATAAGCACCTGTGTCGCACCTGCCTGATGCAAAGTATTCGGTCCTTCGGCATGTGTTATGTCATAAATGTCCGCAGATTTGCCATCGCGGAGGCGCAAAGTCCAGGCGCCCGGATTGGCCTTCAGCTGGAAGTAACCCAAATTGGCCATAACTATGGTATCGACTAGCGTGGGCTGCGCCTTGGTACCCAACACTAACTGCAAGCCACGTGGTGGTGCCCCGGTGGCAGCATCAAAACAATGGCCCTCGAGCAGCAAATATTCCAAATCGAACTCACTGTGCACAGGGCCGCCAATATCGCGTAGCTTAATATTGTCCAGGTCGTAGACGGCGCGCACAGCCTCCACCAGCCAGTTCTCGGGAACTTGCAATTGCTGCGTAAGAAGCGGATTGGCAGGTAAACCACTGAACTTAGCCAGAGGTCCATCAGCGCGAGCGCCGCTCGCTTCAAACTGCACCTCAGGCTCCACAACATAGCGATAAAAGTTCTTTACTGGCATGTCGCTGTGTTGAGGCACAGGCGTCAGATAGATGTGGAGCTGGCAGTTCAGAGTCTGACGGAGCAGTATCAAAATGGGGGTCAGCTTCTGGGCGGCTCGCGATGCAGGATCCAACACGGCAACGATATCGAAATGAGGCAACAAAGTTTGCTTTGGTGGCAGCTGCACCACTGAATGAGCAGTCTTTAAGTCCGATGGCAATTTAAAACGGGTCTTGGTCTGCCGTGGCAGCAAACTCGCATAGAGTTTGAGCAGCGTGTCGCTGTTAAAATCTTTACCCACATCCATTGCGGACGCCTTAAGCACATCGCGTACCTTGTCACCATACTGAAGCGAGCTATAGCGCGAGAGCAGAGCAAAGTCGGCACTGTCGAAGGATTCTCCAGCGTTAAGGGGTCCATAGAGACGTCCATTGCCAATTACCAGACGCTGCGATTTACCCAATCCTAGAACGCGTTGAGCATAGACGCGCAGCATTTTCAAATGGAGGTCGGTAGAGCCCAGAACCTCCTCTAGCTGCTTGGGCAGAACCGGCTTCTCTTTTGGCTTACGAAGCCACTTAAGAACTGTGTCCGTAGCCTCTGACGGTTTCAGCGTTTGCATAGCCGCCCATGCTAATTGATTGAGCGACTGTTTGTTGCCTGCAGCAATGCCCTCCGTATTGGGGATGAATGCCAACCGCACACTCTGTCCAGACTGAACATACTCCAACGCATGTGTAAGCAAGGCGCGTCCCTCGACAGTTTCCAAATCGGCGAATACCCACAACGTAAGAAAATGTATGGAGGCATGGCCAATGTGCTCCGTGCTACGCTTTCCGCCAAAGTATTTCAGATTTTGCATCAGAGTGGCAGTCATGTCACGATTTGACAGTCTATTTAATGCCGCCGCATTGCTTAACTGTTTCGAGGGCACTCCGCTGATGTCTAAATATTTGACATCATCGTTGCTGAGGATGCGTTGATTGAGGCGGGGCATTACATGGGGCTGATTCATTAAATAATCAATGGCAACCTCGTTATCCGTTAAGTCACCGCGATAAACTGCTTTCTGCAGTGCCGTGGTCTGGCTGATGATCTCTGAGAAAATTGCCTCCTCAAAGTCGCTATCGGCTGTTATGATGTTACTCGACATTGGAACGCCGTTGAGTAGAGCCTGTGGTTGACCCACTTCTCCAAATCCTAGGCGCTCAATGAACTCTGCTGCCAGCTGACGTCCGTAGTCATAATCAGAGTCCTCCTCCAAAAATTCAGACGCCTTGCTGCTAGAAAGCGTAGTGAACTCCTTAGTAAGCTGCAACGTAATATGCTGGAGTGTCACGGCTGCCGTCTCTCCAACTGCTGCATAAATATCCGTGAGAAAACTAAGAGCTGCCCGTGCATCCTTTTTCTGACTAACATAATTAAAGGCACATGCAATAGCAACGTAGTCTGCTGAAGTCTGTTCGTTGGCAGCTCTGGCATCGAACACAATACCTAGACGCACTGGCGCTTGATGCAGTATAAAAGATTCAGCTAGTTTAATTACACTGCGTGCCACCGGCTGCAGCGCATCTACCACCAGCACTAGATTAAACACATTCTTCCGTATATTACGCAGCATACCGGGAAACGTGGGCCGCAGTAAATCCATGACCGACGCCGGCCAACGGCGGTATTGTGCATCCGTTTCTATGTCATTGACCCACTGCACCGCAGTGTCGCGAATATCGATGGCAAATTCGCGTTTGTTGGACCCCGCCAAGTCAAGAGCAAGCAGGGAGGCGGCCAATGTACCGCGTACATTGTTGCTATGTAGACTTTCAAGTACGCGTACCTCTGCGCGCAACGTCTCCACCAAGGAATATAGATCCATGGTGTCTGCATCAAAGAAAAGACCATTGATGAATAAAGCACCATCAGGCGGCGCCACATTGAGCGTGCGTCCAAAGGACTCCGTATTATGTTTCACCTCCGATCGCAGAGCTTCTGTCACCTTATGCGCCAGCAGTGTACGTGCCAACATGGGAAAGTTATGCGCCGTATACTGTAGTATTTGCAGTGCTTCATCGCTTTGTATTTCAGCTATGGCAGCGGCTGCCTGCAGCCCAAGGTCTTGAAATTCCCACGCCTTTAACTGAGCAATTTCGTCATTTCCCTGCAGCAGACGCTGTCGCAGTTGATCCAATGCGCGCTTAAGAGTGGGATGGCGCGATTTAAGTACCTTGAAGTCAAAACCTTGTACATCGGAGTCATTGCCTGCATCATCGCCAACTCCGGCACCATCGGCTCCTGCTTCTGGCTTGAGTGCATCATCCTGACTCTTATACTCCGTTGACTTTAAATGCAGCTCCACGCCGTAGCCGGAAAGACGAACTGCTTTCGTGCTGCGCTCACCAAGCTGATGGCGCAATATGTAGCGCACTTTTCCTGCATTGGCCTCGCGCTCGAGCAGCTTATGAAAGGGACGAAATGCGGCGCTGCCTAAATCGCTGTAGAGCACAACAGTGCGTGTATTGTTCTCGCTGCCCGGGTAAATGTGGTCGAAGCTGTAGGTTTCCACCGTTGCATCCAGGCTTGTAGCTGCTGGCAACTGGAGCTTCTGTTGCAGCTCCGACAAGCTGCAGGCCAGTTCAGTGCCTACCTGTGCATAAATTGCTGCCTGACAAGCACCTGATGCACGCAGTTCATCAGCCAACTGAAAATGTGTTTGTATACGCGGCGTCAAGCTATGCATAGCCACAACGAGCTTAAGGAGTGGCAACTGCGGCGCACTGAGATGTGCTCGTACCAATTGCAACGCCGCATTGTACTGCTGCGACTCAGTATCTGCAAGAATTTTTTATTTACGTTAACCCATAACTTTCCATCACACGTTTACTTACCATAACTGTTGAGCGCCGAGTCCACTGTTACCGCTCCCTCCACATAATCCCAAAACAGACCGGCTTGCTCGTCTGCTAAGTACTCGGCAATTTCCAAGTACAATGGCGTCTGTGTCCATTTCGCATTGATAAGTGTTGTTATGGGATAGCTCTGGCTTGACTCTGTACCCAGACAGTGAGAGGTAAGCGCAAGTAAAGCGCAGAGGCACAGAAAGTGTTGCTGCATTGTTATTGCTGCTGTTACGTGTTTTGCTCTGTGCACATGTCTTGTAGCCGCAAGTCCGGTTTAATTATGATCCTAAGAGCTGAAGGCGAACTCTAACACTGTTGGGCTTGAAGCACGACGCGATTTAGAGCAGTTTTCAGCCTTTAACGTTAATCTAATTTAACAAGAAAAACTGATGTGGCGTTTAGCCGGTCAGCAAAAGTATTGCCAGCTCTAAGCAAACGTTCTTTACAGCCAGGGATGCCAATTTGGCCCTTTACCCGTCAAATCTGGCCATTTTTCAAATACATTTGCGTGTAAATTCGAATAATTGCGGAAAAAGGGAAGCGACAACTTTTGGGAAGTCCAGCTTTTTTAAATATATTTAGCTTTTTCAACGTTTTTATTAGAGTTGCAAACTGTTAAGCTTGATCTCATTCCCCTTCCCTTCAAAAACAGATTATTATACCCTGTTTTCTTCTGAAAAGTTGGCATCACTGCCAACAGTAACCGTAACAGCTGTTCGGCGGGCGCTTTGTTTACGGCTGCGCGCATCACGCGCAAGAGCAATTGCATTAAAAATATAGACGCTATAGTAAACGAAATGAAATGCACGTTTGAAGGCAGCAATGCACGTGGTAAGTTAAGCATATATGTAATTATTTTACTTCCATTTCACTTAAAATGATTTTGTATATGCAGTCATTGCTAAAGCGATACAATCGCTCTCTAAAGTGGGAAAGGAACTTTACGTAGAAGTAGATCAGAATGGCTTACTACTTCGCGCAATTAATGCAACACACTCCGCTGTAGGAAGCATACGCTTTAAGCGAAGTATGTTCGAAACCTTCAATCTCCCACGAACCGGCAATGCAGATTTCTACTGCAAGATATCAATGAAACCTTGCCTTGCTGCGTTTCGCAGCATGAAGCAAGTGGAACACTGCGAGCTAAGCATAACGGACAACCAAACAAAATTTCAGGTCAAACTACGCTGCAAGTTGGAAACCGTGCGACAATCTGTGATTGCCATATTGGACGAGCAGAACATCACCGCTGGCGTTTTGCCAGATCACAGTGCCAACGTGTAGGTGTCTACCTTTACATTTTGCTCATCAAAATTCAAAATTCTTACAATTCCCACAGCATACGCGGCGAATACAAACTGTTCATGGAAATTTCCAACAGTTTCAATGCTGCCGAAGAAGAACTGACGCTAGAGGCCAAATCGGACAGCCTGGCAGCCAAAAACTATATAGAGGGTGCGCGCGTTAGTGACAGGTTTATGCGGTCCCAGCTAAAGCTAAAGCCTAACGAATTTACTAGCTATAATGTGACCCAGGACACTGTTATTACTTTCTGTCTGAAAGAATTTCGCGCATTCCTACTCTTTGCGGAGTCGCTAAGTGCAGACATGACGTTGGAGTTTGACGAGCCGGGCAGCCCGTTCTTTCTTAAGATAAAAAAACACGATGACATCGAGTGTTTGCTTATCATGTCCACCCTGTCGCCTGACGATGTAAGTTTTTCGGAGGATTATTGTCAGCGCGAACTCACTGTACAGGATGCTGCATCCCCTGTAAATGTATCCAAAAAACGAAAGGGCAGCGCGCCTACTGAGCAAATTGAACACAAACGACGTCTGGCAGACGACACCACACTTAGTACGACAAGTACCGATTTAGCGCTCTTTCAGTATAATGGATTGCGTACAACCCCAACTAATATATCAGAGCCGAGTTCTGTGCAACCAGCGCGCTTGCTCCCCGAAGGTGATACTGTCGACGTCGATGACGATGAGGAGGCACTTATTCTTGCTGCTGCCGTCGCAGTAGAATCCAGTCAAACTATGCCTACTGCCAATGAGTTGCTTTCTTATAATTCGCAAGAGGCCCCACCTATGACTGTACTGGCTGTGCAGGAAGACGGCAGCGATGAAGACTGCGTTCCGCAGTCGCCAGAGCATAGGGACAACGTGCGCGCCATTTTCTCACGGTGCTTTCAAAAAACGTATGTGCCACGCGAACCATCGCCGAGCAGTCAAATGTATGCACCCAATTCGGATACAGAGGATTAGCTTAGTTTGTTCGTTTATTAATAAACACCCGCCCTTTAGTTTAAAGCCCTATTGGTGTTTATAATGGGAATAAAGCTACCGCTGAATGCATCCCTCAGCTTTATTTGAAGCTGCGCAGAATTCCCTTGCGCCTGCTGTAGTGCCGTGTGTGCCGCTTGCATATAAACCTGCGACTTGATTAGCATTTGATCGGTTGTAAGAAGCTGTTTTGAAGCAGTAACCACAAAATTTCTTGTAAATCCGCCTAAAGCCTTCCAAATGTCAATGTTGTTCTCAACTGAAATGGAATCGTCAAGACTCGACTACTTACATACATATGTACATAAAAATGTATTTTGATTTTACCTACTCAGCTTGCGTTGTAACAGGTTGTTCCGATATATCGAACCAGTGCTCAGACTTTTATGTTGTTCATAGACATCTTCATCAGACTCTGTAGCCTCACTGGACACCTCCGGGGCGATAATCTAAAATGGTGAATGGTGACTAACCATGTGCTTCATCAATATGGATATACCTTATGAGTATTGTAAGCCGACGTATCCTCATCCGACTCGGAAGCTTCGCCACGTACCAACGCATCCATTCTTAAGTTTATAAATAAAAAAAATGCACGAAAAGGAAAACAATTTGCAGCACAGGGTGGCTCGTGTTTAAATGTGCTCACAGGTGTTACCATCGTTCTTTACTTTCTTAAATTTAACTTTAAGCAACTTGTTTCGTATTTGTATGTATATGCATAAAAATTATATGAACTGTATGCTAAATGATCAAAAATTGAAAAAATTACACGCATATTATACGTCTGAAAGTGGGCATTCGTTTAAGTATCATTCACTGAAAATATTTCTGCAGCACGCCGGTTTCATACATTCGCTTGACGTCAGTACCGCCGCCAATAAACTTTCCATTGATAAAGCAACGAGGTACCTAGCCAAAATAAAAATGACACTTTAAAGTAAGTATAAGTCAACAAACACCACACGTGTTTACTTACTGTACGAGCTCCGGTCATCTCGCCCAGAACTGCTTGAATTTCATTGCCATCCGACCGTTGATCCAACTCAACGACCGTAGCTTCCACTTTAAGTTTTCTGAATTGCTGTATGAATCGTATCGATTTAATTATAAGCCGATACATAATTATAGTTTACTCACCTCCTTAGCCATGCTGCAGTAAGGACAATAGGACTTACTAAATATGACTACTTTGTGATTGGCAATTGTTTCTCTAACAAATTGGGCCTGTGCGCTGTCCATGTTGACAACCAGTGGCGCTTTTTGTAGCGAGCTTACAACTGAACCCATTAAGGGGAATGGAAACTTTGCGTTCGGAAGCGTTGACGATGGTTTCACGAAGTTCAAAAGCTGTAGCTCGCAGTTCAACAGTTTACTTCGACGATGATAAGGGATGCGGATGCGGCGGAAGCTGTTACGGTAAAAAATATATTTTTTTTTTTAAATTTTGAATGACGATCTAAAGTCGATGTGATGAATAATTTTAGATATCTACGAACTTGTGTGTTGTTGTAGTTTTGTGTAATCAACAATAAAAACATATGTACATACGTAGTGTTGACTTCGTTATTAATTTTACCGGCATAACAACGGCGGAGCGTTTTTTTCTTTTGCTTACCATTTAGAAAGCACCAGCATTTCTAATTTATATCGAGAATAAAAATAACTACACAACTTTAAAGACAAATTTAACCAGTATTTTTTATAAAATGAAATGTATTTTGTTGATAACTGAACTGTCCAGGTCTGGCAGCACAGGAAACAATTACAAGCCAAAATTTTACAGCAACGCCGTTGTCAGCCAAAAGGCCACCTGGGACTACATCGTATTGTACAATCTTATGTGCACAAAAAATTAAAATGTATCATAAAATATTGCACAAAAGGCACAAATGGTATTGCTCAATTTAAGCCAGTCTTAACCGTTCAAGAACTTCTCGAGCGCATCCTTCGACTCAATATCATTTGGTTCCAGAACTACTTCTTCCAACTCCAATTTTTTTGTTGGCAGTGTCGTCGTTTCTATCTCTGAGAAATTTAGAGTTTAGTGTTTACAAAAAGCATTTCATTGCCAGACATTACATACTTGTCAGCTGTCCATGCTGCTTATACTCCTCCAAATCACCTCGAAATGCGTCTTCGAACACAGCCTGGCGCTCCTTTTGTAATTGCCTTAGACGGTCCTCATGTGTCCGAATCTTCACTTGGTGCTGAGAAGCAATCTTCTGCCTGTAGTGCTCCAATTGGTTTATCTTCATTTGCTTATACGCATTTTTTTCAAAATGCTTCTCCAAAATGAACTCCTGAAGCTCACACTCTTCGCATAAGTCCTCCAATTTTTCCAGCTCCTTTTCCATCTGCTCTGCCTCGTCCTCCACGGCGCGCAGCGTCAGTGCGCTAGCCTTGAGTTTTTCCACCAGTTTGGGTATACCGGCTAGACATGTGTTGAGATCGGTGATGGTTATGCGCTGTGCACTGGCTTTCGCTTCTACTGAAGCGATTTGTGTCGCCACAGCCGCAGAGCGTGCTGCGTTGTCCTCGTTAGCGGCATGAATTTGTTCCCAATCGCCTTCGTATTTAGCCAGCAAATTGCAGCCAGCGGCCATGTTGAGATGCGTGGGCACACCATCGGTAAGTTGGCTATTGAGGGAGAGTGAACTGCCGCGGCTGGCAAAGAAGCTTTCGTTGAGCAAGTTGGGTGCCGTAGTGGGTGTTGTGGCGGCGCTGACACGTTTTTGATACTGCTGCTGAAGGCTCTCCGAGATGACCATGCCTTCTTGTATTGCAGCACTGAACTTCTTTTTTAAGCTACCAAACATGATAAAAACTGTAATTGGTACATTCGAAATGCAATTAACTAGAGGCTTGCAAGTTCGGAAAGTGCAACTTTAAAATAGACAATCAGCTGTGATACGATAAAAGCTTCTTCATTACTGGTTCATTATTGATCTGGTTCTTTCTGCATATTCGAAAGAATCCCGGGAAAAATTGTCGCGCATATTGACCATGGTTTTATTCTAAACCGTTACAAGTATTAGATTTCTTTTAGATTATTACGCTAGACAATTTCAAGTAACATTTTAATTTCATTTAAAATTTCATTTAATTTGACATTGAACATTATAAATATCTATTTTTTCTACTTTTATTATTTTATATAATTTTGTGATTTTTGATTTATGTACATATATTGCCTACTAATATAAATGTATAATTAATGTCTATTTGATGGTCATTTGATATATTGGAGATTACATTTTGAAAATTGAGCATCCAAAAATCCGTAACCTCAAAGTCACACAGCCCAATCATTGACACTAGAAATATGAATTTTGGGAACTAATTTTATTAGTTAAAGAATAATGTATTGATTTCAATAATTATATGGTAGTCTTCCTGTTCTGGTAAAATATATATAGGTTCAATAATATCCAGAAACAATCCCTATCTGTTGATCACAAGCAAATGCCTATGTAATGGATTCGTGAATTTCTGCTTATGCGGAATAAACAAATACAAAATATTTAATCTTAAACAGCAGCTAAGCTGTCAGATAGGCAGTAGGGTACTATTTTAATAATAACATTTCTGAAGCAACGAATGAAATAAGAAATGAAACAATCAAAATTAAACAGCAAAATTACAACCTGCTTTATGTAAGTACTTTTAATCTAATCGCAATGAACAATATTCAATTTCTGCACCGATTGTGCCCATGGCAGCTATTTAAAATATATATAAACCAAATAATTTTAGAGGCCCTACCTGTTTTTAAATTTCTCAATGCTAATTCGAATTGTCAAACGGGCATTCTATGCCGATTTGACGCTTGATTTCAAGTGTTGAACGCCGATTGATTTTAATGTGGAAAGCTATGAACTCTTAAACCTCTTTTGCAACCCTGGTATCACATTCGATAGACTCACAACTAAACAACAAAAATACCATACTCGATTTCGCCCACCTCTAACGCACTAGCGTTTTACTTGCTATGACAGGTACAACTAGTACGATACAATTAAAAATAAATACGAAAAATTAGCATTAAAACTGAATAAATGAGTGTAAAAAGTGCGAGACCAAAATATGGAATCCGTTGATGAGCGCAATGACCCGGATGAAAACACAGAACTGGAAGATAGCGGCGACGATGTAAAAATACGTAAACTTTGCCGTTTTCATCCGTACCACGGCTCCAATATCCTGCTGAAGGACGACTCAACGGTCGCATTCAGAAGACAGAGTTTCGCTGACGCTCTCACTTTTTCTGAGCAGCCTTTGGCGCCAGGCGATATATTCCTCGTTGAAATTGAACAAATTGAGCGCGGATGGTCTGGACACATGCGTCTGGGACTAACACAATTAAAGCCCAATATAATTGGGATGCGCACTGAGGGCCTGCCGCACTTTGCTCTTCCAGATTTGGCAAATTTGGGCAATAGCTGGATATTCCCAATATCAAAGTTTGAGTTGAACCAACGCCAGGAGCAGGAGCATGTTGAGAATGTAGAGCCCACTGCTAATGAACAGTCGCAACATAGTAAGTTTTTCTTTTAGATTTTCTGCGAGAAAGTGCATTTGCTAAGACTCTGCTCCCATAGGAAATCTTCTGGGCGATGCGACGCATGTGCGTACGCCTCGTGGCTTGCTGCCAAAGAAGCTGCTGCGCCCCACAATAGACGATGGAAACTCTGATATACTTTTAACCGATAGAGGCTCGCGAATTGGTATTGTTTACGTACCCACAGATAACGATGAGTCAAGGGGCGAACTACATTTCATCATTAACGGCGTTGACAGAGGTCCAGTATCAGAAGACATTCCATTAAATAGAGCTCCCTTGTATGTCGTGATTGACGTCTATGGAACAACAAAGCAAATTCGCATCATACAATTGGAAGGCAGTAAGTGCTTAAACTTGTCCATTAAGTATTGCGCTCACCACAGTTCTTACAGTTCTATCCTTGCAAAGCGCTTGCCGTAATGTCATACTCGAAAACTTTACCGCCAATGAAATAGAACGCCTTCCACTTCCAGAGAGTATCAAGCGGTTCCTGCTACGCCGGGATTAATAATGAAAGTACATATGCGAATACACTTGCGCTTAAGAGTGTGCTTGGCCTGGGCCTAGTCTGGGAAATAAGCATAGAGACGTTGACTGAAGTGCCGTTCCCCTTTATTGAATTGCTTAATTTTGTCTTCTGCACAATGCATAGCGAAAACGGTCCTTAGAAGTATACTCAATTACGCTCGAAGTGGCATTGCATTTTCGTTCTGTAGATATACTATATAGTTTTTAATGGCGTTTAGTGTTACCAGTTCATAAAATTTACGAAGAATTGTTTAAAATTATATTTACATATGTTTGTATGTATCGATATATTTTCCTACCCTCGCGTGTTTTGTAAAAACTGTTTCCTCCACTAGATAATTAGCTTTTAAATTACGTGAATTCATATTTCGTGAATGCACTTCAGCAGTTATGCGTCTTGGTGTCCTTAGTAAGATAATGATCAAACGTAAAAATTCAAAAAATGTTTAGTGTATGATATACATTATTCATATGAGCAGAACAACTCCATTTTGAATTCATACTTCCAATACAAATAAGCGTTCGAATTTTTTATCCAGAACACCGCCCTGCCTTTGAGCGTTTCCGCCGTTTGTCAGGCATGGAAACATTTAAGGCAAATCCAGTTTCATTTTCCATTACCTCTAAGGCCCCTGTTGCTAAATGTAAGTTAATTAGTAGTATTTAATATACATATATGTAAATCAATGTAATAAAAAATGCTATGCTTTTTGTAAAACTGAACGTGTTTATTAGCACCATCTTTGGGCATTTCGATAAAATGACATATACATACTAGAAATAAAAGTATCTTTTAACCAAAGGCCTACTTGCCGCGATTCTCAGCCAGCTTGGCCTTAAAAATAGCCTTCAATTCTTCAGCGCCTTCCTGGTTGGTCTCCTTGTAGTATGGGAGCTCCGCCAATCGTTGCAGCCAGGCCAGCAATTTGGGGAACTTAAACTCATCAATGGGCGCCACATCGTTGACCGATGTGATTGTAGCCACACAGCAAAAATCCGCAATAGTCAGCTCATTGCCGCATAAATATGACTGATCCTTGAGGAAATTCTCTAGTATTTCATAGCATTTTTGTATGTATGCGATTTTATCAATTGAACAATCCGTTGAGCCAAAATACAAAATCGGCTCGTATAGAAAACGCAGACGTGCAAATAAATGACCCGAATCCAAGTGTAGACGTGCGTCGACGTTGGCACGTTTCACCAAGTCCTTTGGATAGAGGGTTTCGTGCTCCTTGCCGTATTTCTCAACAAGATACGCGCATATGGCGTGCGAATCAATGATCGTTGCATCGCCGTCGCTGAGGGTCGGAATGGTGTGCTGTGGATTCAGTTTCACGAATTCCGGAGTCAAGTGTTCACCTTTTAATAGGTTAATTGAGCTGCAGCGTTTGAAATACATATACATGCATATGTACATACACATTTTTTAATTAGTTTAACGACAAGGGGTTAAACTTACCGCAATTCGAGCTCAAGACCTATCGCCTTGGCCGTCAACAAGACGGCTCGGGATGGCGGACTCAGGGTAGCGTAGTAAAGAACTGGCTTGGTCATTGTTGTAGCTGTTGAGCAAGGAAAGTAAAAATTTACTGCATATTTATGCACAGCTTCCAAAGATATTCTTAGCAATAGTTTTATTGAAACTAAAATTTACCAATTAGAACTATATTTGTATGTATGTATGTATATGTATGTACATATCCCATGTCATTCATTTTTTACATCAAACTATTTGTACTAGAGTCCTCATGGAACGCAATCAAATCGCAATTACCAGACCGACAATTTTGCGATTGTTGAAGTGAAAAATAATGATTATTGGTGACAAAATGAAACAAATATTTATATATACATACATATGTACATGTATGTATGTATGTTTTTAATTAGGCTCTCAAAGTGGTTTAAACTTAAAAAGGAAAATTTTAATAAAACTCATTTTTATGAAGGAGTAATGGGAAGTGCCTCAAAAATAAAAAGAACATTTATGCCCAGTTTCTTATTCCAGTTCTTGGACATGACTGTATTGATTCATACATACATACACACATATGTATGTACATTTAATACGTTTGCGTCGATCCTAATACACGCCCTTAAGCTAGGTACACACCATGCAAACAATTTGCAGCAAAAGTTTGCACAAATGTTTACACCTATGCAAATATTGCAAGAAAATTTCTTGCTTCAATCAATTTTTGTTTTGCACGCAAACTTTTGCATGGCTATTTCGTGCAATATATTGCGTTAATGTCTACACGTGTTTTCATTTTTTGTTTGCAGTGCTTGCAAGTGACACTCATTTGCAAGTTCTGTTGTTTTATGAAAGTCAAGGAATAACGACGTGTTTATATCAGCGGTGGGCACGAAATGTTAAATAGGGAGCCCTACAGCAACGTCTACAAAAAAAAGGACCGTTAGGGTTCCATCAGCATCAGCATCAGGGTTCCATCAGATCGGTCTTTTATTTGTGCTTCAGTCTGGCGATAGCACTGCATGTATTTTGCTATTGTAATTTCGCTCGAGATCGAACTTTTGCTTGTGCGTCTGGCTGGCGCCACCCATCGAAATATAACGGAAAGAGCCCTAGGAGCCCAAAAAACCACTACGTGCCCATCGCTGGTTTATATTATGTCGGCACAAAAATCGAGAGTTGCTGCTATTGCTATATTAGCAATTTTAATTAAACGTAAAAAAGTGAGAAGATTGGAGTCTGCAAAAAAAAAAAAGTGTTGGGTGAAAGAGTGAATTTCCAAAAGAGATGAAAAATGAGTGCATCAGAACCTTTTAAAAGAGCTACAAAATGGCGATGAAACAAACTATTACAATTTTTTTCGCATGTCAGTGATTTCAATTTTTTATTAGAAAAAGTCCTGCGATTCCACCAAATGAACGATTAGCCCTGACATTGCGTTTATTAGCCACGGGTATGTATTAAATATAATTAACATTTTTATGAACTTTTAATTAATATGTTTATTGATGTAATTAAATTTTTTACAGGTGATTCATATCATTCTCTCATGTTTCTTTCTCATGTTTCGCTTTCCTGTGAGTACGGTTGGAAGCATTGTGCCGGAGTCTTGTCGAGCTGTATATGACAGGCATTCAAAGGGAATATCTTAAAGTAAGTATGTAAATTATATATGCATTTACTTTTTTACCATCTGAAAAGCCCAAAACTGGAGAATTGGTAGACGAGTCCACGATATTAGGTGTGGAACAAGTAAAAGTGCCCTCGCTATCAATTTCCGATACTTCCAAAATAGCTCTTTGAATTTTTCTGCGAAGCAAAAGTCTATTTTGGTGTGATTTCAACAATCTGAGCTCAGATGCAACGAAATCACCGAACACCTGATGGTCATCCGCTGGCTTATCGAGTAAAGCGCTTGCCTTTTTAATAATCAGATCTTCGTCCTTAAATTCTATCTCGTCACGTTTTCTTTTTTTTGCTTTGGATGTACTTGGTACGTCGTCATTTTTAATAAATTTAAGCGCATCGAAAAACTCCCATTTGCTGGTATAGTTGTCCGATGTACCCTGGCCACTCTTTTTTTGCTTCACTCTGCGCACCTCTTGCAAAAATTGAGTGCGCAAATGATGAATTTTTGTTTTTATTTCATCATCACTTTTGTCTAATTTTTCAGCAATTTCGCGATAAGCATTTTGCTTTTTATGCTTATTTGTATAGTCTGCTGACGAGACATCCCATAAAACAGAATAATTCTCGTACAATTCAATTAATTTTATCGTTTTCTCGCGATCCCACATGTTGCTTTGCTTGCTGCAATATTGCGACTGAAAGCAAACAGCACATGCAAACAAGCAAGCAACTGACGCAACCAGGAAACGGTAAATACAGACGACAAGCAAAAAATATTGCTGCAAAAAAATGTTGCAGGTTCTTTGTTTGCAGCAAAATGGTTGCACTCGTGTTTATACGTGCAAATTTGATTGCAGCAATCAACTTGCTGCAAATTGTTTGCATCGTTTGCACCTAAGCTTTACACTTAGGGTACAGGGTACACAAATATAGAGTATACTTGTACACATACCATAGGGTTAAAATGCTATTAACGCACGATAAGTATGTTTAATCGCAATCCACTATCTCGAACTTGACGGTGTATCAAGTATTGCCTAGCTATGTATGTATGTGTGTACAAAATACTTATGAATATAGATGACATGCATATGTACATATGTATGTGCATGAAATGTTCTGTGGGAAGCTCCTTCAAGTCTTCATGAAGTTTACTGTACTGGCAAACGACATCAGATAACCCTGCAAGCTATACGATAATTCACTATCAGTACACATACACATGTATTGTCTTGCAAGAACACATATGTATGTACATATGTTGTGTATGTCTTATTTATATACATATGTATGTATGTAGGTATGTACGTTTGTTTAGGTGCAAACACCTGAGGGGATAGTCCATCTTTTATGTGGGAAAGGAACGGGCCCATTTCATTTACATCACAGTTGCTAATGAAAGCTTTCATGTTTCACGGAAATTGTGCAACCCTCCGTACAGTAACAGTATAAATTTAATTAGAGATGACTTTTATGTGCTTGGTAAACACAGTCCAGTCCAGCACTCTTAGATCAGAATATTTACTGCAATCGTATCGTAGTAGCTCTGTTATTGTTGTGATATTAGTTACTAACATGAAAACAGCTGCTTGTCCTATGTAGCACATCTATTAGATATTTATTTTTGCCAAAAAACATTCATTTCTGATATTTTAGTTTAAGTATTTTATTATACTAAAATACTTAGAATATTGAATATATTTCTGCAATTCGTATGCAATGTAAGTTTACTTATGTTTACACGTAACTTTAGATTTTGTGAGAACAACAAAGAATGCTACGTATTAGAAACTGTACGTTCACTGTGAAACTCTAAAAACACACTTTATATCTTAATTAAGTAGATAAGATTTTACAACCTGAACTCTTTATTGTTAATCGATTATAGAAACGCACAAATTTATTAGTCCATCTTTGTGAATAAACGAAATTAATGAAAACTAAAAATGCTCTTCCTATTTTTCCTCTTCGGGGTGACAGCGCGGTGTCAAACAATGCTGCAATTTCTTTGGATTAAATGTTAGGAGGAATTAAAAAGATTAAAAGAAAACTGATAAAAACGTAATTGAGCAAGAAAGTAAGCTGTAAGGTACTGCACAGATACCGAACAGCTGATTTGTAAATTACTATTATACTTAGACATATGTAGATGTTGCAGCGTTATATTATTTTAATATGTCAAAAAATTTCCTTAAACCATTGCCCCCTAATCTTCGGTTTTTCACTTAGGGACATATATTTTGGATACGTATATATGTACATACACATGTGTGTATTTGTTTATCTTTGAAAATAAATACATTCGGTGTTGAATTATTGACCGCTACTGTATTTAGATACATAACAAACACAAACAAACAATCACACACACATACACACACACTAGCACAAAACTAATGGGAAAAATACAGCAAGATCGTGTCACTTTGCCAGTCACACACATGCGATTTGGAGGCGTCCCCTCTCTGGCTTTTGCGCAGGCAATATTAAACAAATAAATAAAACAGAACTCACAATCTTCCGCACAGAGATTTGCGACTGTTCACTCGGAACTCGGAAACGTAACTGAAATGGAACGGCGCTCGGTCGGTTTTTCGGCCCTGATCGAAAGTGTTGCTCGAGATTCTAATGGCAAAGCGCGCATGTAATTGTGTGCCACACAGGGAAACAACGCTATGACGATATACCATATAGTACATTTAAATTATTTATTGAGTTTTGGTACAAGTGTAACCGTTAGACATATATTATATTATTCATACATATGTATGTATACTTACTAAATAAATACATACATATAATATTCAATGTATGTGGGAAATAATGAAAATAATACCAGCATTTTGGGTTCCTTTCAAGTTGGATAACACATTTTTGGAATCGTAATGAAATGAATATAATAACAACCAAAAGATTCTCATTTTCATTTTTGTTTTATGAAGTCTAGTCCAATAACAATTCACATACTTGCAACAATTTTGGAAAAGATTAAGCGAAAAAGTACTTAAAATATACTTCATACTTAGAATCATAAAGTTTGTAAACACCATTGGATAATTAGAGATTTTGTTTATGCATCACATTTACAAATCTGTCGATTGTTCGATCACTTCTTATTCAATTTTCTAACATGCTGCGTTTGAGCGCCTCCTCTAGATCAGCATCAAAAGTCTCCGGTTTCGAATAGTCCGCAGCAAATTTATCAGCTGGTTTACCAGCCTTGTCTTTTTTATTTCCATTGCCATTCGCCTTCTTATTATTAGAGGAGCTGTCGTTGAATGCGCTCTCAAAGTCACTGGAAAAATTATGCCCAGTAAACTCATCGAATTTTGCAAAGCTACCATCCAAGGTTGTCTGAAGATTTGAAGATTTGTTGCCAAAACTATCTTCGAATTTGTTATCGTTGAATGAGTCGAATTTGCTTTCACTCTTGGCCACAGCAAAGGCATCGAAGGCGGCAGCCTGCGCCTTGATGGCCTTGATTTGTTCGTTGGATAATGTCTTATTCGTATCTGCCTGAGTTTCCGTGTTGGGATTTGCATTGAAATTATCGTTAAATGCATCGAAAAAGGAATCCTTTAGTTCTGTTGTCGTGCCCTTCTGGTCCAGCACGAAATCATCAAAGTCGGCGAAAGCATCCACAGTTGGCTGCGTCTGCTTCGGATTTGAAGTCGTTGAATGTTGGGAAGGCACAGGACTTGAGTTCAAATTAAATGCATTAAACTGCTGCACCATTTCATTGCTTAGTGTTGCCGACGCCTTTGGTTTGGAGCTGCTGCTGTTGTTGTTGTTGTTGCTGTGATCATCTGTGTCGGGTTGTAAATTGATATTCAGAGAAGCTGTTGCAATATAGAATAATATATTTTATATACACACCATCTGAGCTGAAATCCTCCTTAAAGCTTTTCTTGTTACCATTCGCTGTGGCAACATCGTCCTCTTCATCATCCGCGAATGGATCTTTGATGTTAAACGGATCCTCATAGCGGTAGTCCTTGAACGGGTCGTCCTTGAAGTCTGTAGGTCCGTTGATCATTCCCGGGTTCGGGGTGACCGCCTGAGTTTCCAGTGGTGTATTGGAACGCGACAAATGTTGGTTATTTGTGATTATTGCTGATGATGCTGTTCCTGTTGCTGTGTGTGTGGCAGATGCCGGTGCCGCTGATAATGCTTGTGATGATGTCGGAAGCAGAGTGTGGATTGGGGTTGGTGTTGTGGCCGTTGGTGTGAGACGCGCTTTAGTCTGAGCGTCGTCGAACAACGAGATGTTATCAAAGAGCGATGTGGCTGTCGTTGGTGTAGGGTTTGTGTTTGTAGCTGGAATGGCTTGTAGCTGTTTGTAGCGACGTGCATTTGTGGGCAAGTAAAAATGAGCATAGTGTAGGAGAAAAATAAAACAAATAAAAATTAAATTGATTGAAACGAACACGTCATCAAATTATAGAAAAATATCTTTTCAAATTTAAAACAACAATAAAATCAAAGCAAAAAGCACTCTTCACTAACTGTCCATTGAGCCCGAATTTAGTTCAACCAGCACCCAGAAATGTATGCCACAAACGAGTCCTTTTGTCGATTATAGCGTTTATTATGATTCATTTCGTTTAATATTCGTTAATGTTGTCAAACACATATATTTGTAATTGTAATTCCAAAATATTTGTTCACCAAGTACATACTACTTGGCTTCACATTAAACATTTAACAGAACAAAGCTTGGGAAGATTTATGTGTAGTTTCTTTCATTAACAATTCTTTTTGCGGTTGTCACCTGTGATTCGCGGAAATATGTTTGTGATTATGTGTAGTAACCAACTCACTAGTCCCCGTTCTTGAGAGCTGCCTTAGCTGCTTAAAAACATAGTATGCATATAATGTTGCTAAATCTGCTCGATTACAAGAACGGACTTCGCCTTGACTTCTTCAATTGGATTCTAATTTATACATACTATGCATGTATGTAACTGAAGACGACTAAAACAAGCGGAGGTTATTAGCGATCCTGCATGTATAATTATGTAAGTATGTATTTGCTATAAACTTTAATACCATATGAAGAAACAACAACAACTTGCTCTTAAACTTTTTTTTTAGTTTACAATATATACTGTGACTAGCGTTAAGTATTATGACAAGTAATCCTTCTTCGCCCTATTATCTAGTACCTCCTTTTACTTTTTGTTTTTCCTATAGTATGATAGTTTTTTTTAGTTCTGAACGATTCAATGCGTTATGCTCGCATAATACATAATGGCAATAAATGATGTGATATTGCTGATGATTTTTCAAGCGCCTTGGCTTATTCTCTCATACTTTACTGATTACTGATTTTTTAATTGATTTAACTAACAATTAAGCATGTAATTATGCTAAGGGCCTGTGCTTTAGCTGGCTGGCGCTGAAAACGAGATTCTCAAATGAGCTTTTCAGATCGTTACGCTGATATTTAAATACACATTATTAAGTGAGTATGTATGTATGGGCATGTATGTACGATTATGTATGTAATTTGTACGCTTAAAATTTGTTAATTATGCTGCTAGGTTCAACTGCTGAACGAGTGTGTTAATATTTAAAATGTTTAATATAAATATGATTAAGTATTAAGATGTTCACTGTAAATAGAGAATGACAAAAGATGAGAGCAAATTGTTAGTTTCGAACGGACAGCATTGAAGGCAAAGAGTAAGATTGTGGGTGGGTTGGGGCAAATAATTGCACGCAATCGGCTAAACATAAAATGCCAAAAACATAATGCACTACGAAAATCAAATAAAAAGTCTACTTTTATTAATCCAATATTAATTGTTTATAGAATGTATATTAGTTTGTCTAAGGTTAGTCACGCCAAATAAACAGAGCAAAATAAAACAAATCATAGCGGTTAGATATAATATTAAAGAACATGTTACGTCAATGCCAAATAGCTCGGTGGGTGGGTGGTGGTGGTACGGGTATAATGCATGCTTTACCACCGGTCCCAACGAACATTAAATGTGGTACCAACCTTATTGTCAAAGTCTTCAAAGTCTGCGAAACCGCCGCCACTGCTGGAGCCGAAAGCATTTGCTTGCTATGTGGAATATTTACAAAAAGTATAATTAGTTGAGGTTCGATCTCTGGAGGTTGTAGTCACTCCCACCTGTGCCGGACGTGGAGGCGCTGGTCTTGGAGGCGGCACCTTCGATTTCTTTGGCGGCAATGCTGGACTAGGTGACTCTGGTCTTGGTGGTGGACCCGACTTCTGTGTATTAGGACTGAGCACTTGACCCTGACCCGTAGGTGCATGCAGTGCGGCAAACGGATCACTGCCAAAATCGTCCTTACCCGGCTAAATGATATTTAGCATATTAGAAAGCGAAACTTTGCCTATGTACTGTATGCATTACCTCAGGTGTAATTGCTGGCCCTTTGTTGGATCCAAATGCGTCAGCACCAAATGGATCACGGCTCGTTTGTCCAAAGCCACCTCCAACGCCGCCGCCGCCGCCTTGGCCAAATGCATCGAAGCCGCTATCGAAACCTGAGCTCATATTGAAGCTATCATCGAAGCCGCTTTTTATTGTAGGTTTGTTTTGGGCAACGAAAGGATCACTTTCGAAGCCATTGGTCGTGGTGTTCGCCTTATTGGCTGCGCCGCTGTTATTTTCCTCAAATGGATCGTCTTTGGTTATTACAATTTCCTTTTCGAGCGTCTTCCGTGCATCGTCAAAGTCTGGCTCGATCTTCAGCTGATACTCGGAGACTAATTCAGCATTTTGATTCTCCATCGCAGCGCGGCAAATAAGCAAGGCATCGGTCATTTGGCGCTGGGTCTCCATTAGTTGTGTAACCATCGATCGCACCTGTGGACACAAAATGTAGAATGTTTCGCACCAATGCATTGTTGCATTTTTACCGAGCTAATCTGCAACTGCGTGTTCTGTAGATGTTTTGTTAGCTTTGAAAGCTCGCGGTTGTTATCATCGTATTCTTTTTGCAAAGCCGTCTCTTCATCCTTGAGTTTTTGAAGCTCCGAGCGTTTGGCGTTTAGTTCACCCTCTTGTTCGTTGATAGTCTCCTCCTGCTTATGGCACTGATCACGTATCTTGTTGACCTAAAAACATAGTGACATTAATAAATTAGTGATTGAGAGCCTTTTAGGCATGAAGATGAAATCCCTTAACCGAACCACGTAAAAACATATACATATATAAAGACTAAACACAAAAACTAATTACATTATGCAAACAAATATAAACAAACCTGATCATTTGTGCAGGATATACTAAGACTAACACTGGCCACCAAGGCCGTATTTTGAAAAACCTTAGTTAATTAAGTTTACATTCACCAATTTAATATGAATTGAGAGTGTTGGGGGAAGTGGGAATATTGCGCAAACCAATTTGTTAACATGCCATAACATAATAAAGAAAAGGAAATTATAGGTAAATAAAAAAATTTCCAAACGTAAACCCAAAGAGAGCATATATAGCAAGTATAGAAAAAAAAACACAATCATGCAAAATAACTACTTGAGCCTGCAGGTCGTCCAATCGCTTTTGCGCCTCGCCGCGCTGGTTCTCCAATTGCTTTAGTGTTGCAGTCAATGTGTCCAATTCGCTCTGAAAAATTACTTGAGCATTTTTAACTAACAGGTGGTATTTCTATTTCAAAAGGATACACACCTGCAAGCTGCGCACTTCGCCGTTCTTAATGCGCACGTCGGCTTCCTTCTGGGCGATTTCCGTCTCCAGTGCACGACGTTCTCGCGCCAGATCCTCAATCTCTTTTGAAATCATCTCAAGCTCTGGATTAGAATATGTCGGCTTCGGCTCCTATTCGAAATAGTCAGTTTACATACTGTCCTTACTGCAATTTTCGAAATAATCTCACCTGAGGTTGCAAATCCACTCCAGCGACTATGCCTCGCATCGACGGAGGCACCATGTTAGCAGTTAGCACATGAGGGGGATCAACACCCCTTTGTTTCCGCTCCACCAGCCACATCGCCAATGCGAACTGCTCCACTGTCAACTTACCAGATTGATTGGTGTCGCAAAGAGCCCTAGCAGTGGATTCATAATCAGGATCTATGGTCAATAAGGCACATTGCAAGAATTTACTTACCAAATATCAGCCAAGCTGCGCTGAGGTATACCCGATTTCATGAATATGTCCTTCACCTCTAGACCAGAGACCAAGCCGTCCTTGTCTAAGTCAGACTGCCGAAAGATACCTTCAAACCTCTGCAATTCGGCTGGGGTTACCACCCAGTCGGCATTAGTTGCCACAGGCACGCCAATCGGTATCAGCGGATCAGTTTGTATGAGTGGCTGCGTGCTCACTGCTCCGACTGGAGGAATACGTGTCATCGGTGGAACAGCCACAGGCAACGGTGGAATGGCAGCCGGTGGAGCAATGTCTTTGGGGAAGTTTGCGACGAATCCATTGTCTCCGAAGCCTTCGCCACTGGGAGCGCGTGGCATGGCAGCAGCAGCTGGAGCCGGGGGCATGGCAGGTTTCGGAGGCGGCCCGGCTGCTGAGGGTTTGCGCAGTTCTGGTGGCAAAACACTCGGAACAGTGCGCTTTTGCAATGTCTGATAAACCAAATGCATGGCCACAATAAACTCGTGCTTATCCAAGTTTCCATCCTTGTCCTGATCCGCCAAATCCCAAATGGTTCCCAAAATGTTCATTGGAAGTTTCGAGTCCATAAGTACGCCCTTGACCTTATTGCCAGGCAGCATGCCATTTTGAGGACCCAGCGATTCGAAAAGCTGCTCATATTTTAACCGATCGATGACACTTATCGACCAATCGGCGTTTACCAAGCCGCCGCTTGATACCGGAACAGTTTGTATACGAGACGGCACCGTTTTTGGAATTTCACCCTGGCAAGTCAAATTAAAAAAATGTTAAATTTGTTTCCATTTTAGGTGAATTTTTATTGCTACCCCTTACCACTTTCGGTGGACTTGTTGTCTCCATATAAATGTTGTTCATGTTGGCGACTTGACCCGCCTGCGATAGCGAGACCAGTTTGAGTGCAACAAAAAACCCAGGCTTATCGAGAAATCCTTTGCCATTGGGATCAGATAGATCCCAGATACGACTTAACACAACATCACTAAGTCCAGACTTTTTTAAGAACTTTGCCGCCGTCATGGCTTCAATAGCACCAGTGCCTTTTGGGTCAATCTGCAATTAGCAGACATTCATAAAAATCAATAAAAGGGGTTGAAGTTAAATTTGTATCATGCCCTTACCTGTTTATAGTACGCTTCGTAGATGGCATTGTGCTTTCCGCACACCTTGGCAAAATCTAAATTCATGTTGCCTCAGTCAGCGCCCTTAATTGTCGACGATAATTTAATCTAAATTCTCTGGCGCTTCGGATAAATTGAGTGCCAGAAATGCGTAAGCGCTGTTATCAGCAAAGGAAATCGATTTTTCGCTTATTGGGAGTATCTTTTCGCTGAGCTTAGCGCGTGTATGTGATGTACTAGTACTAAAAGTATGAGTTCGCGTTCCCACCCACTTTTATACGAGTGCCGCGAATTACACGTATAGCTTCACAGTACTGCACAGCACATTTCGATTTCAATTTAGCTCGGCTCAAACTAATTTAATTTGCTCTTTTCAACTTTTCAATTCAACTAATTTTTATTGTGATTGCACTGCATTGACTTTTCATGCGCATGGGTACCACTGCCTTTTCAGTGTTGGGCATCACATAGAGTTTTGAGCTGCCATATCGTCGTAAAATTTAATTCAACACGGATGCACAATGTAATAAAACAGACGTTGGTATTTAAATTTAAGTTTATATTATAAATTGGCCGCTGTCCAAAAGAAGTTATATATATATATATGTGTGTGCGTTCGCGCGTTTATTAGAGAATTACTACATCGAATTGAAGAAGGCTTGCACAGACAGCCAGACAGCAACTCAACAGGACAATAAAATAACTTAAAGTAATCGTATTCGACAGTTCGTGGAGCCACATTGACAATATAAAACTTTGCCAGGGACCACACCTACTTCATAATTATAGTTCCAGGTCAGCTCAGTGCCGGAGCGTATATGATTAGCCGAAAAGAAAGCAACCCAAGGAAAGCGTAGATCGTGGGTGTCCACAAATACATTTTGCACAAACAAATTCGGGCTACAAGAGTGCTGCAATGTAAAGAAATTATTAACTATATCTTCAGAGATATACACCTTTTTAAGTACTTACATTGAAGTAACGACCCAGATTTCCTGTTGTCTTTGCATCCATTATATAGGGTGCCTCATCCTTACCAAATAGGCGACGCACTGAATTCTCGCGCACAGTCTCATCCAGGTCAGCATTTGGGTTGAAATTGATGACTGCGCGTTCTTGCGAATCCACCTCGTTTGAGTTAGTTCGAGAAGAACGAATCTTGTTCTTGGATCGTGGGATGTATTGATTCTTCGGTACAAAATCGTCGTCATCATCTGCTTCGGGCGCACAATAGTCATCCTCTTCTTCTTCTAGATCGGACTGCTCGACATCAGACTCGAATCCTTCCTTGAGCTGCTCGGCCACTTCAATGTAGTCCAAGTCAGCAAAGTATTCATCTCCCGCGTCGAGACCACCTTCATTGGCCCTTGTCTCAGTTAACAAGTGACCGGCATAAATGCATATAAAGGCTCCCTTTGGGATATCATTGACGCAGCGCAATCCCCAGCCGCGATTCGATGTCTTGAACACTTGCAGCTTCATTTCCAGGGAATGCTGCACCACACGATTAAGACAATTTTTCTTACACTTGCAGCGTGAGTTGCATTCGTAAATGCCGGTGGGCACATGCTCGTGTAGTCGCTTGTACTGGTAACCGATTTCGTCCACTGGCTTATTAGGATTACAGTACTTGACACCTTCAATTGTCAATTTCCAACATGAGCATTTCGACTTGTCCTACACATAAAGATACTAGTTAAATACAGCTGATAATCTTCAAACTTTTCCACCTACCGAACAATCATCCTCGCAGTCACAACCAACCAGAAATTCCTCATCGAGATTCAAGTTGACGCCCTCTGTGGGTATGCGCTGCTTTGCGTAAATGCAAGGTGGCGGCAATGTGTTGTCATAGTAATTCACAAGTGGAATGGCCATCTTCTCCTGACCCTTTGATATATCTGCTTCTTTCACAATAGTCGGATCGATTGAATATTCAGCCAGGCAATGCAACTCGGGGGTGAAATCAAAGTTGTCCACATTTAAAATATTATCTGTGGCTCGCAAGTAAGCATGCACCTCGGCTAGATTTCGCAAACTTTTACCGCAAGGCCCACGATAAACCACATAACGCTTAAGCTTTTGGCGTAGTAGCAAGCGCTCCCACCCAGATAGCAGCGGCTTTGCCAACGGACTATAACTGTCCAAACGATGGGCTATTTTGAAAAGACAATTTGGATTGCAGTCGTGCGTAGCGTAAACCTTTGGAGGCAAGTTGCGCTTGGCCGTGAAATAGACAACATTGCCCTTTGGCTTATTCTCATCGTCCACATAAATTGTAGAATTGTTTAGATGGCGAACAGTGCTTTTTGGTACGGCAGCGGCAGCAGCAGTTGATGTGGAGGCTTGAAATGCGGCCACGCTTTGGTGCTGGCTGCTGCTCTTGCGGGCTATGGCGCGCATTTGCTGTTTCACTTGCATGTTGCTTGTCTCCATTTCCTTTGTATAGCGTATGAACGGTTCGGTGCGCTGTAGTATGGTAATTAGATTAGATTAATTATATTATATTTTTAATATTTGTCACTTTAGCGTACCCTTGGAACTCGCGTCTGTTGCTGCAATGCTGATGTAGGAGTATTCAATGCGTTCTGTGTCTCCTTAAAGACTGGGCCCAAGCGCAGCGAACCTCGATATATCCATTCTGTATGATTTTTATCTCCTTCAAATTGCATCTGCACCAGACTACAGTCGACGTCAATGACGCGGGCGTATAGCCAAGTCCCATTCGACTCCGTATTCATGCTCTGACCACGAGTGCACTGCACCATTGGTCGATCAACAGAATACTTTTCAATATACTTCTGTATGAAATCGCGAGAGACCGGATGCACATCTTCCCACACTTTTTCGGAAGCCTGGCAAACCAAACGGACATCATTGTGTTGCACATATTGTGTATAGCCATCGTCGTAGAATATAAGGTATCTGCAATAAAATTAAACGTAATGATGAACCGATAGATTCTATTTTGATCCGTACGAACCTGAATCTGTTAGCTTGCTTAAGGGGTTCCGCAATAATTCCGGGGTAAAATGCGCTCTGGACAATCCCTTTGTCCTTGCTACGCGATAACGTAGAGCCATCAAAGTAGGCAATAACACGCGTTCCTTAAGTAACAACGATAATGATAAAAATATAAATAATTAAATCGATGAATTCCTTCACTTACCAATGGGTAACCGCACCGGCGGTGGTTCAAAGTACGCAATATGTTTGGCTGTAACGGTTTTAACCATTTGATATGGCGTATTCAGATACTTGATCTTGTAGCTCTTTACTGCAGTGCCAGCCACTGTGGTCACTGTAAATTCAATCACCTTGACTGATACCCAACTGGCGATCGCCTTGTTCTTAACCGCATAATAAGTTTCGTTTAGTTTAATCGGCGGTCGCTCTATCTCACCGGGTGGCGGCACGTTCTATAAACAAAAAGACACCAAATTAATTTAATATGTTTTATATTATTATATGATAAAACATATTACAAAATCTTGTTAATATATGGTTGTATGATTATGCTTTCCAAGATCACTCGTTTCGTAATGTTGATCAAATACAAACACATATACTTACAACGCTCTCAGTTATAATGTTATAATTATTATAATATATCGTGCTACCACTTTTTATTTATGAAAATAAACACGTTGAATTATTTCTAACTATCGACATTTAATGCAATTGCAGTTGGTTCTCTAACTTTTCGGTGTTATTAGCCTGGCTTTAGGTTCTACAAACGACTTAGCCGCTGCTCCGATTATTCCTCTTTGAAGTGCGTTTGATGCAGACATTATTATATCATTCTATCATATGACTGGAACTTCTTCACTTAACTAATCTAAAAAGCCCCCATTTCCGGAACTAAAAAATTGTCCGCTTAAAGAACTTTACAAAGGCAGCATCTTTCTAGTCCTCAAAAACCACTTTTGAATGTTAATTGAATTTCAGTGTCAAGACCTAACACTTACAACGTGAAACATTTTACTTATAAAAAGCATGCAGTAAAGGAAACCCAATAAAAAATATAGTAGTAGGAACAAATATGCACATACCGCATAGTCATGGCCGGGTTGGTGGTACAAGTCCAGCGGTGGCAAATGCTTGTGAACCACTTGGCAGGTATTATACAGAGTGAAGTGCATTTTATCGGCAATGGATTGCAAATTCGCGAATTCCGCATCTGCCAAAGCAAACTGACGTTCCAGATATTCGGATTTGTGCTGCAGTATCGTCTTAGACCACGCCAGTTGATTTTTTATTTCTACATTACTCAACACATTTATAATGGCATCCTCCAGTTCGTTTTCGATTAGATTTAAATCGTTTGCGGAAAACTCCGGGCTTTCTGCTTGAATGAGAAAGAATTCAGGGCTACGTATAATAATGTAAACAGACCATACTAACCCGGTTCCTTCACATTGTCTTCCTCGTCGCTACTATCAAGTGCGACGAAGTCGGTGTCCTCATATTTAAAATCACGCATCAGCAACGGTTGTTTCGCTATAAGAGCGCCGGCATATTCCTACGATTTTTTGCATTACCATGTGAAACCTCTGAGATTTTAAATGATCACTTACCTCATATATCTCGTGGACAGTATCGTGGCAGCCTAGACAAATGAATTGCTTTTTGTGCGCCTTCCTTGGTACCCTAAAGTAGTTTAAGGCACCAATACTTGCAACTACATATTGCTTGTGATTCTTATTGCAGCTGCAATTCAGACATTCTTTGTTATAGAATATTTCCCCATCAGTATATGTTGATAGTTCTTCAGACGGCTTAATCGTTTCGTCTGCGACTTCGGATTCCATTCTTGACGACTCATCCTTTTCTAGTTTCGTTTCTAGGACTCCTGGACTTGCGCCCGCAACATCATCGATTTCCATTTTCTCTGCAGTTTCTGTTTTACTGATTTCGCCAACATTTTTTTTTGAAGTCTCAACATGGCCTTTATTATCAGTGGACGCTAACTGCACTGCTTGAGTTTCTTCGATGTTCTCTTTGAGAGTAGTATCCTGCTTGATACTGACAATGTTTTCAGCAAAGTCTGTAGAGTTCGAATTGGTGTTATCCTTAAAATCAGCAGTATCTTTAAAGGGTTCAGCGGGCTCCTTTGATGCGTCCTCTAAATCAATATCCATATTTGATTCATTTCTCTCGATGTCTAAATTAATTCTATCGCCCTCGCTGCTCGTTAGGATTTTTCCTTGTGCCTCCTTTTCTCGTTCTAATATCAGTTCACCGTTTAACTCATCCTCGCAGGTAGCAGGGCTATCAATTACATCCAGACTACTGTCTGTAACTGGGTCAATGACTTGCTCACTTATGTTTACATTATCCTTTGGACTGTAGTGGTCATTTAGTTCCTTATCCGACTTATCAGAACTTTGAGCCGTTTCCATTTCGGCAGATTCAATGACTAACAATGCATCTCCATCAGTTAAAGGACTATCAATAATTTCAAGGCTGCTGTCTGCGGCCGATTCATTGGTTTGCTCACTTACATCGGCTGCCTGTTTAAGATTACATTCTTTATTACCATTGGATTTGTCATCTATTTCTTTTACTTCGGAACAAGGACTTCCAAGCTTGCTGTTGCTGTCCTCAGCCGATTCCTTACTGTCGGTAGTTGGACCAATTTCTTCTGTCGGGGATACATTCTCTTCTTCCTGAACAGCTTCCTCATCTGAGACTGCTAGACTATCTATAATTTCAATACTGCTGTCCGTCGAAGATTTTGAAATCTCTTTCGACAAGCTGGCATCAGTCTCCTCCTTTGAACTTGCGTCTTGAATCACTTCATTAGTAATCATATGAACATTGCTTTTCTTTGCAGGTTCTCTAGAATCATAAATTGTACTTGCATTTTCCTTGTTATTAACTTCATTTTTAGCTTCATCTGAAGGCACCGGGCCATCTAATGATTCATTAGCGCTGATCGCCTCAGATTTTTCAAATACTTTCGATGTGCTGGCTTCACCGTCCTTATCTCGAACCGCTTCTTCATCTGAAACTCCCGGGCTACATATAAGTTCAATACTACTGTCTGTCGAAGTTTCTTTACACTCTTTAGTTGTGTCGGTTTCCTCTTTCATTAAAATATCGCCTTCTGAAACGTCAAATTCTTGCGTTTCAGGTTCATTCTTCTTACAATCGGTTGTTGGAATAATAACAATACTGTTTGGATCCTTTGAAGACAGCTGCTCTGTGATATTGACATTCTGAACGCTTAAATCTTCCATTTCCACATCTTCACTACAAGATGTTTTTTCTGCTGCTAAGCCGGCGGTGACCAAACTGTCAATTTCTGCTATATTTTCGTTTATTACGGGCATACTAGGGTCCTGCTCCGTGGCTGCTTTAGCGTCTTCAATAGAATCCATGGCTCACGACTTAAAGGATTTGTGGTACTGATTAGTTGTTTATTATTTTACATTTAAATCGAGTTTTTCGCATTTAAACAATTTGCAATGCTGCGGTGAAGAAGAAGAAACAAGAATATGCCATTCACCTGTACCATATACTGCAATAATAGTCACGACCCACGCCCATCCCTATCATAAACTGTTATTTAATGTACTTTTTCAGTTTTATTTAACTATAATCTTATTTTAAAAATATTTGTAAATGCAGTAGTCTACTCCCATTAATTGAAAAATATTTGCAGGTATTTAATCTATGGTGAACAAATTTTAGCTAACCAGTATTTCATATTTAGTGTATTTTCGGGCACTTTTTCTGGTACTGTCTTTGGGTATAAGAAGAAGAAGAAGCACCGAGGCATTCAAATTTACAGCACGTGCTATTGTTTTGTTTTTTGAGTTCTCGTATTGTTTATTGATTAACAATGGCTGGGAACGCCAGCGACTCTGGAAGTGATTATGATGTAGAGCTTTTTATAAAACCTAAGCGTGTCCGCAAGACAGTTAACGACGACAGTGCTGACCTCTTCGGAAATTTTGACGATGAAAAACGGAGGGAGATATTAGATGGAACTTATAAAAATCCAAGCGATTCGGAGGGGACTGCCGATGAGGGTTCCGAAGAAGAAGGCTCTGATGAGGCAGACAACGATAATGATGCCAGTGAAGATTTCGAGCAAGGGCATCCCGTTAAGAACGAGGACATAACTGATGAGCAACTGTCTTCATTGTTACGTGGAGCTTCGAAGGTGAACAAATACGTACTGTACGTAACAAATCTAAATTTCGAGACAACCAAGGATGACTTGATGTCCCACTTTGAAGCAGTTGGCACAGTTAAGGGTATACGTATACCAAAAAAAAGCAGAAGTGGCTTTGCCTTTGTTGAAATGGATAATTTGGTGAGCTTCAAACGTGGTTTCACCCTCCATAACACAGAGCTGAATGGCCGAAACATAAAAGTTCAGATCTCCGAGGCGGGAAAAAAGAAATCGGCAAACAAGAAGAACATAATCAAACAAAAAAATCGAAAACTAGCCGAGATGCGAAACGAACAAAAGGCGTTTACGAAGAGTGGCAAGTTCTACGACAAGGATTTAAAGAAGGAAAAAGCAAAGGATCTGCTGGCACGTCAACGCTGGCGAAAAAAACCTTCTGCTAACCCCAATAAATAACCAAATAAATAAATTAAAAAAAAAAATCTAACAACTTCTTAGATTTATTTTTAATTGATTAAAAGCCAGCTAAAGCCAGCGTACGATGTAGAAATTACGTTTCCCTACACGTAAAAGGGAAACACCATTTCGTAAAACGTGTATGCCGGTCGTAATAACTTCAGCTATGTTCTGGACGCGCTTCTGGTTCACATAGAATCCCCCAGCGTTTATTATTCGAACGGCGTCATCTAAATGAGATTGAATGTTAGAAGTGTGGACTTGATATGATTTCATGATGAACTAACTTTCTGTGGGAAAGCACTTGGCCTTCATTGCCAATTGCAAAATGGACATGCCAGGTTCTGTTAACATTTCCACCACTGTGGCGCCCTGGAACGTCTGTTTGATTTCGTCATAGTTCAGCTCAGCCAAACCGTCCACGTTACCCTTGTATAAGGCATTGGTTACGCGTTCCGCTTGCGCTAAACCGCGTTCTACAAATGAAAATCATTCAAAACTTTTCAAATTACTTAATTCAAATATGACATATTGAAGTACTTATCCACTTACCGCCATGTACCAGTAGTGTCACATCCTCGGCCAACAGTGTTTGGGCCTTTCGTTTTTCTGGTTCCTTTGCGTGCTCTCGCATCAATTGTTCCACCTCCGGCATGGGAATGAAGGTAAACAACTTTATAAGCTTCTCTACTTCCGAATCAGGCATACGCATGAAGAACTGATATAATGCAAATGGTGAAGTCTTATTTTCGTCTAACCACACTGCGTTTCCTGCCGATTTACCAAATTTGTCACCCTCTTCATTCGTGACGATGGGCAGCGTCATGCCGAATACCTCACGTTTCGGCTCGACACGGCTAATAAGCTCATGGCCAGTCATTAAGTTGCCCATTTGATCGGAGCCACCCATTTGAAAGCAACAGTGGTGTGTGCGCAGAAGATGAAGCCAATCGTAAGCCTGAAAGATTTGGTACGTGAACTCTGTGAAGCTCATGCCATCCTCCGATTCAAGCCGAGATTGTACAGAGGATCGCGAAAGCATGGAACCCATTCGGAAATGTCGGCCCAAATTACCAATGAAATCTATCAGATTAATATTGGAGTACCAATCGGCATTGTTAACAATGCTGTTGGGAATGGGATTAAGTTAGTTATATATTTGTAGTTGTAATTACACCTTTCTTACGTCAAAGGCGGCAGTGCTCGTGTGTTCTTCCCCGTGTCCCATAAGCAATCTAAGTGATTTTTAAATACTTTGCGAAGCTGTTCCTCAATCGCTCTCTGATTCGTTTCAATAGTCGATTCGCCAAGCTGATTACGCTCCGTTTTTCGTCCACTGGGATCACCAATTAGACCGGTCGCGCCTCCAACTAATGCTATAGGATTGTGGCCAGCCCTCTGGCAGTGAAGTAAGCCCATAATAACAAGTAAGTTCCCTACGTGCAAACTGTCAGCAGTGGGGTCGAAGCCTGCGTAAATGCTCTGCGGACCGCTGGTAAAGAGTGTCTCCATTCTTGACCTGCCATTGAGATATTCAATTATATTTAGTTGAAATTTACACACATGATATTTAATTACCCTGCAGTGTCTGGAAAGATATTTTGAAAGAACCCACGTTCCGAGAGTCCCAACAAGTTTTTGTGCGTGAAATAACGCTTTGCGGCTGCATAACTGTTGCGCTGCGAACGCAACAGCCGCAACTTTAAGTGAAACATTATGCAAGGCAGGCAGTCAAAGTATCACATTAAATAAAAATTGCTTCTGAGCCAACAAAGCCGACAGAAACCCGCGATTGAGGTTATGGTGAATGTTTTGATTATAACAGCTGATGCAGCTCCCATTGTGAATGGGCCTATTTTCTTTGTTTATTTTTTTTACCGAACACAACAAACTAATTGCTAACTTTCTTTTTATATATGTTAATATGTTGCTGAAAATTCGTCACGCACTGCTCGAAGTGTCCAAATCTTCGACCACCAGCACCAAGCAATCTGGAATAATAATTAATAACGAGGTCATAATTTGCTCCGGCTGCATACTTTCTTCATACGTACGACCATCTGATGAAGAGGAGAGTTCCGTCTCCGCAACAAGATATATCATTGATAGCCTGCAACAGTGTAAGCTGATAAACGCTCAAGAAAAGAATTGCGAGGCGGCGAAATATCTGCGCACCTTGAATTATCTGGTGACCTTTGATCGCAAGCTTTCGGAGCGCAGTGCGCAGCAAAAAACAGGCAATGCTGTGGGTCCTATTCTCACCCGCTACACAGCACAGCCCTTGTACGTGTTTTGCGCCGTCGAAGTGTCCAGGAATTTACATAAATTGTTGCAAACTAGCGCTTTGAATGACGAACAAAATGAGGTGCTGCGCTCAAGTTTTCTAGTGCTGAGCATGCGACCAGGAGATGGAAGTGGAGGCGACGACTTTAATATTAAACGCTTTTTACAGTACATTGGAAACTATTTGCGATACCTGCAGGACTTTGCCATCCGCACGCTCGACGATGTGCTGGTCATGTGCTCCCCTTTTGGCTTGGAAAATTTCTACAAGACCATTAGCATTGGGAAAGTCAGCAATGTAATTGGTCGAAGTGGATGCTTGTTTGCTTTGTCCAATCCCCTGCCCCTGGGATGCGAAGGCTCGGCGGTGTTCAACAATAAGCTGTGAGTGTTAAGGGTAAATAGGCATTTGCAATCCAAATACATATATCTTTACATACAACATTTGTCCTAAAGACGATTGATTGGCGTAATAGTTTGCACATCGTTTCAACGGCAGCAGGAGAACGTAAATCTGACCATAGCGGCTAATTTTGGATATCTGTTGCGTGATTTTATGGAACAACTAGGAGTACCAATTACAACGTTCCATTTGCAGAGGGAGCCATCAAATTTTGCATGTAAGTAGTAAATCCCAGCAGCAGACAAGCTGGCAGGGGTAGGCTATTTACCTGCAACTGTCGGACTAGTGTCTTGTCTGTGAACCTGCGTGTTCAGAATCGTTTCTGACCTTTCTTTAATTAAGTGTGATGCACTTGCTCTTGTCTTTCAAGAGAATAAATAATTATACAATACCATACCCACCACAAATCGTCAAAAACAATTTGTCTATCTGTATTTTACATATATGACTTACCATTTCAGGGGAGCGCACCATTGTGGTAATAGAATCATCGGGCCAACAAGGTACCGGTACCTTCATCAAGGTACACAACAAGCGATTTATTCTCACATGCGCACATGTGGTGGGCCAGGTAAAAATTATCATATTCTACATTTGTAGTGTTCCCAAAAAATTCATGGAATCGTGGAAATATTTAAGATTGCAATAATTTAAAATCTTCGCTTTTTTAAAAGCTCAACACGAAAGTGCATTGTCGCGCAGCGGACCGGCAATTTACTGCGGACGTGCTTTGGTGCAATCCCGAGGTAAATCGTCCGTACGACTTAGCTCTCCTGACCGCCCCGATTAATGTGCCAGAGCGTCATTTTGTGCGCTTGGCGCGGAATCGTGCTACTATGGGTCAAACAGTGTACAACGCCGGCTTTCCTTATTATGTGAACTTCAACTTTAAATATGACTTCAACCCATCAATATTTCAAGGACGCATTATTAAGTATGATCAAGGAGCTATTATGTCAGATGGAAGCGTTCAGGCCGGTCAAAGCGGTGGCCCTATGTTCGATCAGAACGGATGTATATTGGGTGTCTGTGTTTCCAACATAAAGTATGACGATATAGTCTATCCAAATATAAACACAGCAATTCCCATTTGGGATGTGCGTGCGACATTATATGAATTCGCAAGGACGAGCGGTTTGTGTTTGCATATCAAATAAGTTTGGCCAAAAGTAACATTTGTTTTTCCAGATGTAAAAGTGCTCAACAATTTGGTGGCAAATCAGGATGTGCAGAGGGTTTGGTCGCTCGAATTGCCGCCTATTCGAAGTAAACTCTGAATGATCTTTGGTCTCATGTACTATTAATTGCCAAGTGGTGTCACTAACTTTCTGTAATATGTATTTTAAGTTCTGATATTCCGTATACATAATAACACATATTATTATTTATACAATCAAAAAGTATACATAAAACTTGTTTATACAACACTACAATTTATTAACAAATAGATCGTTTATCTTATAACATGGGTTTAACTCTTGTCCAAGCAATCGTTTACATGGGTTTGTAGCGTAGACAGCGAGTTAAACGATTTCGAGCATATAGGGCAGCGAGAGACGCTCTCTGATGTCTTAGCCGCCGCCCCAGTCGGATCCAAAACCTTAAAAATCGAAATATTAAAATTATAAATGCTATTGCCTTGAATATATATATATATATATATATATATATTTAATTATATGCGTACTCTTATTGGTCGCTGGTCGTCCCGTAGGCTACTCCTGTTTACTGTAGAGATGACGTCTGAGTTGCTGTCCTTTGCTTTAGAAAGCGCTTCGATTAGCTCCTGGTTGCGTCGTTGTAGGGCACGCAAATCTTGCAAATACTGCTCCTTTTCTCCTGCATTCTTTTCACGATCAGCTCTTTCCATTTCAAAATCTCGCCGGTAGATCTCAACCTGTGTCTGCAAATGTGTGATTTCATCCTGTTTTTGGGCGTCTTTTAAATTTAAGTTCCTTAATTCCTCATTTGTTTTATTCAAAATCTCTTCGTAACTGGTTAAATTAACCTTCAAACAGTTTATCTCATCCAAATATATTTTTTGCTTTAAATAGATGAAAAAAAAATATATATAATGTAATTAAAGGTTTCTTTTTTTTTTGCACCGTACTGACCATTTCCTTAACTTCTAAATTTTCCGCCAATAATCTGGACATTTCCCGCTGCAAATCCTTTGTTATACGGTCGTGCTCTTCTCTTTTAATAAAATCGACAGTTGGTCGGATTTGGGGTTCCCCTTCAGGTGGCACAACCTCGTAGGATTGCTACAAAAGGCAAACAATTGACGGTAATTTTCCCATTTTGTTCAATAGTTTAAATATGTATGTATATACACTCATATGTATGTAAGCACCACAGACAATAGAAATATTGGTGCAAGAAACTGAGAAACAACTTCAGATAAGAAATCAGTTCGATTGTAAAGCAGTACTAACGACGTAGTAATTTTTGAAATATACATATATACATACATATGTAGGTATATTATGTGAATAGCATATATTTTCCGAAAATTTTAACACTTACCAACTGTTGCTGTGCCAATTTATCAATTTCGACACGCATATTTTGTATTAGCGAATTTTTCTCAGATATGCTTTGTCTGAGGTCATCGTTTTCCTTTTGTTGTATTTCCTCGACCACTTGCAACTGATTCAAATTTGCGCTTATGTCATTTTTTAGTGTCTGGTTTTCTTTTTTCAATTTATCGATTTGCGCCTGACAGAGTTCTAATTGCTCCTTATATTGTTGCTCCCTTGAGGCTGCATCTTGCCGCCATTGCTGTGTAATTTTGTAGTAATCTTGCATGGTGTGATGAACCTTGTCCAAAGTTTCTGTTGCCAAAAAATTGTTAAATCTTGCGTTAAAACAATCACCTGAATAGGTGCACAACTTTTTCGCACAAAACCAGCTGCATCTTCCAACTAATACATTTCTAAATTATAGGAAATTTGCTTGGTTTGGAAGATACATCAAGTTTGGTGGCATCTGTTAAGCCATCGACGTTGTACATACGTTTGAGGGCAACATATTCGGTCATCATGTTCTGAAGCTTTACAACATCCTCAGCGCAGGCCTCCATAGAACAGAGGCTGGGAAATTGTGAATATACGCTATTCTGTCAACATTTACAATCATATTTCATACCGATGTTATCATGTTTAACTTTGAATATTTACAATCTTATTAATACAAACCTTTAAAACGTCTGCGGGCACTTCGCCCAGTAGGAAGCTGGCAGCCAAGCTGGGTTCGGCTGAACCATTTGTATGAATCGAAGTGGTTTCACTGACCTTTGCTCCAATTGTGCTTGCGCTTAATTGGTTCGATGTTATAAGAATATTTTCTGCCTGTTCTACAGAAGCCTCTTTAGTTTCCTTTTCTTTTTCAAGTGCATCGCGTAGCAGGGAGTTTCCATCTGCGCAAATTGATGGCATCGGTGAGCTACCCAGAATCACGAAAGATTCTTCCTCGGAAATAGACATTGCACCTTTGTTTTTTCAGTATATGTATGTATGGTACTGAAAAAGTCAGGTATAGGCTTGTAGAGTGGGAAATCCCCTTTATTTTTTTTAAATTAAATTTTGATACAATATGTTGTGAAGTGGTGGGCGCATGAAAGACTTGTGTACACATTCTAACATGCCTTCATATGTATATATTTACGTACATACATATGGATGTACATATGTATGAATGTACATACACTGATTGTCACAAATTTTTACTGTTGTGATTCATAGGAAATGCGATTTTCTGGTTACGGGGCTCTGCATCACAAGTTGTCTAAAGTCTAATTGTAACGGATCAGCAAAAATACCAACCTTATTCTTATTGATCACCAAATCAATTTTAATCCCTATTTTAATATTGGTTGTAGATTGTTAAATTTATGTACATATATGTGCGCGCTGATATATACATAAATATAAATGAATATAGAATGCTATCACTTTTTCGTATAGTAATAGTGGTGTGCCAACGACTAGAGATGAGTAAGACCGGCGAATCGTGTCACGAGTATTAAATTTAAACATAGAGATTAATAAACTCTTCGTCAACTAATTAAGAATTGATTTACTAACAATTAGAAATCTATCGAACAACTTATATACATATGTACATATGTTATTTCCCTTGTTAGTATAATGAATTTAAATCCTACTTGCGTCTTTATTTATTGCCTCTCTAAGTCAGTGTGACCCCACCTCGGCTATTGGTTAAATATAGCTTGCTTCTTAACACTGAACGTTTGCAGCAATTTAAATTTTGCGCCTTTTTGAGTATTTTCAGATTTATGTAATTTGTTTTCTACTTTTTCATTTGATTAAAATTGGGCTTGTTATTTGGGTGTGTTTAAGTTGATCATGTTTTACGTGTCATCCATTTCATTTTTTTATATTATTTATTAATTAGGCTTTATAATTTAAAACTTAATTAAACACAACATGTAAAGCCGGATTTGCCAGTTATTTGTAAGCAAAAATCACGCCTTTTTGGGGGTATTTATCTTGTTTAATTTTATTTATATTCTGCTTTTTCACTTTACATAATTTGGGTTGTTGCTCGTACGGAATTTTGGTCATATTTTACATTTCACCTCGTTAATTTTTTTATTGTTTAATTAGGCATTATTAATTTAGAACTTACTCACGGGCATGTAAAGCCGGATTTGCCAGTTCATTATAAGTACATATATGTATATGTATGTATGTATAGTATGTGTATATTGGGCTCAATTTTAGCTTGCTGAATTCTATTTGTTTTTCTTTTGTGCTTTTTAAATATGTAAGTGGATCTCGATCATATTTTCAGTATAAACACGTTCGTTTTTCTAAATTAGGCATTATTAATATAAAACAGACATGGAAAGCCGGATTTGCCAGTTGTTTGTAATTATACTGATAAATGAGGTTCTAATTGTTTGTTTCTCGAAATTATTGTCATTAGATATCCAGTTGAACAAACCGGATTTACTTTGAGGACCTGTTTTTTAATTCTATTTTTATACACTGCCCCCGAAGGGTAGTCATGTGACATGTAACAGGCAGGAGACGTGGCAGACCTCATGTTATTAGTAGCTCCATAAACATATGTACATACATGTATGTATGTACACGTATAAAAAAACCGTGTCGTGAAACCATATATAAAACTTATTTTCCAATCGTATTAAATCAAAACCGTGTAAAAACTGAATTAGGTGTATATATAGCCATCGTGAGAATTGACTTACCCATATACAAGCAAGCTTATTAAAAATTCAGGAACCTTTATTTTATATCTCTGTCATGCCATGGATGTATGGAAAAGACAAACCCATTAGAAACATTTGTAACCGACTTTAAAAAACGCACCTCAGCACATTCGACTGGGTGAACCGATTTCGATGATTGTTTTTCCATTTGAAAGCTGGTGCTTCCCGAATGGTCGCATTTTAATTTGGTCCAGTTCTGACAATGGCATCCATGAGAAAACTACCTTAAACATATGTACCTGACTTAGTCCATATAGCTGAAAATTATATTCCAGAAGAGGATGTTGTTAAGTCACTTTAAATGACAAAAAAAGCATTCAAAAAGCATTAGTCCTTAAGTCGGATTGGAACAAAACCTATTTGAATTGAAGTACTCTGGCGGAGGGAGGAACGGGAATAGGGTACACCAAAGTCTGGCTGGCCTGACTATACCGTTGTAGCCTTCCCCTTGTTCTACTGCTGTATCACCTTGGTATGGGTCAACAAGGCATTTTGCTGTGCACATTAACATTATTTTTGTTGATGTTTTTGGGGTGTGCGCTTTACGAATCCGTATTGCATGGAGATTGCGTGCACATATATTTATAATTATGTACATATATATGAGTATATATACATACTTGCACTGTGTTTATTATATATTATGTATAGGCAATATCGGTAAACCGGTTTTGTGAGATGGCACATAGTATTGTATAGCTATAATATTTAGTGCTTGAATTGGGCTTTTCTCAAAATGGGTTCAGAAAGCAAAGGAATATCTTTTTTTTAATAATAATAATAATGAATAAATAAATACGTGTATTGCGCATTATTATGCTTTCAATGTTTATTTTTTAAAAATCTCGTTTTCAACTTAAAACTAGTGCACACGAACGTGAATAAATATAAATAATATTAGAAAAAACCTTAGACATGAATATGCTTACAAATGTACATTTGTAGTATGTACTATATATGTAGGTAGTACTTGATTGTACAAATACGAAATTCAATTAAAGCTTAAGTTCATTTAAACTTTTAAACTGTCGAGAAAAAAATCACCACGCACACAAATCACATTCAGATCTCAGTCATGCTTCAACGCATTCGCTCATACATAAATTTAGATACACTTAATCTTTAGAAAATAAGCAATTCTCAGATAATTCCCGAGTACCCCTTACGCCTGTGCTCTGCCATAGTAGTAGCCCGACGGCGACGGCTGCGTCTGCCGGAACTGGCGTCGCTGCAGGACATGAGGTGGCTGGAGTTCACGTTGGAGGGCAATGGACGCAAAGTGTTGCTGCTTCAGGGCATTTATGGTGGCAATCTTGCGGTGCCTAACCGGCCTCAGATTGCCAACGGACGCGGCACTGCCACTGCTCAGGCGAAATAGGTCGAGATCGTCGTCGCGGGGTAGTGGTCGGTATTTATCCTCCTCCACAGGGACACCGTCAGGATGCACGCGTATGACGAGCGGGCCTGTCAGATAGGAAGTGGTCTTTGGTGGCTTGGCCGTCAAAGCGGCTGCTTCTGGCAGCTCACTTGATGTCGTCGCCGAGGGCTGGTTGCCGTTGCCGTTGTTGTTGTTGCCATATCCATAGGCAATGTCCATGTCCATGGCATACTTATGGTTCTGCTCGCTGGCGCTGCTATCGAAGAGTGGGTTCTGGACGGGCTGTTGTGGCGCCTTCTGATGCGTCAGTATGATGAGCGAAGATGCAGGCGGCGTCGGCAGCGGCTTTCGGGTGGTGACGAGAGTGGCGCTCGGATGCTCACGCATAATCGATGACCAAACTGCGGAAAGAAACGTCGATATTTTATGAGTGCTTAGTCAGTAAAATCACGTATGCTTTATAGTTATATTCGGCGCAAGAGCAGAACACGTTTCTTTATCAGGCGCGGAAGTTCTTTGTGCCGAATGTGCGCATGCAGAACTAGTAGAGAGCTGCTGCGATGCTTTATCTGGGTTTACCCAATTTAGTCTGAAGCGTGCAAACATTTCCCAATTCCCACGCCCAGCACCGATGGCATATTTATGTAATTTATGTGGAATACTCACTCAGCTCATTGGCATCGCGTTGATATGGATCGAGCGTCTCGAGCTGCTCATCGGAGAGTGTCTGCAATTTCTCGTAGCCATAGCCGAGCAGGTTGTGCTTGCATTGGTTAACGGGCACAGAAGTGCTGGGAGCAGTCGATTTGCAATGCACGCTAACCAGCTGCGCAAACGTCGAGTACAGGTAAGACATCTGGAAAGGCCAAATGAGAAGGAAACTTAGCAAACAAATATTGTTAAAATGGCAAAGGAGGTATATTCATAAAAACTATGAATCCAAGTTTCGATGTTAAATTATAATCGCACAGATTCAATCTGTAAATAAAACATTTGGGGCCCGGCATAGCTCAATGAGCAAGCAGGAATCCCACAATTGCGTCATGTCGCAACCATCATGACAACAAAATTTCAAGGTGTTATCATAAAATTTAATAATTATATGTACGAGTAAGTATTGAAAGAACTGTAATCAAATTTGAAAACATTTAACATAGCATCGAAAATAATTTAATTTAATTTTCACTTACACAAGCGCTTGCAGAAACCAAAAATTTATTCATATTTTATAAACATGGGTAGATCTTGGGTTGGAGATTTCCCTCTTTCTCTTTTCGTCTTTCTCTTTCCCGGTTTCTCTACCTCTCTTTTCCTCTTTCTACTCCTTACTTTTTGTAATTAGTTCTTAAGTAGAATTAATTGTCCTCCTCTACTTACTATTTGTTTAGTTTATTAGGTCTATAATGTCTCTGACCACATATGGCTTTGAATCGGGGCATATAATATTATATTAAATCCTATGTTCATTTTAATTTTTAAATGATAATATATATAAAATGTTAATGTATATTGTAATAATTATAATGGAATGTATCGACAGAACTACTTTTTGATTTTACTAAATAGATAATACATACATATGTATTAACCTCTATCGCTCACATACTAACTACTTCCTCTTCTTTTGAATGTAGTGCTTCGAGTAAGAGTAGAATATTAAGCCCATACTATACTAATTACTACTATAATTTATTTAATTGTGTGGACATAGTTGGATAGAGTTGAGTCACAGACGCTGTACAATAAATGAAGGGTAAACTTTCTCGCAAATATTGCTCTCTCTCACCGAAGACGACTTACGCAATGCCCACTGTACGCAGCTGCTTAGGCAACGGTGCGTGTGAGTGATGCACAAATGAAATGCATTTCGAAAGCGCATACCGTTGGGAAATCAACGGGGGGCTCAACTTTGTGTGCCCCACTTGTGTGCCTTTACGGTTCAGCTAACAAACAAGCGCATCACCACCAGCCGGCTCATTGTATATTCTTGCTGGGCAGCGATCCGTGAGATACTTTGGCAAATTCTAGTCGCGTCTCTGGATGACGCATACTCCACCGCACTGGTGGCTGCTGATACGGACTTGATGACGTAAAGTGTGCCGAGCTCGTGCTAATGAAGAACTCGATGCTAACAAGAATCGAAAAAGCCCCATATCCGGCATTATTTACGCATTAGCAAATGGCGATAGACAACGGAGCAGACCAGACTAGACCGAAGCAAATAAAGAAAGTAAGAACTGAACTAATTTGTGTCACACACGCACACATATGTATGTTCATACATACATATATACTATAGATGTGAGTATATGTTTGCCACACCTGTATGTATTCGTACCTTGATCTGTTTTTTGCCATCATATTTAACCACAAAGAAAAATCCATCAAACGAAGCTCCATTTGCATTTGCACTGCCGTTTATTTTCATTGCACATTGGCTGTGTGTTTTACAATTTTACGCTGTTTGCATAACGATACAAACAGACATGTGAGTATTTAAGTGTTGTGTCTGTATTTCTGTATGTATGCATGTATGTATGTATGTACACACACACATACTTGTACATATTGTGTGCCAGAGGTGTGGGCAACGGTTTAAGCGTTGCCTCAAATTACAAATTACCGTTGAGCGTCAACAAATTGTAGCAAATATGCAGGTATGAGTAAAAATGTATGTATGTACGTATGTGTGAATGTCTGTATGTACGTATGTTTATTGACCGCAAAACGTGTGCAAACTGTAAAATGAGATTAATACCCAACTTCGTATTTTAGTTTCTGCTCTTTTTTCCCCAGAAAAATATATTTCAGCGTTGAATAAACAATTTCCCAATACTTATTAACAATGTCAGCAAAATCCGATACATAAATATACAGTTTAGACCGTATATACATATACATATAGAGTACATACAAATAAGAGAAAACAATTCTCGATTTAAACGGCTCTGTCAAAACTTTATGATCCAGGCCCTGACACAGTTAAGTAATCGGCAAGAATAAAAATGTGCAAACATTTTATGCGAGCAACATTATTTATGCCCTATACTTGTAGTTTTATAAAAACCTGTGGGTGTTGTCAAAGTCAAATATAACTATCTACGTATATGAGCTTACATACAAGCATACAACACAAATGTATGCATATATAATACCTATGAACATGAACACTTTATTATAGCCGGCACATACTTTAGATCGTGCCTGGTGATAGCTCGACTTGGCTTCGCGTAATTTATTAGCGCTTGCAAATAACAGGAGGTATTAATTGTGCGAAATTCGAAAACATACAAACGTACATACACACATACATGCATATTTGCATGTATATATGTACATACAGGTATGAGGAAATCACAATGGCTATCAAATTAACAAATCCCCAAAACTATTTCGTTTGAAGATCGTGAGTTTTCTTTTCGTCTGAGGGCGTGTGACGAAATCGTCCCGCGTTGCATAAAACATCTTAAAGGAGCGCTGCCAGAACACACATACATATACATACATATATATGCATTTAGTTATGCGCATTTATCGCCTTCACAAACTTCAACTAGAAATACTTATCTATCGGTGAAAAATAAATAAACATTTTCTATGAGAATTTATCTCCCGACCCTAGAATTTTTATTCTTACTCGCCAGTTTAACAAGAGTCGCAACCGTCTTCAATTTACATATGTATGTATGTATGTATGTACTAATTAATGCTCGTGATCGACCTTAAAGTTCGGCATTCATTCACTGTCCTCGCTTCCCAGCCATTTATTGCACCTGCACATACATATGTACATACTCGTATATATGTATTTATACTTATATATTCATTTATACAAAACGCACTGTGCACACAGTCCGTTTCAGCGGGGTGTGGGAGCCCAATTGTGGTCAATTCGTTAAACCGTTATGCAGTTTAGAATTGTTACTAACATTTTAATGTCATATTTGTCACATTTTGGGTGTCTCTGAGGAATTGTCAATCATTTTAGCGAAACAAATTAAACAGAATTACAATAATATCTAGGTTCTATACATGTATATATTTAATGGGAATGGCTATTAGACAACAAAGAATAGAGTTTGTATAAAGTATGTGGACGAGTAGCGAGGTCGACACTTTTGCTTTACTAAAGGATTACATTTCCATTTATACTGAAGGTGAATAGGCAGTAATAGTTCAAATGAACTGATTTCAATGGTAATTGATTTTGCGCACATCATCTCGATTTTGTTGTTATGTATGTATAAACAAATGGCTTTTAACTGAATTTGTATTTTCGTCAAAATAAAAACTAGGGAATCGCATCGTTAGCGTGATCCTTAATCAAAATTAACCGATTACCATTCAGAACCATGATCTTAGCTTGACTCGATATTATACATTTTTTAACAACCCGTAGTCATTGACTTATATTCTGAAAACAAAAATTGATATCAGAACATAAATATTTGACAGGGACTGTTTTAGCTTATAGTTTTTTTATTTTGCGTAGAATACTTAGTCATGCGATTATTTACGGTTAGATTCTAACGATACGTAAAATTGAGCTTCAGTTACAACCTACTCTTCCAATTATGTTTTCTTTAGAGCAACACGCATTTTTTAAATCTACTAGTATTTAAAATTTTGTTTTGTAAATCACCGCATCACCACTTAATTATAATTCTACCAAAACCAAGCCAATTGACGATCTCATACACTCGAAAACATAAATATGTTTTGAGCTGTGGTTCAATAACCTTTCGATTAATGCGCACCCTAAATTATGAAACAAACAAACATATACACATTGAACCAAGAAATAAAAACGCAAATGCCTACGCAAGTATACCCGATCATGCGAATGGATGTGTTTGGATGTAGGTATTTATTTCAAAACCCAATGAAAAACGGATTCCATTGATGATAAACATTGGACAAAGTGCGTTTTCGCGTGAAAACAAAAACTGGGCACGGTTTATTTATATCTTTTACGTAAAAAGTAATGCTAGCATAATTTATTTATTGGTATAAAAAACCGGCTAAACGCGTTTATGCGTAAACGAAAAGGGAGGAAACAATAGCTACAACTAAAAATGCTTAATGATATCAACTTGTTTTTGCAATCGGTCCGATACGTGTATCGAAAGCTGGAGAGAGTGGGACACAGCCAGAGGCAACGCAGAAGATTATGTGATGGGACTCACGGGTAAAACAATAAACTGATTTAACTAAAACACACAGATACACAGATGCCACCAAATTGCATTAACATTTTGCCTTTCGAACCGCGACATTCAAATAAAACAAGCTCGATAATTAACCAGTTAGAATAATAAAGCACAGCCTGTGCGATACTCTCCACGAAGTTTCCCGTCGATTGATGAATATCTCATCAACTGGATTATTAATAATCACCGAAGATAAAACTTTTCGAATAATAATGTCTTCATATCGTCAGATAGAGTGCAATTTGGAAGTTGACAGCCACCTCGCCGTTGAGAGCGCTGTCTTGCACACATAAGAGTTAATTAATCGTTTTCAGTTTTGGTCAAATTTTTATTTTTAACGTGAATGACCATAATCTGATCATTAATAATGGAGTTGAGTGTTTTAACAGCTTATTCAATCTAATTGAAAAGCAATACATATGTTGCTTATATCTATAATTTTTATTGATCAGCATCGATCGTGCGATATATCCGGCATCGTCTTTTATCGGCTCAGTATAAATTTTAACACCTCAAAAGTAATTCAATTAATACAATATTTGATTTGGAGCTAGGTAGAAAGTATTTAACTGCAACAGCTAAATATATATGTATGTATGTGCATGAAATAATTAGGTCAATAATTAGGGTCTGTCTGTAGTACATCTTTTTATCATGTGGGTAGGGTGTAAAAACAATACTAAAGCTAAAACATTTAGGATATTCTAATGAGACGAGCGTGCGACGTTGCGTTGTCAGAGTTAGTTCACCAATTTCCATTGTTAAAAAATAAAAAAAAAAACAAACCATTGTACGGCCCCTTTTTTCTTTAGAATTGCAAATTAGCTTTTTTCGTAGCTGGCATCCAATTAAGTTTTAGAAATTATTTTCTCATTTGTCTATAGAAATGCGATACGCTCGCGTGTGGATACCGGATATACAAGCATGGATGAATAGAATTCGCGTTGGTTCTTGCTCACACAGCCCGCACAAGTCGCGCCAAATTACACTTGTGTGTGTATGTGTGTATATATGTATCTACATATGTATTTATGTTTGTATGCATGTAGATCAGCACGAAAATGGGACCGAGCGTATTACGTGTGTGCGTGTGGTTGTGGTTTCGATCAGACTGCGGACCAGCTTGGGATTTAGTTTTTGTTTATTTATTTAAGTCTGAGGCAGCGCGAGTTCTTATTAGCACGCTTAGAACCAAAACAGCATCAACATCAACTGCCAACAACAATGTTAACAATGATGTCGTAGTCGAAAGCTTAAGATTTTTAAGGCGCAGTATGTGTGTGTCGGTGCGGTCCGAAATTGACGAACTGCCAAAACTTCAATAGCTAATGACTCGGCAAATCAGAAAAGCATGATTAAGAAAAAGCTATTTAAAAAAATGAATGAGTTATAACATAAAAAAGCAAAAACGAAATACAAAAATAGCTAATTTGCTTGTAATGCAAGTACTGTGGGTATTTTTCTGAAGAAAGGGGACTTGAAATTATATAGTTGGCCTAGCGAAAAGTTCATTAACTGTTTAAGAGCCGTGCAAAAAAAAAAAAACGGAATAAGCCTGTCACGCTTTGTTGCGCAAACTTTTTTTGCATTTGAAAAGTGAAAAGTTTTGCACACCGTTGGCCACACGTCGCTCGATTTACGGCAATTGGAAATGTAAATGAAAACAATTTTCTATTTAAACAGTTGTTTTTCATAAGCGAAAATTAAAAATCATAAGCGAATAAAAAATTAAGAAACAACAAATGGTTTGTTGGCCGGCCAAAAGTCGCAGCTAGCACGATCTTGTTGCGGTTCGCTGGCTTTTTTCTTTTTGTAGTTCATTTAATTTTATTCGTTTTGTAATTACTTTTTTATGGCAACAACTGTGATTTATGGATGTGTAAAAAGGGTGTATTCCAGAATGAAATTGCAAAAAATAGTGATGTAAGACCGGAAAACATTAAAAAGACACTAAGACTTGTTTAATATTCCCTCAGAACATGAAATTGTTTATATAAGCAAATTGATCAATATGTGTGCCTCAGCGATCTTTAAAATTAGATATCAGATTACATAAACTTTAAATAAATTGGGAATTCCTGAATAATAATGTATGTATATATTTTTAAAAATATCTCATGCAAATTCATATGATTACAATTCTTAAAATTGACTACAGCCTTTTAACCATATAAACAATTTGCAATTATCAGAAAATATGTCAAAGAAACAAATGTATTTCAGAAGGCAAATACAGGGCAAAGATACAAACGGTTCTAAGGCATATGAGTCATTTTTATAATCGTTAAAGTCGGCTGTGTTCTCCATAAACACATAAACACATACATATATAACTGTACTGCACAGATGTTTTATTTAATCCAAATGAACATGTAGTATGTACATATGTATATAAGTATTTAACTAGAAATTTCATGTCTGTTTTAGGTAAACAAGTTATTAGAAATCTTTTGATTATGCCCGGCTGGCCAATTTGTTGTTTTTGGTTTCTAACATTTCGTATAATTCGGATAGGGAATTTATTTCCGTTTGAAGTTATTGTTGAGATGCGACGAAAACGCTTCCTATATCTACAATTCACACCTGACCTTTTTAGTTAACGGTTTAGCTAGACTTGAATTTAAAGCTGAAAAAAAGCAAAAACAATAAAATCTATATTTGCAATAGCTCTCGACCAAGCACGAAAACCCACAAAAATGCCTGAAGTGAGTGGAGTGCCACACTCTATTCACATAAGCGCCAAATAGACCGGCTGAGCCGGTATTTCAGTCTGTATTTACGATCGACCGACTCCTGCCCAGCGCCTCCAATCTGATGATGGTCATTATCACGGCGATTAGACAGAGCCAAAGCGACGACACATCGTCATGGGGTTTCGTGATTTGTGCTACGTGAGCCGATAGATCGCTTTCAACAAATAATGCCATTAGCGGCCTATAGTTTGTATTGATAACAGCGTCAGGTCAAGTTCAAGGACTTAGCGTGCACAGGCGGCATACGGATGAATAAAAAGCAAGCCGCCTACTACATATGTACATACATACACACTTTTTGTATGCATATTTGTATATTCATGTCAAGGATGCTGGACGTTGACTAAAGTGGCAATAGTGCAGTGAAATATTCTGCTAAATGTATGTATGTATGTATGTGAGCGATGAAAATAACACCGAAATAAATTGTGTTTTGAATTTGTAGTAGCTGGTGCGTTTATTCAAGTATTTATTGTTTTTACAAGGCTCATATTTGGCATCTTTTGTTGTGTTGTATGTATGTATGTATGTATGTATATGTGTGTATGTGTGTATGTTACCGTAAAAGGGGGCAGCGTAATGCGAACGCGGTACAGTTATGCAAATAAGCAGCACCGTTTGCTTTTGCCGCTCAGCCATCGACTTTGAATAGCTGGCGTTGAGCATGTTGCTAGTCTTATTCAAATTCATTATGTATTATTGATTTGGAAATGAGCCGAAACAGAAATAAAAATATGTACATGTGTTGCCGCTGCGACAAAAACAAAGCACAAAAGAGCCGTTAATATGCAAAAATAAAATGATAAACAGCACCTATGAGCAAAAATATGCAAACAAAAATTATTAACGATGTTCATTGAAGTTATCACAGCGCGCAATATCAAAATCTCATCAATGTGTACAACAAATGCGCATACATTTGTGCGTATGCATGTTAGTAACAAAACGTCAAGCGAATCAAATTCAAATTTAAACTGGAATAGGCGCTGCGCTAACGTAATCTGTATTTATAGCTGTAAATGCTCAGTCGTGTGCGCAAATTACACATATGTATATGTATGTACGCATACGTTAATAAATATGTACATATGTATGCATGCATCTCAATTGCCGATAAGCGACTGCATATGTATTTATGTTACTATTTTCAAATGTGTGCGTGTGTGCGTTTGTTGGCTCACCTTTTCGTTGCGCGTCAGAAACTCCCAAATTGGAATCGACGATGTTGAGCACATTTGCATTGTGAATGCGCAGAGTAGGCAACCGGCCAAGAGTGCTTTCGCTGCAGCCATTATGTTGTTGTTGCTGATTGCTGTCTATGTATTATAACGGGAGTTGGTGGGGTGTGTAGCAAAGGTTGCGTGCTTGTGTCAATTGCACGCTGCTGTCGTTGCCGTTGTGCCCGCTACTGTTGCTTTTTGGCTGACGTACAAGGCGTAAGTTTTGAAAAATCGGCGATCAAGACTTTCTTTTTTAGTTATTTTTTAGCTCAATAAAAATGTTTTATAGTTCGCTGTAAACTAACACAGTTTCTATTTAGTTTTCTTTTGTTCAGCGTTTTAACTGCAGCATTTGGTTATGTGTAAGTTATTTAATTACCGACGATATTTTTTAATGTTGTTTTTGCTGTCATCAAACCCCTGCTTAAAACGCAAAAGCTTACTTCACATCTACGCCCACAAACGTTAAAATTTCGCGCACAATTTTAAACACTCGCATACAAATATTCTGACTGCCGGCAACAGCTGCGACGACTCGTCTCCAAATGAAGCAACACGCAGTGGGGCGCAGGTATTTAAGCGCTCATAAATTCGGCTTATGGGAGAGAGAGAGAGAGCGAGGAAGAGAGCGTACCGATGCTCCATCGAATGAGGCTAAACTGTTCGTTGTAAGCGCACATTTCGCAGGAGCAGGCAACGAGCTCCCATACACATGCATACATACACACTCTCCACAGTCCCACAAACACGTTCAGTATTTGCACAAAAAAACTTGTTCTACGATGCTCACTTGTTGGATTGCATTAAAAATAGAAATATAGAAAATCATTGCAACTTTCAATGTCAAGTTTGCTGACGACTATGTCTGTACAATCTCACAGGCATGTTTTTGACAAACATTTAACTTGGCATTCCTTTGACATATTTACATATGTACATACAAGTATGCATGTTTTTAATTTTTTCCAGTTACACGTACATACATATGTATGAATGTACATATTGTTTTTGCCTTGCAACGCTTAGCACAATTGACGTTCACTTCGTATGTCAAATATTTGAACATCAAATGCTAATTCTGTTTAATTGGTAAGCAAATATCTGAAACAGTCTCTGGCGGCGCTCAGCTGTGAGATTTGTATTGTTTGCTTTTAAATTTTCACTAATTCATTAAAAATTTGTTTGCTTATTTTTTTCAAGCAACGTGCAAGTGAAATTTTGTGTTGTTAAATTTTGGGCTTTAGACAAAAACTCGTTTTTCGGTAAACAAAAAAGAGAAAAAGTTTAGCAGCACGCTTGCTAAAAAAAGGGAATCTCCTAATGTTCAAATTGCTTCTGTAAATTAAAACGCATTTAATGTGATGAGCAACTCAACTACAAGTATAGTTACATTCGATGTTTGTATTGAGTCATAAGCAAATATTGGGCCACTTTTGCATGAAATGTAAGAATTCTTTTATGACGCTGCGCTGCAGAATTTTAATGGACTTTCAATGGTTCATCGAAGAGCAAACAAGAGTAATGGCGATGAGAAGCCGCTATATGGTATATATACAGTATTTATGTAGGTTGTTGACACGACGACAAGATTGCAAGCCATTTCACTAAAGGAATAAGACATGTATGCATGTAAGTTTACCGTTAAACTGATTAAGAAGGCTTACTGTCGTGTTTGATTAAAACGGAATTGCAGAAGCATTTCTCTGCAGTCGCATTGTACATACATATGTACATATGTATGTTTTAATACGAATGTTTATGACAGCACCGAAATCTCAGTTAAAATTCATTGAATTTTGCCATGTCGACGATGTTGTGGCGGCTTTCATAAACGTGACCCAAAAAATGTATTTAAATCTTGGTTTTATTACCTTTGCGCACAATATTCAAGCTAAAAAGATATACATACATACACATTAAATAATTATCTAGTATGTACGCATATTAGCCGATTAGACCAATTAGATTGCGTAGAGTTCCAAAGTCACTTAAGGTGATTATACTGCAAATAGTTACGGTCGAAACGGCTGCCGTATAAATCGCTGTCGTCCTTATTGTACATCATGAAATCGTTGCCCCCTGCATTGTTGTTTCCAAAGATCGGTATGTAGTTGTTGAAGCTCAGATCCTGCTTCAAGTTCCGGTCAGGCTTGCGTCCCAGTTGGATGACCTTGTTATATAGTTCCGCGTCAGCCAGCAATGCGCGATCAAAGTCCTTCCAGTGCACAAATTTAATATGCTCGCTGGGAATGGCATCGCGATCGAGGAGCTCAATTAGCGTATTTGAATTTACCGGCTGCACTACGGCCAGCTCACGTTCTGTTATGGAAGGACCGCCATTAATAGGTAGACGTCGTTTAATAGGCTGCGGCAAATCCCACAACCAAGCAAGAAGTGGGGTTACGGAGGTCTGAGGAATTGAACCCGTCAAATGTTCTCGTAAGTCTATCCCATCCTTGTTCATATCTTGTTCACTACGTCCGATCCGTGGTATTGTTCTCATGTTTTTCATGACGAAACTCTCATCGCGTTTACCCAGACGAGGTACATTTTTGGTGATCTTCAGGAAGAAACCAGGACTTTCGTCGGCTTGACCAATGCTTGAGCATGCTGCCAGAAAAAGTGAGACGGAAACGAGGATTGGCAACTTCATGCTGCTGAAACAACAACTGAAGAGCTGAAACCCGCAACGCGTTTTATATAGAAGGATCCCACACTACCAATATGCGGGTAGCACTAAAAATTAGCATTTATCGATTGGTTGCGTTTTAAATGCAGATAAGATTATAATTGGCCTATATAGACAATAATTCCACACTAACGATCTAAATTTAATTTAAACTTTAATTTAAATAAATAACTTGTTAAATTAAGGAAATAATATTGAAACATTAGACTGCTGCTGGAGAGTCGTAGAATTTCAAATGAGCGAGCTAAGCGCCCACTGCGCAACCTCCGTTGGTAATGCCTGATATTTGTTAACTGCTTGTTGGATCTGTCCATATGTCAATGCCATTTTATGCATTTCAAACTCCTTTTGCACCTTTCCCAACCCACCGACCGATAGAGGCATGATCAGCTCCACAATGCGCAAGTGCTCGAAAGCCTTTAGGACTATGGCACGCTCCACGTTTTGCATTGTACTGGAAACCTTGGCAAATTTTGAGAAACGTGCAAAAATGATTTCAAAGTTAAACGGATCATGGTCGTAGATCTCTGAATGATGTTTAATAGCTATGATCAGGCAAATCTCCAGCACCGAAAGACCACAGAGTAGTTCGATTTTATCGTCGCATTCATATTGACTAGCGAGCGCCGCCATTTGTTCCACTGTAATGTGTGGCTCATTGGGCTTAAGCTGTGCAACAAGCCTGAATACGAAGGTTTTGAGAAAAGCCTCGCTTATATCAAAATCATAAAGTGTCTGGAGTAATTTCAGTACTGATGGCAGCTTTATCAGCTTCGCAATGTGTTTGTTCCAGTTTTCGACAATTTTCTTCTCAAACTCATATTCGACGGGATCGAAGTGATTGCGATGGAATGTGAAAACCTGTGATTTGAGCAGTTCCAAGCTGTCCACACGATCCGAATTTAATTTCAACTCCTTGTTACTTGGAATGTGCAGCAACTGTTCGAAGAGCGCGGTGTACTCTTCGAATGCCTCGGAACTGGGGAACAGAAAAACTTGTCTGTGGACAAAAGATATACATACAAAGTGGGGGGCTCTTGAAGTTTTGTGATAACACACGCATAAATAAATACGCACAAACCTGTGTGAAAACCTCGACTTGACTCGCTTCTCAAGAAGTTCAATAACATCCAGACGGCAGGTTACGCCTATAACACAAATAGGTGCTTGTGCCGACTGTGAAACATCGAACAGATTGTATAGCAGAGTTTGATTGTGATGTGTGCAAAAGAGATCGAATTCCTCGATTATAAAGACCACGCTCTTTGACTTTTTGTCGCCGGCTTTCAAGCACTGCAATAGAAATGCCAGGTTCTCAGCAAAAGAACCAAAAACCTTTCCATCAGCGACATTCTCCAAGCACATCTGCACCGTAATGGACTTAAGTGCAATGCGATCGTCTGTGTGCAGATTTCCATCCAGGGAAACGATGAGCGTGTTGTCTACAAATGATTTCTTCACCATTAAATCTGTCAGTACGGCATTTATTAGCTGTAACGAACAAATTTGGCCATATGAGTACGTTATTTTGTAGCTAATTTTATCACTTACCGTAGTCTTTCCGGCGCCGCGCGGTCCTATTAACAGTAGAGAATTGGATTCGCCTTCAGCTGTGCGCTCCAGGAGCTGTCGCACATTGGAGCGCTCCGTTTCATACCCGCGAAGCGTTGTATAGTCTCGCTGCAAACGCTCTTTAAGAAAGCAACGCACCGTGGCTAATTCCTGTGCAGCGTCCGGCATTACGAATATATGTATCTACATATACTTTTGTTAGAAATGCGGTTGGAACATGTTTTGAACCGAAATGCCGCCAAAATAACAGCTGTAGCAGCCACTGATAGCAAAATAAACCGACATTTTACCACACTTAAGCATTTATTAAATATCGATAATTATATGAACCCCGCAAAGTATCGATATAAAATTCAAGTAACATACCTATTGCAGGCAACAGCTGTTGCGCACAGCATTTTGTTAAGCTATTTTCTCAATTCCGACGTTTCCGGGAAACTTAGGGCGCCGAGCGCGTATCTGAAACTTAAACTTTTGCCAAAACACTATGACGAGGTAACTACGATTGTGCCGGCCATCAATCCAATGGTCCTAGAATCATAACCTAAAAGCGGGAGACTGCATGTAAAACTCATTCCCTCCCGTAAATTATAGATCAAGTATCGAATTGGGCGACGTGACGCCGCACAACATAAAACAACTGAAGAAGCTCAATACCGTTGTTTTCCCCGTGTCATATAACGACAAATTCTATGTGGATGTGCTGGAGGCCGGCGAGCTGGCCAAACTAGCCTACTACAACGACATCGTGGTGGGGGCGGTTTGCTGCCGAATTGATTCCACCGAGAACCAGCGACGGCTATACATAATGACCTTAGGCTGCCTTTCGCCATATCGACGCCTGGGCATTGGCACTGTTATGTTTGAACATATACTGAACTATGCAGAGAACGATGGAAATTTCGATAGCATTTTTCTGTGAGTAATATTTGAATAATACATGGCCAAATATAACTTATCCATATTTCAGGCACGTCCAAATCAACAACAATGGTGCCATTGAGTTCTACAAAAAATTTGGCTTTGAAATCGTTGACACCAAAGAGCAGTATTACAAACGCATAGAACCGGCGGATGCGCATGTGCTCCAGAAGACGTTACGGCGCAAGAATACTCCACCGAATAGCCATCATCAAAATCATCATCTTACCAATGGTGCTGTGAATGAAAAGAAGGAGCGTCGAACTTGAGAAATATCATGCCTTAATTTTATATAACAAATTAGTTAAAAATTTGGGGCTAATTGCATGAAATAAAAAAAAAAACAATGAAATATTACAGAAAATCTATAGTTCTAACACCAATAACATGTAACCAACAAACCAGCTGCAAATGTTCGTACGATTTAGTTATATATAAAACTAAAAATATAAAATTTATCAAATTAAAAAACGGATGAGGGAAAAAGTATCAGTCGAGGATATGTGGGGAAGAAAAATGATTGATAAGCTTTAATGCAAAATCAATATACTGCTCTACATTTCGAAAATAATTCAACTTATCTGTTTAGCGATTTGTATCTATTGTCAGGGCAGTAATTAATCAACCCTTTGAATTGTAGAATGTCGCACAGACATTAAGTGCTGCTTCTGGTTCCCAATTCTACTTATTTCTCGGTGGAGACAATGTCGACAATCATTCGGCATCGTCCCAAGGGCATCTTCGACTGTTTTAGTATCTTTTACACTCTCCTTTTTTACTGGGGAGTTGTTACGTTTCGGCTTAGGGACATAAACGATGGTAAACTGAAACCCAATTCCAAGCTACCGGCTTTTCTTTTAGGGATATGTTTACGTCTTTGCTACGCTGGTGGTTTTATCGGCAGCTTAGTCTATAAAGGGCTACACAAAGAGATGGCTCAGGCAATGATTGGCGATTTGCAAGATGTCCTTAAAGTTGTATTTTCTTGGGAGTGCCTCGCTTCCACAGTCACATACATTGAACTTTGCATAGTCTTGGACATGAATCGAAGCCGGCACATTCAGCTTCTGCTAAGCATACAGCGTTTGGATAAGGACATGTCCGCCATATTTCCACACATCCAGTGGCATTACGAGAAGACGCGGAGGAAGTACAACCACGGCACCATTTTAATCAACACAGTTTTTTTTACTTTGTCTCTGGTATTCGTCTTCTTCACTGTGAACTGCACTTGCGGTTTCGCCTCCTCCTTAATTGGTGCCATCACCTACAGTGTGTTGACGGCTAATTGTGGAATGCTAGGCTTCCTGCACGCTGGATTTCTAGACCTACTGCGCGTACGTTTCCGCCTAATTGTCAAGCTACTGCATCAACTTTATGCGCAGCGCAGTGACGTTCAAAGAAATTTGGAGGAGCAGGAACTACACCAACGCATTGAAAAACTGTTTGAGTTTTCCAAACGGTGCTCCCAATATCTAGTTGACGTCAACAATGTGTTCAGATTTGTGAGCATTATCGGCATCTTCTACGACTTTAGCGTTATGACCTGTTTCGGTTATATTGTGTTGCAAAACATAATAGAGTCCAAAACAGAAGCCACCGAATATGTTTTTGTTTCACTCTTGATAGCTATGCATTTATACAAGGTGATCGTAACGGCCAGTTATGGCCACCTATTGCACCGAGAGGTATCTATCTATATGTGCATATAGTTGTATGTTCATACTTATCTAAAATCTGCTATTCTACAGAAACGTAATTGTCATCAGCTTCTGAACAAGTACGAAACGTTCTTTGAATGCGAGCATCTGGTGTTGGTGAGGAGCTTGGTGGACAGCTTTCAGCATTGGCTTAAGCACAACGACTACAGTGCTACCATTGGCGCCCATCTGCGGTGTGATGTCTACGTCATTTATATGGTAAGCTAGTAAAACACTAAGATTTTTCTAAGGTTTATTATGATACACATACATGTAAAAAGAATGACCGATTTCGTTAAGTGCGGATATTGTGTTGAAGGACTAAATATTTTGTGTGCTTCCATTGCAAATGTATACAGGACATATCTATATACAACAAAATTCATCATGTTACATTATTTTAGGTTCTTAATGCCGTTGCTAATTACGTCATTATTCTGGTGCAACTACTTTTCCAGCAAACGAGTCTAGAGGGTCCCACACACCGGCACGTAATGAGTAAAGATGTGGAAATAATAAAACCTTAAAAACATCATAGTGATTATGCAAAAGTCCTTCAATTAAAAATGTTACATACTTAATAAAAAATTTATATAAAAACATTATACTTACATACATATACATATTTCTGCTTGTTTATAAAAATCGCATCAATAGTTCAATACCTGGACTGCATCGGTACACCACGCAATAATTTTAAGAATTTTGGGCGGCACAACACCTCTTATATTAGAGGAATCCAAAATCTGTGACTACTCAGCAACTATGTAGATGCAATTGTATAAAAATGTCTACCTTTAAAGTACTAGCTGTCCTAAATAAAAGTTTCTAGTTGATTATTTAAAACGTTCACAAAAAAGGTTTGGAACACCTACCAGGAAACACCGAGACCCACATCTTATAGATACCTACATATGTACATGATGCTATATATAATTATTTATCAAAATCGGTTTGGCAAAAGCTTAAACGGTGAAAAGGGTGCCTGAAGTTCGTTCTACTCGTTTTGTTCTACGCTCCTCCTTGCCCATCATTGTTCCCCAAATATTCGTTCTTATCAAAGATAAAACAAAATTGGAATGCTAAAGTCGAGTGGACTCAACTTTGAAATTCCCTGTACCCACTCCCACAAAACAAAATTTACATTAAAACTAGTATGCCCTTTTACCTTCTTCACGCCAGACGAAAGATTCTCAATAAGGTTTAGATCTGGCGACTGAGCAGGCCATTGAGCTAAAATTTTCTATTGGCACTTACCTTTTCTGAGAAAGGAGTGACACAAAAAATGTTGGGTGGATTGGACCACGCCCACTCCTACCTCCCATACGACTCTATGAGCCTGCGAGTATTTTCAGTGTTTTAAAAGTGTATTTGTTTTGTTTTCAATTAATACAATTTTAAAAGTATATATATCCATATCTCCCACCCCCTCCCCACTCTTCTGACGCTAAAGAATTTCGTCAATACTGTCCACATTTTAAAAGCTACATAAGCAAAACTTAACACGCTTTACATCTATTTACAACTATCTAGCTTTGTTTCAAATTTAATCGAAATCGAACAATTCATAGAAAAGTTATTAGCGAATCAATTTCACTCCAGTACTACGCCTACGTGCCGGAAGTTTGTCTGGGTACAGGGTATTTCACTGTCGTGATTGCTCGACTGTAGCGTTTTCATTAGTTTCATTACAACTTGGCATGTGCTTTTTAATATAATTGGCGAAGGCTTTTACTTTTTCCGATCGGAAGATGAATGATCTTCCGATTTTATTCATCTACAATTTTTACTTTAATTCAGGTGAGCTGATATTATTTTTCGTTATCCCTAATCTTTAAAAGACGCGTGTATAAATTTGACAGTAGTCGCACCTTTAGTTTGTAGGTTATAGCATTTTGAGTGAAGCATATTCGTGTCTAAATAAAGCATCGCTGGCGAAAAAAAATTGGTTGAAATCGCTGAGACCCTAAAGATTTTAAAGTAACGTGTTGGACATATCGTGAATGAATATTTGGATATGCGAAAGCTCTGTTCAAATTGGTTGCCGTGCGATTTCACAATCGACCAAAAACAACAACGAATTGATGATTTTGTGACAATGGATGAAACATGGCTCCATCATTTCACACTGGAGTCCAATCGACAGTCAGCCGAGTGGACTGCACGTGATGAACCTACTTGAAAGCGTTAAAAGACGCAAAAGTTAGCTGGCAAGGTTATAGCATCAGTATTTTGGAATGTGCATGGTATAAAAAAATAAAATAAATTAAAATTTGTATTTTGAATTAATTTAAAAAATGAAATTAATGAATTAAATTAAATAGAAAAGTGGAGATATTTCAACAGTATACATTGTCACAGAATCGTGTCTCTGCGTCTTTATATCCATGTACATATGTATGTATGCAGCACAAAGTTGAACCAAAGAACCAACAACAACAACAGCTGGGCGCAGAGATTACATTTATGGCTATAATTTCTTTTAACATTGAGCTATCATGATGGCTTACGGATACATAATCACAAACTGGATGTAATTGCCAAATTTGAGTTCGAAATTCCAAAAATTACGGGAGTTATGGAAAAAACACGAATACTACAAGTACATTTGGTTATATTAGCCCTTATACTTTCTGAGATTCTTGCGTTCATACAGACGGACGGACGGACAGACGGACAGACGGACATGTCTATATCGACTCGTCTTGTCATCCTGATTAAGAATACATATACATATATACTGTCACGGTCTGTCACGCCTCCTTCTGTGTGTTATATACATTCGCACAAAAGTAGTATACGCTTGCACCCTTTGGGTACAGGGTATACAATTTTTGTTTCATCAAGACAATGCACCGCGTCAGAAATCAATGAAAACGATGGCAAAATTGCATGAATTGGGCTTCGAATTGCTTCCGTATCCACCGTATTCTCCAGAGAATGCTCGAAATTTTGCGCCAATAAATAGGTTATTTAGCCTATTTTGAGGCTAAAGACAAACAAGTGGAGAAGCTAAAGTCGGGTGTCCCGACTTAGAAATAAGTACTCTACATATGTATGTGTTGAATAAATAAGCGTAACTAGGCGTGTTTGTGTGTGTCTTGTGCAGCAACTACAACAACAACCGCGGGCAATACTTGGCCTGAGATTATATATATGGCTATAACTATTACATCGGCCCATCATAATGAAACTTAGTATACGGACTCATAGTCACTAACTGGAGGTATTTGCCAAATTTGAGTTTAAAATTCTTGGAAGTACGTAAGGTCTGAAAAATTGTTTATTGCGGTGGAGAGGGGGGGGGAGCGAAATTCCAAAATAAACTTTTTCTATGTATTCTCATGAGGGATATGGGACTAAAATTGGGGGAAGTGGGGGAAAAATAAAAAAAAAATAAAACAAACTTGCACACATAACGCATCTTTGTGCAAAATTTTGTGTCTCTAGTTCTTATAGTCTCTGAGATCCAGGTGTTCATACGGACGGACGGACAGACATACATAGATCGACTCGTCTTATCATGCTGATCAAGAATAATCCAAAACACCCATAAAAAATTTGAGCTCAATGGCCTGCTCAGTTTTGGGAAGCAGTAAGACAAGACTGAAGCTGCATTCCACGCCAAAGGATTTAAAATCTTACTAACTGAATGCTGCAGTTATAAAAAGCAATAGCTACGCAATACAATACTAATTGTTGTCTAATAATCCTAATTTAAGCCATTTGAATTCTACCCGTATTGTTTGAATAGATTCAAACAAATATAAGATCTACAAATTAAACACTACTATTATTTTGAGCGGCGACATTAAGAAAATTTTGAGAAAGAAATTTGTATGGCTTACTTGAAAATACTATATTACTTGTACACAAGGGCGTAGGCAGAAGGGAGGAGGGGGGGCTTTGCCCCCCTAGAAAAAATGTTGCCATATAAAATCGACCAGAAGTTCATTATTATGACGCACTATTTCACCTTAAAATGGATCTGAGTTGGATTTGTTGAAGCTTTTTCATTGATCATATGCATAAGTTGTTTTTTAAATGCATCGTGCATTATTTAATCAAAATTGTAATTTTTTGGGCCCCCCCTTGGGTAAAAGCTGCCTACACCCTTGCTTGTACACTATACTTAATAAAAACAAATGATTTCAAGTCTATTGGGTATCACGCTTGGATACATACATACATATGTATGTATGTATATGTAAACTTGGTAAACGATATTACATCTTACTATCACAATCAATCACGGACTGAATTTGTTCAAAACAGTTTGTCCTTATCCACTATTTAGATGTTGATGTTTGTGATATTAGAGTGTGGGTTTGAAAATAATGTTAATACATACATATGTATTAACATTCATATATCAATGATTTCTTACGCGGATTTTTTCTTCTCCCAACTTGATGACGGTACTGCAGCCAAAATTGATGGATGATACCAGATTTGAAAATAATCCCAAGTCCTCTAAGGCTAAAGCAAACTATTTAATTGTTTTTGTCACTTTTCATATATATGTACACATGTACATATATGTATGTATTTATATGCACATATGTATGCATGAGTGTATGATACATATATGTATGTATGTACATGCATGCATATTTTTATATGTATTTGTATACAATATATATATGTAGTTGCTTAAATCCCCCAAATACTGACCACTTACGGTACTCATTGGTGCCGCTCTACATCAGCACATACACAGCCATGTACGCTTACATACTTACATATGTATGTACATACACACATATGTATTCTATATATTGTATATATACATACATATGTAAGTATATATACATATTTTTGTATAGGTATACACGCAAAGCGCTCGCTTTGCCACAGTCAGGACATCGTTTATCGATTTGCGAAGAGCAACAACAGCAGCAGCAGCAGCAGCAGAAGCAGCAGCAACAGCAATAGCAACAACACCAATGGCAACAAGAACAAAAAGCTCGAAATAAGCGGCAGCAGCGGCGGCAACTTCGTCGCAGTTTTGTAGGCCGCCGTCACCGCTTCAGCATTCTACTAAAACCCCAAACAACAGCAGTGGCAGGGCAGAGAAGCAGCAGCGCAACAACAAAAACAACAACTCAAGCGGCCAATACACATGCACACACAACTACACTCGCATCCAAGCATGTACATTTATATTATATACATATAGGCACACAAACACACACTCATACAGACATAGAGAGACGCATGCCAGCCAGCCAGCCAGCCAGCCAGCCAGCCATGCCTCTGGCTTCTCGCCGCCGTACGCAAACGCCCAACCCCCCCGAAATGGCGTTGGTGGGGCGCGAATGAACCGTCGTCGCTGGCGTCGTCTCTGGCTGGCTGCCGGGCTTTTGACGATGATGACGTTGATGATGTTGATGATGATGGTGATGGGACGCCACAAGGACGTGGAAGGCGGGCGGGAGCTAAGGCAAGCGTTGCTGTAGGAGCAGGCAACGGCAACAAAAGATAGGCTGCCGATATTGCCGTTGCTGCTGCTGCTGCCGCCGCTGTCGCTGTCGCTGAACCACGGGCATAGAGAAAAAGCGAAAAATATAATAAAAAAAAACAAAACAACAACAACAACAACGCACACAAGCTGAAAAGATACACACTGACGAACACGCACACAGACGCGGCATCGGGGCATCGTGTATGTGTTAGGTTTGGGGCATGCTAGTCCGTCAGCGCGAACACACACACAGGCCGGCATACACGTACTTGTACATACACACTCGTATATGTATGTATGCATGCATGAACAAACGAGCATACATACATACAAACGTCGCACATACAACGCAACGCGCACACAATTCAGGAGCTCCAGCAACGTCAACGTCAACGTGCGGGCGGGAGGGCGGGCGGGGCAGCAAAGGCGCAACTGTGTGTGCTAGGGAACTGGTCGCAGGTTCGCTACACAACGAGCAACAACAAAAGCGACGAAAGCAACAACACCAACACCAACAACAACAACAACGACAATAACAAAAACACCAACCGTTGGCTGAGTGGGCCAAGTGTATGGTGGTGGCAGTGACGGCGGCCGCTACAGTCGAGCGCAGGCAGCAGCAGCAACAGCAGCAACCGAGGCAAAAACAGAGAAAGGAAAAGGGAGAAGAGGCAGCAAGAGCGCAAAAGCGACTACGCAACGCGATGGAGCGTTGGCGACATGGGCGGGGGAAGCGCATCGCAATATTCTACGACGTTGCTGCGTCCGCTGTTGGGCTCTTGGATCGATGGACTGACTTGGATGCTGTGCGCTAAGCATCAGCAATGGCGGGGCAGGAGGGGGCCCAGCAATGTGTGGCCATGGGCTGCTAGGCTGGCTAAGCGGTCGCTTCAGGACGGGACGGAGCGAGTCAGATAGCCAGTGAGCCATACGCAAAGCAGCTTATGTTGATGGCAAGGGCGGGGCGAGGAGAGCAGACGGTCTAGGGAACATAACAAACGAAACAACAAGGAAAAAACTAGCTAGCTGGCGGCCTCAATGTCGTGGGGAAGAAGTGGCAACGGCAGCAAAAATAATTTAGCTGAGCGCAAAAAAAAACAATAACAGAGCAACAACAACAACAGCTACTGCGTCATCGTCAGCAACAACAAGAAACATTGGACGCTGATAAGCGCTCAAGTCTCTGCAATGCGGGCCGTTGACTTGCCTCTGATTGAAGATATAGAATCAGTAGGATCGATCTTTAAGATCTGCAAAGTGGGTCCCGGAAGTGATAGAGAATACAAATAACGAACACATTGATTTTTATTGCGGACCATGGGTTCCAAAAGAACATGGCTTAGAAATAAACCTTCCAATTTGTTTGTACATTGAAAAAACTTCGAAAGTTACTCTATTTTTTAGTAGTATCGATTCATTATATATGTATGTAGCTGCAGTTTTAATATCCACTTTTTAAAAATCTAAGCTTACAATTCCCTAATGATGTTGGATTTTCTTTACACACACTCTTATTTTGACTTTAGTTATATGTGAGATTACTATTTAGATGGACATACATAGTATTATAATAATAAGCTTCGCAGTCTAGGGTTTGCTAGAACCCTTTTAGAAGTTCCAGATAAACTATCAAGTGCGTCGGGTCAGTTCAGGATACATATTAGGATCGAATGTAAATTTCCGATTTGTTAGCTGAACGGTCTTGCAGGAGTAAAGAAACATTGTTTATACTAGCATCCTTATCATTAAATGGAAATCTAGACATCCACGAAAGTGTTTGCTCGGCGGAGTTTTTACTTTACATACATATGTATGTATGTTAATATGTATGTACTATGTATAATAGAGTGCGCTAATCAATGACCTTGAACTTCAATACCATGATATTGCAACCGCTCGAAGCTGCACCTGCTTTGACTAGTATCTAGTATTAGATACGGAACCGTTTTTGTAGCAGTTGAAGCTGCCGCAGTGATTTGCTGCTTTCAGCATGAAAATGCAAGCTTTAAGCTGCGAGGGCGACAGCAAAGGGAGGCCGAATTGTTGGATGGGCAGCAGCGGTGCGCGTTTTGTCGCGCCCGAGTAGCGACAGTTGGCACCGGGAGTGCGCTGTAGGCTGGTGGGGTGCGGTGGTGCGGAGCAGGCAGGCGAATATAAGAACACAGCAAAAAAAAAACAAAAAAAAAAAACGGCAGCAACAACAACAACAGCGAGCTCATACTTTTGCCTGTTTGGGTCGGCGACGACGTACCGACGAACGTAGCGTAGTCGTGAAATTGAGTTTTGTTGTTGCTGTTGCTTTTTCTGTTGTTGTTGCTGGTGTTGCTTTTGGCCCCGCACAGCGGCGGGCGGCTCAATGTGGGCGGTTAACACAAACGTCGAAGCGGCGGTGGTGTGGCGCTGTCGCTTCGTGTGTGTGTTTGTGTGTATGCGTGTAGATGTGCGCGTACTTTTGTATGGATGTATGTATATGTATGTATTTGTATGCGTTGGGGCTGACTGCCTGTCGTCGTCGACGACGTTGTTGCTGTTGTTGTACAGACGCAGCGCCAACGTTGATGATTATGAGGTTGGTTCTTGTTCTTCTTTACACGTCCTCCCGCTTTTGCTGTTGGGGCCGCTATTTGTTGTTGTTGCGCTGACTGGTTGCTGCTTTTGCTGGCGCCGCTGCTGCTGCTGCGGTTGCTGCCACGCTGCTGCTGCTGCTCTTAGGTTTTGTGCATGCAGCTTGTGTGCGCTTCTCTCATTCAAGTGTTAAACTTTTGTCGAAGCGGTCACATAAAATAGCAGTCGGTCCGTCGCTCGCGCGTTTTCATTTACACATACATACATATACATTTGTATGTTTCTCTATATGTATGTATGAACGTGTGTACATTTTCTCTCTGACGCTTAGAAGGAGGGGTGGTATGGTCTTGGCGTCAACGGTCAATAGTGCGCCCACACATGCAAACATACCGAACGACGGTGTGAATACATGAACACATAGTAGATGTATAAATATAATTTCATTCATACACATGTATGTATGATAGTGATAATCTACTAGAGCGGTACAGGACTAAACTCTAAAAAAAATCATCGTTGCCAAGAATAACGGTTACAATGAAGGAACTTAAAGTGGCGCGCGCCATTAGTGAGTCGTCTACCACATCCGATAACACTTCCGACTTTATCGATATTGTCAAGAAGTATGATGTGGTCTATAACAACCATAATCCGGATTATAAGAACGTCGAGGTGAAAATGAAGGTCTGGAAGCAAATTTCGGATGAAATTGGCCTATCAATAGGTAAGAATAACCAGCAAAAACCCTAATCAGTGCCGAAAAGGGAAGTTATCTTTGGCAAAGTTGGGTCGGTTGTGTACATATTATGTACGTAAAAATCAAATAGTAAGTGTACATATGTACATGCATCTGCAGATAATGTATAAGTGTACATACCCACAGGGCAAAAATATGTATGTATGTATGTATGTGTGTGTGTACCATACAGACAGACGGCGCGGCGCGGCGCGTCGCCCAGCATAGCGGCCAAAATTCTGGTGCCTGATATTTTCAGTGTGTGTGGATGTGTGTAACGACGTTGGTGCGGTCGGCAAATTGCAGCGAGAGCAAAAAAAACTGAACGCAGAAAAAAACAAACAAACAAACAAAACACCAGAGCGAGTTTGATACAAAAAGCAGTATGAGAGTGTCAAATGAATACGAGAGCGGGCGCCACGCATATCACAACAAAGCAAGTTGCCGCCTTACTGAGCTAATAGAATAGTTCCTTACAGCCATTGATGTTTACTTTTTTCAATAAGGCGAAAAGCCAAATAAAATAACTACGTTATAACTATGAAATTCTCTGACAAGAGCTATTTCACATCTGTTATTTCCTTCAAAACACCCTGTTGCTGCAGTCTTCACTTTCAGCTCTCTTTCATCCTCTCTTTCAGTCAGTCTCTGCTGTTGTGTGTGCAAAACGAAAACCTCCACGCTCTTGAACAAAAACGAACGCCAAACAAAATTTGGATGCTGTTTGTCGTTGTGTTGTTATTGTATGAAGCATGCTTTATCCTGCTGCATTTCCCTTTCATTTGAGTGGATTATTACAGGTCTATTTAAATATAACAACGGTAGAATGTGTGAGTGAATGCAATAAATTATACAAACATATGTATGTACGTGAATCATATACGCACGGCATAAGCATGAGATAATGCTTGCAATATACATACGTACATGTGTATGTATACATATGTATGTATGTATGCACATATTCATATTTCATATTTCGAAATCAGTTGAAAATCTTGCCCTTTCTGGGATAGCCCATTCTTGCTATCCACATCATTAAATAAGCTCAAACCAAAGTTGTAATCATTTGGTGTAACAGAAATTCCACAATTGAGCAAACCAAAGCCTGCAAGATTTGTAATCTTTTTATACCCTGTTCCCGAAGCGTATACACCTAATTCTGTTTGTACACGGTAGATTGATTCCAGACACAACCGTGTAAAAAAAGACATTGATCAAATGCATAGGCGATTTGTTTCTTATCTCTTAAGAAATATATATGTATGAAATTTTTAATTTTCAAACCGTGTAAAAACAGAATTAGGTGTACTTATTTAGTGCGAATGTATGTACATACATACATATTAGAGATGGGCATGGGCCGGCTATTTTCGGCCCGACACGGAACGGCCACGAAATGAACCTTTGGAAACACGCACACACGACGAAAATATTTCTAAACACGGCCCAAAACGAACATGTCATTAAATGTAAAAACGAAAAATACATTCATACTTGTATATCCATATGTACTCATCTATATTTGAGCTCAGATGCCGAGCTCGTCGCTTATTTAAAATTTCTCCAGAAGCGAAAAAAACTCGCTCACTTGTTTGAAAAGCTGTCAGAGATATTGACATGTATAAGTATGTCTTTATATTTGCCTTAGCAATTCCAAATTTTTTTTAGCTTTTTTCCAGTTCTTGAACATACAAATTCCTGGATCAACAGCAGTACATATATAAATATATATTTCAAAATATATTTTTCACCCACCCAGAAATTTTTTTTGCATTACAAGTATTAGTGTCCAATAATTAACAAAAGTCGTGCTGACTATTTTTTTATTACTTCAGTTGTTAATTTTTTTTCGTGTTTTATTCGTGTTTGCTCGTGCGTGTTTTGTCGTGCCTTTTTAGCTCAATACGAACGCGCGTGGCACGAAGTGCCACGACCGAAAACACGGCCCGTGCCCAACTCTAATAAATATGTAACACACAGAAGGAGCCGTGGCAGACCCCTAAAATTATATATTGTGCATACATACATACATATCATTTTGATCAGTATGATTCGATATAACCTTGTCCGTCTGTCTGTATTACTGCCAGGACATCAGCAAGTACAAGAACTGGAATAACCAAACTTGATATCGAGATTCCCTTAAGCCCTAGGCAGATCAAGTTTGTTTTTTTCTGATTGAATATTTTTTTAATTCAATTTAATACATTTTTTAAAATGATAAAATTTAAAAAAATATTTTAAAGATATTTTTTCATTTTTTTTGTCGAAGTGGGTACAGGGTGTTTAAGAGTTGAGCCCGTTGTAAATATTTCTTTTAAATGGTAAAATGATTGAATTGCTTTATCGCAAAAAGTATTGTGTATTCATAAACTTTAAACATCGAACGAAATGATAAGGTAGTTCAAGTTTGACCTTTATATCCTTAATCCTAGGTTAATAAGGGTTTCAAATATCATCGTATGGCCAGGTTGCCTGTCAAATCCCAGCGAGTTCTCGAAAACGACTTAATAGCATGAAGTAATAAGTTAGAGTTTACGGTTAATGCATTGCTTTTAACATTGTTGATTTATTTCACAAAACCTGGAACCCTGAGCGTGAGCTAGATAGATATTAAATATAATTAAATGTATGTTCTCAACGCCTATCATAATTGCTAAAAACTTGCATGCCAAAAACAAAAAACAAAGATATTTGAACGTTGGGTGTTATCCAAATCTATTAATAAGGGTGAAATCATGGCTCTAAAGATGCCGGTCGCATTCACAAAAAAAAACATAGGGGATTATCAGGGAAAAATTGTAACATTGACTTAGGGTAAAAAAAGTAGATTTCGAAAACTGCTGAACGTACTTTACATATACAATTTTCTAGTCTTGTTTTAAATTTAATCAATACCAGGGAAAAAATTTCCCACCAGTACTTCGTCCACAAATTGAAGCATCACGCTGGCTCTTCTACTTTTTGCTTCAGCTATGGGCGCTTATAACTCTGTGCCGGAAGATTGTCTTGGTACAAGGTATTTACATGTCTGGCTCGATTGTAGCGTTCTCCCTTATTCCAAATATATTCTGTCTGTCTGTACTTCCTATTCAATTTTTTCTATAACTTTTTTCTATTCTTGGAATTTTAAACTAAAAGTTAGTGATTATATATCCGTTTCCCAAGTTTTATTATGATAGGTTGATTAGAAAGAAAGTTATAGCCATATAACCAGGCCCATTCTCTGTCCGCAGCTGTATTTGTTGCTGCTTTGACATAATTATGTAATGCAAACATACATGTGCACAAGTTCACAAGCACGCATAGACACGATTCTGATGTAAATGTATGTATGCATGTATGGAATATTTTATATTTAATTTAATTAATTAATTAATTTAATTTTTTTAACAAATTTTTTTTTTGTGTTGGTACAGGGTACTATATTTAAGAGTTGAGCATGCTCGCTTTAGCATTCCTTTCTTGTTTTATACATATGTATGTTAATTGGATAATTAGTTGGATACACGAATCCCGTACGAGTACAGTACAGTAAATAAGTTTTAATCCGTTTAATTCTTTGGAGTTGGGAAAGATATTTATAGAATAACCAGGTGAAAAGACAGTTCAAAATTAGGTGGATTGGTGCATTCGCCACTGCAAGGGTATCTCTAAAGAGCATAAATAGAACTTCATTCTTTGCCACTTAGGATTGAGTTTAACAAAAATATAAAAAAGAAGAGTTGTAAAACATATGTTCTTATTATTCCACCTAAATTATGCAAAGTAATATATTTTTATACTCTGTACATGAAATATACAGAAGTATATTAGGTTTGCGCGAGCTGAAAAATGTAACATGCAGAAGGAGGCGTTGCAGACCCCACAAAGTATATATATTCTTGATCAGTGTGACAAGGCGAGTCGATCTAGCCCTGTCTGTCCGTCCGTATGAACACCTGGATCTCAGAGACTATAAGAGCTAGGGACACCAAATTTTGTACAAAGATGCCTTATGTGTGTATGCTGTGCAAGTTTGTTTTATTTTTTTGATTTTAAGATATAATATAAGATATAAGTGATTATAATTGTAAATTTTGAATTATCTTTTCAGAGGCTTCCAAGAGAAAATGGAAGAACTTGCGCGATAGTTATACCAAATATTTGCGTTCATTTCGTGTTGGCACAAAAACGTCCAAAAAATACCAGTACTGGGCCCATGCTGAGCACATGGAGTTTCTTAAGCCCTACCAGGGACCAGGCAGGTAAGCATCTAGTAGCTCCGTATGCAGACTGAATACTGATTTAATTGTGTGCGACAGGAACTCGGTTAATGGAAACGGGAAATCGAACGATGAGGACGACACTGAATGTGATTTTGGCTACCAAATGCTGTCAAAAGCAGCCAGTAATGCCGGTGAGGAGGATTTAAAAAGCGCATTGAACACAGTTACGACAGCTACAGGAGGGCTTGGCAACACCACACTCAACACACACACTGTGAATACCTATACCACGGCTATGACCTGCACTGGCACATCCGTTCTGACGCCTAGCACGGTAACCAGCGCGATCGGCACCCCACCTAATCTGATCTCGCCGAGCGGCGTTTGTGCGCCAAACAACCTCAATAGTCACAGCAGCAATAGTAATGGTAGCAGTGGCACTAATTGTGCTGCAGTTGCTCCACTCAATGCCCTGACACCGCCTGTCTCTAGCAATTCCAACAGTGCAGTAGTCTTGCCATTGCCCACGATGTCCTCTGTGTCGCTCAGTGCCATGGGCAAGGAAAATGCCGCCGCTCTAGCTACACTCGCCAATTTGCATCTGGACGCTTTGCCCTTGCCGGGTACAGGCACTTCTGCTGCTGCAGCAGCCGCCGCAGTAGCTGCACAGCAAATGTTTCCATTGGCAACTCTTAAAGCAGCCGCTGCAGCCGCCGGAATGCAACTACCGCCACCCAGTAGTACAGCTAACAATGTGGGCTGTCTTATTATTGAGCCGCATCTCTTCGCCGCCGCCGACAACTTCAAGAAGGAACTGAATGCTGCTGCAGCCGTAGCTGGAACAACCCCGCTGGGACTCTTTCAAAATTTGGCCAATCAGGCACATGGTTTGAACAATCTCAATATAAATGCGTTAGGCACCGGGACAAATATCTCAAACCGTTTGCTCACTCCCAGCGGCATTAATGCAGCTGGAAATTGCAACAGCCTGCCCCTTAGCAGCCAATCCACGTCGCCGATGCAGAGCTCTAAAGTTAGGCGCGTGCAACCATCCCCACAGACAGCTGCTATAAATCTAAGCTGCTCAGCCACGACAGCGAATACTGCTTCTGCCGTTGCCACTCAACCGCCGCCTGCTAAAACACGTAAGCTTTCGGACCAATCCCGTCCGTCGAGCGATTTGGATGTTGGCGCTGTGCTGCAGGCGAATCGCGATCTAGATGCCAACACGCTGTTCTTTCTAAGTCTAGCACGCCAAGTCCGTACCATGCCCATGAAGTTTCAATCACTGGCAAAGATGCGTTGCATGCGGATCGTTAGCGACATTGAATTGGAGTTGGAGAATGTGGACTGCAATGGGTTGCCGCCCTCTGACGAGGGTTCTGGTGCTGCAAATCTCAAGTATTGTAGCATCGATACGCCCCCGCCGCCACATCAGGATGGCTCAGGACTAATACAGCCGCCAATTTCCATGGCGCCTGATGGTTCTACTGAGCATTTTGTATATGTTATGTCGCCGTCACGGGTGGAAAGTATGATTGACATATCGTCGTCAGACGAAGAGACGAATATGAATGGCATGCCAGTGGGCGCCGGTTCATGAATATTTTAAAGGTGTCACCATCGAAATTTACATTCTAATTGTGTAATGAATAATAAACTATTAGCTGCTGAAATTAGTATCTTAACTGTGTTAAATATGTTGAGCTCTCTCTTGAAGTTTGTTTTCTTTCTATTTTATTTATTTATGCGATCTGGCTCATTTCGTACCTTAGTTGTAAAAATGTGGAAAATCCTTAGAAAATGTTAACATGTTGATCGTCTTACCGATCGTCTGCTCAGTACAATTAGACAATCGCGCAGGAATCCCCGATAATGTCGATAATTTGTTGCTACATGGTATGGTGAATGAATTTCATTCAAGAGTTTATATGCATCCACAAGAGCTAGTCCGTTTGGTTGCACGGTTGGGTTTTTTTCCTCCTCTTATGCTTGCACCTTGCTCTTGGTCGAGAACGCAAAATAAGCAACGCCACCCACCAAGAAAGCAGCCAACAACTCAGCCTTCACCCATGGACCTTTGTAGGCACTTTTGGTAGATACGGTGATATCCAGCAGGGATTTTACCGACGAAACCTTGTCACCATCCCGTTGCGCCTTGCGTACATTGGCATATCCGTCCTCATCGAATAGCCGTACCACAACGTTGCCGCTGCTTCCTTGCTTGATGTCCTGCACCCAGCTCAGCTGTGGGAGAATGGTAGTGGGAATAGTATATTGGAAGAGTATAGAGAAAGAAAGGCTTTTACCTGGTACTTGTTGTCTGCCACCTTGGCGACGGGCACCACTTTGCCGCAGGGGAATTCGGCGAAAAGAGTGGGCTGCGCCTTCTGGCCGGTGCATTGCAACGTAAATTCAGCAACGTGCGCTAATTGCGTCAAGATTGTTGCATCCTGAGTGCTGAATGAGTTGACGGTGGCTTTGCAGCTGCTTCCGTAAGCACTCGATGAGCAGATTACAAGAAGGCACAGTGCAGCGAATTGGCGACTCATTTTTTGTTTGTTTATTTTATAAAAAGCAATATTACTTGTGAGCTCGTTAACAAACTTTCAACAACGAACCAACTTTCACAGACGCCACGACACCGAATGCCACGACAGCGATTTTGACAGCCGATTCGAGCTGTCATTTAAGTTCAGTGCAATGAACTAGCTCAGGCTGTGCGCAAATAACTCGCGAACCAAATCAGTTGCTTCTAGCTCATGAACCTTTCAGCTGATTTCTGTCGTTTATTTAAATCTAAAGCAATAAAGTAACGTCAATTATTCTACTTACTTAGTTAAAAGTGGAAATGATCGAACCTTAAAAATATCTTGTTGCATTGACATTATGTACACAGCGCAATACTTTATTATTCTCCGATGTTGCTGTAAGAAAAAACAAACAGTAGTGCTCAAAAGTATTATTATAAAGTACCATTTGTCGGTGCTGCCACACTGTTAACAGAGAGTTATGATATGAAATTGCGGTAAATTTATATGTCCATATGTATGTATGTAAAAGTAGTTTGTATTCAGCTTCTACGAAAGTAAAATGAGATTCGCAGGGTTTCCTAATGTAATAATTAGTAAAGGTCTATATAGTACGAACAAACAATTCGTTCAATTATTCTTGTTGAGGCTATGCTCTTTTGCTCCCAGCTTTACGCGAAAGTTAATAATAATCTCATGGAGGACGCGGGGTATTATTTCCCGAATTGAGTAATACATTCCTGGATCACCCCAAATAGTTCAATTAACCTTTCCACTTTACTGTTAATCGCATCAGAACGTCTAATTACCTTCAAAATCCATTTATTACCTAATGTCTACGCCAAACACAGTTCGCCTAGATCATAGGCAAATCAGAGGACTCATTTCGTACTAAGAAAGTCATTTGATAATAATTACCGGAAGGCTAGGCGCTGACGAGCTGGACTTTGTGGTCCAGAAGCCATTCATCAACTTGACAGATGAGTGGGTCAATCAGGAAATAGTAGGCCATAAATCTTCCAGTCGTCATTTGTAAGTACGTTAATCTACTGTATTTATAAAATTATAGTCTTCGAAACAGCTGAGGAAACTTGTAAATGCTAGTCTTTCGTTGAATAAGTTTGTGACGTGTTGCATACTTATTAGAGTGTTGTGCTAGGGTGGACTTTTTATTAAAACTATATGCAAACTGTGCTTTTTAAACATTTCGACGCTGCGGCTCAATAGTTTCCCAAATATGTATGTATATGCTAGCAGTTTTTACCATACGAATTTATTAGGAAATTCAAGTTCCTTCAAGTATGTTTAAGAAATCATATCCTGGCGGGATATCAATCAGAGGTAAATTTTCAAGTTGCTTTAGTTAATGCTTTTAATGGCACTTGCGCCATCGTTAACAAGTGAAAAATCTAAATGCGGATGTCCAGACATTGAAATGTTCCGTCTCTTAGTGTGGAATAATTATATACACAGTCTGTTCAAAAGAAAATGTGATTTTTTTTTAATTTATAATTTTTTTTTTTGAAAAGTATTTATTTATTCATCAATATCTCCTTTAAAGTAATCCGCCCACAAATATAATGCACTTATGCCAGCTATTCCTCGAAGCACTTCGGTATGGCCATCAGCTCGTTCTTCGATTTTGATTTTATCTCATCAATTGTGGCAACACGCTTTCCTTTCATTGGTCTCTTCAGTTTGGGGAACAACAAAAAGTCGAAAGGAGCCATAAGTGCCTTGTCATAAGTGCATTATATCTGAGGGATCCCCCATGAACGGGAGAAGATGGATATTGATAAATAAATGCTTGTCAAAGGAATTCTAACTTCACCTTTTCTTTTGTACAGATGTTGTATATATATATTTAAATATATATATGTTAATTGTTGTTTATATATATTTATTTATATTATATTTATATTTATTTATATATTTATAATATACGCAAACGTTCCATAACTTTCTTGTAGTATTCCTTATTAACCATACGACCTGTTGGCAAGAACTCATGACGCACCACGCATTGCAATCGAAGAAAACAGTGAGCAAAACCTTCGACTTTTCTTTTGAACAGACCTCGTATTTTATTAAATTATAGTCATTAAGATGTTAGTGTTTATACGAACGGAGTTATGGAATATTACCTTAAGCGGGGAAGTAGGGAGTGCATCAAAAAAATAAAATAAGCTTGCACAGCGTACACATACATACATACGTATAAGGCATCTGTGTGCAAAATTAGATGACTGTAGCTCTTATAGACTCTTTTTATATATTTTTTTAATATTATTATTATGCTGCGGAATCGTCTTGCAGACAGTTTGACACAATAAATATATAAATATATAATGTATCTGAAATGTACAAGAGTGTTTAATTCTGTCATTTTTCCCACTTTAAAGCGTTCGACTGTCACGTTGAACACCCTGAAAATGCTACGCTGCTTCGAGTCTGCCGAAATGTCAAATCAATACAAACAATTTCCAATTCGGTAATTAAAATAGTTTTTTCTTAGTGCCGTACTAGAATGGTGCTTGGTGCTGGCACCGCTTGGTATTTTGACGCCGCACGGCTCTTGTTAATTTATTTTGCGCTGTTTGTTTACTGCAATTTCTATTATAATTGATTTCAAATCATAAAAACTGCCAGAAATGGTAAAAACTATGGCAAGACAGAAAGGAAAATTGAAGCCTAGAAAAACGGAAGCCATCAGCCACCTTCAGACTCCCCGCAGATACTGGCTCCTGTGGCTGCCCATAAATATCGACTTGAAATGATTAATGCCTCTCGGTATTTTGGCTTTCGTTTTTGTTTTAAGTACCTACCTATGTACTGTATATACATATGTATGTATGTATATACGTATGTACAAATGTATGTACATATGTATGTACATGTGCACGTGTACGTTGACTTCATATTTGCAATGATTTTTTACACACACCGTTGTAAATGGAGTGACCCTGAAATTGACTGGATTTGGTTTTATGCCATTTTGTTCTTGCTGCTGTTTTCGATGTTGATATAATTGTTGTTGTTGTTGCTGTGTTTGTTTCGTACCGTTCCGTTTCATTTCGTTAGTAAGCATGTGCTCCGTTACTTTTTGATTGCCAGCGTGCACGAAAACTTTTGTGCAACTTCGCATGTCTTTGATGAATTTGAAATTGTCACAAATGTGAATGTGTTTTGCTCCTAGAAGACACATGTATACATACATACGTACATATACATGCATACACATAAATACTATGTATGTGTGTGTGGGTGGACATCTAACAGTTGTTGACATTGAGCGACTTCTGCGCGCCTCTAACGAGTGGTACGCATTTTGTGCCAACTACTCGTATTCATTCATGACGTATCCTTTTAACATATATGTATGTATGTATACATATATACAAGATGCATACATACAGGTATACATACATACGTATACTCGTAAAAAGAAAATGTACTTATAACTGGCATAAATTAGATAAAATATCTCTTCAAATGTTGGCTTAGACTGTTGCGAATATAATTTGAATTTATTCAGGACTTTCTTAAAAGTGGCGAAAACTAAATAAATATGTTATATACAATATGTATGTACATACATGGGCGTAGCCAGGTTTTAATACAGGGGGGCCAGATTTTTTGGCAGATTTTTTCTATCAAATTATTTGCACTAGACAAAAAACACATAAAAAATATGCAAAAATAGGGACAAATGAAATTCGAAATAAATGAATGCAGTAAAAATATAAATAAAAAACACTTGTTGAAAAATAAGAAAATTTGATTTGGAACTAATATAAAGTTTATCCCGTGCGATATCGTGAGTGTAAAATGTAACAACTTAAAACTTTTTTTCTTGCATAATTGATCAATTTTTAAATAATATATATAATATATATGATCATTCTTTAAAATTATTGAAATCTAGTTGAACAAAAACGGCCGCGAAAAAATTGAGCGTACAAACAGAGAAGAGAAAAATTTGATGTTCTTCAAAAAATTTTAATTTTTCAGTTTGAAAACTATTTTATATTATCAGTTGATTTTCTAAGAGAATTAGGATGTTTCTCAGTTGAATAGGATTATTTTGCAAGCTTACATGGAAAGGTCAGGTTTCAAAATACAGTTATCTAAAACCATTTTGTTTCGATGGTGCATAACGAAAAGTAGTTAGAACGGCGTATTCTGAAAAAACCCAATTTTTTAATTTTACTAAAATTGTAATTTTACTTATATTATTATTTATTTCTGTTTATTACATTTAATATGATTATAAAGATTGTTCCTCTGACATTGTTGTTGAGCTTGATATTATTATATTGAAAAACAAACATTGTATACTTCTGTTCGCTCGAAAATAATTTTTACTAAGCTCTTTTTATAAAAATTCCGTATAAAGAAACAAAACAAAAATATATCATGACAGAAAAAAGGTCCGAAAGAAATGTATAAATAACTTTTGGGTAGAGTGAAAACCATTTTTAAGAGACTTCAACCTTCTAAAACTACTCACATTGTTATATTGGCTCAGATTTCAATGAAATCGGCGTTTGAGCTGGTGTGTTCGTGAAAACTACTTCAGAGTTGGTCCGGTGTAAATGCAATTGCAATTATCTTGGAAAACTTGTCCACAATCAACCTTAGCACCAATAATAATTATAATTATATATATTAATACAATAAAAATACGTTTTCATGCCATATGTATTTATATATATATTTATTTACTTATGTATATATAAATGTCTATATATATTCTTAACATTATATCTTCACAGCAAGCTAGCTGATCAATTAAGCGTAGCCATAAAATAAATATGTCTTTTGTTTTGTGATTTGAATAGAATGCAAAACAAATTCACATTTATCTGCAAAATTGTTGTTCCGTTCATATTCTAAGGGGGCCATGTGTACAGGTTATGTATTTATATATGTATATATGAATATCTATATATATTCTTAACATTATATCTTCACAGCAAACTAGCTGATCAATTAAGCGTAGCGTCCATAAAATCGAAACGTCTTTTGTTTTACGATTTGAATACAATGCAGTACAAATTCACATTTATCTGGAAAATTGTTGGTCCGTTCATATTCTAGGGGGGCGCTACGGCCATGTGTACAGCACACCCACACCCACCCATACAGATGCAGAATATACTTTCGCCCATCGACTTGTAGGCGTGCGCTGGCGTTTGCGAAACGAAATCAAAAGTTCGAGCGGGTTCATTGAGTTCGCAAGCTAAGCGGCGCCGACGTCACCGCCACCGCCATCGTCGCCGTCGGGCACGTGAGTCGCTGTCAGGTACGACACCAGGTTGCTTTGGCAGCTGGCGGCGCCCTGCCGACCTGCCGACCTGCCCTTTTGCCCCGTGTTTGGCGCTGGGCGGCGCAATTGCTGGTATTGTCAAAAGCGGAAATGGAACAAACAACTGTGCAGGAGTCGAGCATAACAGGCATCGCCACCACCGTCACCATCACCATCACCACCAGCACCACCACCAGTCTTGGCAACGGCGATATGTTTTTATTTTGTTTTGTTGTGGGCCGGAGTTGGGCTTAGAACATAACGAATGACGTGCCCGTGCCCAGCTAGGCGGTTTGGTTCATTCACAAAACGCAAACGCAGTCAATGCGCGGCAAGCGCTCGGAGTGCACGCGTTGAGGGAGCCGGAGCGCCGGAGCCACCCTGAGACAACAACAACAACAACAATTGCTCAAAGTGAAAGTCAAGTGGAGTCGTCGAGTAGGGATCGAGTGGTGTAAAACTCTAGAGTTCGTGACTACAGAAGCTTAGACGCAGACATAGCCGGAGCCCAAGAACACGTTTGTTGACAAAATTATTGCCGTGCCTTAATGACTTCGTAATTGATTTGCATTCTATGTGGGACTTGATTGGCAGCTGGAACGGAACCTCTTCGTCGCCAAGAGACATACTAGTGTCAGTCTGGCAGCCAAGTCGGACGTCACTCGATTAGACAGTCGTGTTGCCAAACATATTACGAGCCCCTACGCTCCATCTGTCCGTTCCTATTTGTCTTTTCTAGTCCGTCACGATGTCGCTGTCTGTTGCAAATCGCCAACGCGCTCAGACGAATTCGAAGCGCGTGCAACTGCCAGTGCGTAAGCAGCACTCCTTCATCGAGCCGTCCACTCTTGGCGGGAAGTATTCGGCTCAGCAGCGGGGCTATTTATCGCGTGGTCTGTCCATTGGGCGATCTATCGAGAATATACGCCAGAAACTGTACCCGCCTCTTGACCGACAACCGAAGCTATCGGGAGTCGGCGGCGTCGGTCACTTGAGTCGTCAGTCATCCGTAGACGCTGCACAAAAGTTTAGTGCCCGGATTGTCAACTCGAAACCCACAGTGGCCGGCAAAGGGAAAAGCGCAGAGGTCTGGTCGTCAAAGTCTTCGCTGTTGAAGACGCTCGATGACGAGATAAAGGACTTCGATGGGAAAAGGTAAGCAACGGCAAATAACATGTATTAGAAAACGTTTAAAAACAACCGAAATTTTTGTTGGATAACATGGTACAACCTCCTGCTATAGTAGAGCAATTGCTTTTTTGGACTTAACGATATCCGAAAAACCCATAAAGGCACAAATTATTATAACTTTATATTTTAGAGTTTATTTTCCTTTATATAATTAGGGGATATCATTTGTGCGCTGCTCCACTTTTCCAGCCATCCTTTTATAGCTGATCTTTCCTGGGCCTATTCATTTCTGATTTCATTTTCTTATGTTCTTCTGTCCTTTTACTACAGCGCTGCCTGTTTGTAATAAATTACTTTGCTTAATATGTATGCATCTATAGATAGTGTATTGGCAGAACTAGGGTGGAAGGCAGATTAGGAGGGAGGAGCTTTATCTCCTATTCTATCCAATTCCTTTGCCAATTCCTCTAGTGTTTCCTTACAATTTGTAAGTATACGCACCTGTAAGTATATATCCAGGGTTTCAAATTTTAAAAAACAACATCTTGCTGGCAAAAACATTGCCAAAGTTGGTTTCGGTCGGAGCTCATTAAATAGTGTAATTATACCCTGTACCCAAAGGGTAAAAGGGTATGTTAGTTTTGAGCGAGTGTACATGGAACACACAGAAGGAGGCGTGGCAGACCCCACGAAGTATATATATTCTTGATCAGGATGACAAGCCGAGTCGATATAGCCATGTCCGTCTGTCTGTCAGTCTGTCTGCCGTCTGTCTGTATGAACGCAAGGATCACAGAAAGTATAAGAGCTAGAATAACCAAACTTGGTATTCAGATTTTCCTGATCCTGAGCAAGGACGAGTTGTTAATTTTTTCACCCCCCCAATTAATTAAATTAATTAAATTTTGTACTAATTTTTTTTTTTTTTTTGTGGGGTGGTACAGGGTATTTAAGAGTTGAGCCTGCTCGACTTTACCATTGCTTTCTTGTTTTGTTCTTGTATGAGTGTAGTTCAGAATTAAGTTAAAGGAGCAACAACAACAGTTACGGGTAGGGCTTGGTTAGAGATTACATTTACGGCTATAAATTTCTTCATATTTGACCTATCATGATGAAACTTGGCATATGGACACATAAACAATAACTGGATGTAACTATATATATCATTTGAGTTCCATTTGATTTGAAATTCCAAGAATTACGAGAGTTATGGAAAATCACAATTGGGGGAGTGGGGGGTGCAACAGAAAATATGAACAAACTTGAGCTTGGGGGAACCTCGATACCAATTTTGGTAATTCAAGCGCTTGTAACTTCCTTTCGGTCATCCAGATGGACAGACAGACGGACATAGAGACGAACATGGCTTTATCGACTCGTTTTGTCATCCCAACCAATTATATATATATGTACTGTGTTGGGTCTGCCACGCCTCCTTCTGTGTGCTACATATATTCGCACAAAGCTAATATAGCATTTTTACGGTACAGGCTATATAAATAGGTACATAAATAAAATCGCCTTGATAGAGGAATGTAACTTTCAGATTTTCTAAATCGCTTAAAGTTTAAACAGAAGAATAGGACCATATATACAATACAATACAAAGAATGAACATGAAATAGACCATATAAAATAAAATGCATAAAATTAGCAATAAGGCTAGTTAAGGGAATACGGTCAGAATGTTCCCCCCAGACAGCGATAAATATAGGGCTATTGTTAACCATACGGATACCGTTAGAATAGAATTCCATACATATGAAATGAAGACGGAGAAGCCACACAGAATTGTAGTGTAGGCCTAAATCATAATACCCTAAATACTGAGATCGCTGCTAACTTCAAAACATTGGGATACGAGGCTCTTCACATAAACAACCCGAGATCCAGAAGAAATACAAAAACTTAAGGCTATTTCTATATTTGTTAACATGGATTGTTAAGGTGCTAAGCCTGTATGCACGGATTCAATGCTTATGTTAAATATAGAAATAAAACATATATAAAATACTAATAAACTTTGAGATTTACGAGTTCTAGTTTATTGTTTGTACTCTGTACCCCATAGGTTGTTCCAATAAAGTCCATCCAAAAGAATAGTGCTGTCTATTTTTTCAATATATTTATATTCTTAGGCTTATATGCCAATTAGTCGTTCTAGTAAGTCAATCACTTTGCCTGCTTGTTTTAATAAATGGATTTGAGTTATAGATGCTTTGAATGGGTTAATTACTATAAGTATGTATATAATTGTTGAACAAAATGACGAGATAAATCGATTTCGACAAATCGGCTCACCCAATTTTTATAAGCGCATGGACTCCGACCAAACTAGGATGTAGACTTTCCAAAGCCCCTTAGACCAAGGCGAAATTTTCGATACGGATTAAAAGGAGGGTAAGGTACAGAGAAGAGGGACCTTTTTCATAAAGGAACTGTACATTTGTTGGTCAATCATTACGATATTAATTTTACCCGAAAGGTATTAGGAAATTGTGCAGTTATTGTAACAACCAAGAGAAGGCAAGGCAGACCCCACGCACTATATACCTATTTGACAAAACATGACCAGAGCTAGAACCAACATCACCCTGACACCACTCTCCTTCTACAAGCGTTCTTCAAATAAATCTAAATACAATCGGTCGGTGCAGATAGTAGAGGAATGTTTGAAAATAGCTTAAGTACCCTTATTAATGTATAATAAATAGTGTATTGGGAATCATTTTGCTTTCTCTCCCTTTTTTGTGGGTGAAATCGAAACTCAGGTGACCTTGGCATGTTCCCTGCTCCGTGAGATTATTAAAATTCGTAGGTGTCAGTCCCAGACTCGACATATCAGCGTGCTTGTTGTTGTATTTAATATGCAATAACGACACTTTCTCTACGAAAGTTATGCAATTTGCATGCTTCCCACCACAAAAGGGTACTTGTTTCGGTTTCTATCACAGCGCAAGCCTGCTGTGCTCGTCAAACTTGTTTGTGCCTGAACACCGGGTATTGAGATACGTACATATACATATATGTACATATATGCTTTGACTTAATATTATTATGGCGCCTAACAGTGGTCTGACATGCTCATGTCAGTCATACGCCATGTTGTACAGTGCTGGTGCAAATAAGAAGGCGACACACTTAAGTCGATCATTTGCATATCGAACATGCAACATTAGTGCTGGCCGGTGTGAAGGGGGGGGGGGGGTGGGGGGCTGTAGGGGAAGATTTGGAGCAGATAGCTGTTGAACAAGTTAAATTTCAGCAGTTCAACGAACTCCTGTAGAAGTTGCAAGATTCACTTTCGCTTGCCGTTGCGGCCGAAGGACTTGGCTTGCAGTTGAAAACTTTTGGGGCCCCAAATGTGAATGCAATTGACATGGTTTTATTTTCGCCAACACTCGCACAGACAAATAAAGCGCGATACGCCTTCACATTTGTACGAATTAATTTCTATTCTCATCTGATTTGTGCCGCCGCCTTTGATGGGCGCGAAGGTGTTGGGGCCCAACAACCGAGACTCGGTTGCATGTTGCAATTTGCTTTGCAATCGGGCACAGCATAAATTGCAAACTAATGCCTAAATTATTTGTATTAAATATAGCTAGCTGGTGGTGCAAATCAACATAAAGTGGGTCGCCCATCAGTCAGGCCCTCAGCCCTCAGCCCAAGTCAATCAATCGAAAGTGAAATGGCTTCACCTGAACTTTTCTCCCACAGCCACAGCGGCAACTCCAGCCGACGCGACTCCACGGACAGCACGGCCAAGGCGGACAAAAATCGGATCAATCTGAATATTGTACTGGCGCAGACAATACGGGCGACCACTGAGATAGAGGCTGGCCACAGCGACATCGAGAGTTCGACGGAATGCAGCAGTGAGACGCAGGCGAGCGACCAAGTCCAAGTCCAAGTCCAATCCAGCACAACGTCCAACAACAGTGCCACTTTGACAGTCTCGTCTGCTCTATCGGTACAGCGACGTCCGCCATTGGTGCGTGCTATGTCTGCACCAGTACGGGGTCTGGATGAGAACTCCAAGAGCGTCATTGCAGCCAACAAGCGTCAGCAGAAGTTGCGACGTCGCAAGATATTTACGCGCAACATTAGCTGCGACAAGACGTCCGGATCAGCAGCAGGATCCACAGCGTCCTCGCTGCCGCCCGAACATGCCAGTGGCGGTACCCTATTGTTAAGCGCTAGCTCGACTGGGGGCGGCATCTCGAACTCCAATTCCAAGAAGGTGTTGCAACGTGCACGTACTGTGGTGGCGCCCGATGTAATTACCTTGGTTTCACTGCTTAGCTCGGAGGGTAGCGATTCGGAACACGAGGACAACTCCACGGCTTCCACGCCCCCGGGAGGTGCTGCCGATCAGCACCAGCAGCAATCCCAATCCCAGGGGCAGCGCAGTCCATTACGTCGGGCGCCGCTTTTGCGCAAAACGGGAAAATCGGGTAAGTGACGCATATGCCATTCGCTTTAACTTACGCACCCAACTCCTTGCAGTTTCTTTTCAAGACAGCTATCCGCCCACATTTCAATTGGCCTCCAAAGAGTATTCTCACATGATACGGCGCGGATCCATAGCCCCGCTTGCAGCACGCATACGTTCCAATCGGCCGCCAACCGCTCCGCCGGTGTCCATCTTTCTTACTGAGCCGCGCAGCAAGTGCGAGACGATGGCAGCGGCTCCAACTGCAGCTGAGGACCCCAAAGGCTCCACAGCCTCCGGTGCTGCCTCAGACGAGTTCAAGACACGCAGCTCCGAGAAGGAGAACGAGAACAATGCGGCCAATTGGCCCGTCTATGTGCGCAGCATCAAGGAGCGCGAGTGCTGGAAGCTGTTCCAGAAAATGTGCGCCAAGGGGGTCAGCGTGACGTACGACACCGTTTTGCGGGGCATGCTAACACCCACAGAGTTTCGGCATTTCCAGAAGCAGCGGGAATACGAGGAGGCGAAGGCTCATGAGGCCGCCGAGGCAGCTGCCGCCGCTGCAGTCGCCGAGTCGCATGAAAAGGAGCGCAAGGGTCCTACTACGGCCGTGGAGCGCCTTTCCGAGTCGCTGTTGAACAGCAAGTGAGCAGCTAAGCCCTGCCCCATTGACCAATGATTTAAGACAACAATATGATATATGCATTTGCTCTCTAGAGTCAACATTAATTAGATGCGTTGGTGCGAAGCCCAAATTCCTGTTTTTACGCATTTCCCAGACGACTATTTAAATTAAAATTGAATAATGATTAATGAAAATTCCCTATCCAGCTCACGACTCTCGGGCTTCGCATCAGCGAAGTAATGTGCAGAAACGTAGAATACCTCACTTGTTGAATGCCACGCACTACACTACGGCACAACGTCGACTCGACGCCAGCTCCATTTTTGTAGTAGTAGTCGCCCCGTAGTTTTAAAAAGAATTCTATAATTTTGTAATTCGTACAACATTTGTACTCGTAGCAGTTTGCATAACATGGATCGACAATTTCCGAAAGCTACGAGTACATTGTCAATAAGCTGTTTGACAAATACATATGTAATACATAATATACTAGTATACATAAAAGCTTAAGGCGTTGTGCAAACCAAGCAGAAATATAGAGTAGTTGAAAACAATAAAGAACAATACACAACTGGCAATAAACCTACTTGTATTTCCGCTTTCCGCTTTTTGAAAAATACCCCCAGATAATAACAATATAGTTACCATACTCGTATTATGGTAACATAGATGCGACTAAGGTTTTTACTCTCAAGAGACCTAAATTCTGATGCTAAGGTATTTGAGAGAAAGAAAGCTCTTGTGTTGCAAGGAACTTAAGAGGATTTGATTTGGCTATGGCTTATCAAACATGAACAATTATCCTTCAAATTGGTTACATCTTGTTACAATGAACTTCAAAATTCATTTTTGGACTATATACTTATTTAGCGAGGTATTAAATACTTTTGTAACACCCAGAAGGAGTATATATGCTCTTGATCAGTACGATGGTACGAGATATACTATAATTATGTTCGTCGTTCCGTCCCTTTGTGCGTCTGTATGTACGTAAGGATCTCCTGCAGTATAAGAGCTAGAATCAGCAAATTTATTATACCAGTTTAATTGGGTCCTTTCTTTTCTCCATGCATCTCCACCCCTCCGCTAATTGTTAGTCCTGCTCCGTACAATTCTGTACTAAACACTACGTATTTTAAATGTACATACTTACAAGTATATCTATGCTGAAATTACAAAGAGGAAAGCTTTGATTGTTTGTTTGTTTATGTGACTTGAATAGGGTTCGAAACTATTGGACCGATTGAACGGTTAACATAGGTTATATTATATTTGCAAAAAAGATATAAAACGCCAATAATGTAACCTAAGGTGTAAAAAAATTACCTAAAATATGCCTAATATGGAAGACACAGTCCATTACCCACAGGAATTTTTAAATTCTCTAAGCCCTTCTGGCCTGCCGCCACATGAATTGAAGTTAAAAATCGGAATTCCGTTCATGTGCAAGGCTGCTTATTAAGGAATTATAGGACAATTTAATTGTAGCGATCATTATCAACGGCCCAGCAGCTGGTCAACTGAGAATACCGATGATCTCAACTGGTCTGTCAGTCCCATTTAAACGGCTTCAATTTGCGATAAAAACATCATTCGTGTTAACTATCAACAAGTCTCAAGGCCAAGCTTTCGAATTTGTAGGGATCGACCTACGAAAGGAATGTATTACTCATGCCCAACTGTATTTTAGTATAACGCGGGTAGGAGCTTCTGAAAATCAATTTATTTTGCTGCCACAAAATAAAACAACAACAAGTATCGTTTACAGAGAATCTCTGACTTAATAAATAATAAAAAAAAACGAAAGAAGAACAAAAAAAGTCATTAAAATAATAATATCCAAATTGCGTTTATTATTTTACTTTTTAAGTAACTCATGGCTAAAAGAAAAGTGTATGTGTGTGTTATAACATTTATAATTTTTGAAATTTTTTAAAATATATTTGCGAAGCAGGGGTCGGTCACTAGTATTATATATGCAAGGTGGCAACCAAGCACTTTTGCAACAAGAGGGCATCCCTTTACAGGCAGCAAAAGACTGGAGAGAAGTCAGTCTTCAGCCGGGGTTCTAAGCCACCAGTTGTTTTGGAAAGTCGTCAGCAGTAGTCAGCTGTTGTCTTCCTTAAGTATCCGTTTTTAATTTCCCCAATTGTATTGGTATTGTATTGTATTCATCCCAAACTACTCTATTTATATAATTCTTGATCTATTTAAATACTTAAACTAATAAGCCGTACATATGTTTGATTATGTTATCAAGCAAAATATTGGCTTAGATGTAATTTTTGCAACGATCGTTCCTGTTGAAGTTATAAGTATACATACATACATACCTAAAATAACGAATATAAGTACATATAATTGATTCGAAATGATGGATTCATAGAACAAGCCTTCGTACCACCTCGGTGTTCAAATGAATGGACGGGCGGACAGGTCTATGTGGATTCGTCTCCTCATGCTAACCACATGTACCTACTATTAGTATAACAGGAGGTGTTCTTCTGGAATCCATTTGCGTGCTCTCTGGTACATTTCGGGTACAGTGTATATAACAAAATATAACGAAGCAGCAGGTTAATCATTGTATTGAGGATTTACCGTTTTGGATCTTAAAGTACTTAGTAGCATATGAATATTACATTTATTGTGGGCAGTATTGAAATTAATCTACATACAAGTTTAATGTTTTGCAATGGGAGCACGGCTGTATAATTTCCTCTATGGCTGATGTCTGAATTGTCAGCTGATTCGAGCACTGAACTTAAAGAGCTTGGCCGATCTCAGCTAATTTCAGCAGATCACTGGCTTATAAGTTTAAAAATGCTCCATAACCTCCCCTGATGAAATTTGACTTGAAAATTAGCCTGCTTATTAAAAGAATAGAATACCAAGTTTGATTATTCTGGCTCTTATATTTAAAAAGAAGGAAATACAAAACGCAAGAACTTTTCGAATCTAGTACAGTTGGTGTTCAGCTCTTTTGATTAATTCGCAAAATTCGTAGAACACGTCGTATTTCAATTTGGTGAGAAATATTTTCTGATCATTATTTTCTTAAAAGCTTACAGCATTAACTGTTAAAATGTGTGTAGTAATTAAAACAAAGATTATATGCGATTATTTATATTATTAGAAAGACATTTTTAATACACCTTTCCCGGAAAAATAAAAAATGTAGAAATACAATTCATTTATTTATTTATTTACTAGCTCTGAAAATTGGTTGAGATTGGTTGTTAAACCTGAATCGTTAGAAGTCCATTAAATACATATATTTAAAAAATGAGCAATCGTCTTTGAAGCACAATTCAAGCTTTAATTGTTGTTGCGTTTCTCCATATACTTTTTTAAAAATATCTTTTCGGCTTTCTGCCTATTTATATGTGGCCCTATTGTACTGGAATTGAGCAGGATTTAAAATAAATGTTGCCTTGGGTCTTCATAAAATTGCTGAAGAGTTTTTGTTGGTTCGAAAGCGGCTTTTCAACAGTATGGCATGCTTCCAGTTACTTTAGATTTAGGATAGGGTCCTCGATTTACTTGGCTCGCTCATGCCTGATGCTGGTGGCCAGGTAGCAGGCCAATACAATGCCGAGTATTTGAATGAAAGCAATGCCAATGCCGACGCCAATTAGGATGACAGCGTTCTTATCGATGCGATCCTTCAGCTTGCCAACGCAGCCCTCCTGAAAGTATTTGTCCCTGCCCAGGGCTGGCGACTCCGTGCAGTGGCCGACGGTGGCATCCACATACTGAGGGCGGCAGCAGCTGGCCGGAAGAGTTTTGTTTGCGCTCATCGTGCGCCAATCGGCTGGAGTGTCCACACCGCAGCACATGAGTTTGCGTTGAATATTGTCCCAGGCCATGGTGTCCTCGCTGCTTGACCTTTTGATGGAATCCTGCAGTGAGTTTTTGACCATTCCTTCGAGATCCTTCTTAAAGACGCTGGCGGCAATGCCGACGGCCAACTCAATGATGAAAATGACGGCCAGCAGCACGGCGTACTGAGAAGTGCATTTCTAAGCTGTAAGAGTGTCTTTTAAATGGGTGGAATAATGTGCTTACCGTCAGTAGTAGAGTGGGCGACTCCTTGATCGCACCGAAGCATCCTAGCGAGGCTATTAGAAATATGATGAGGCCTGTGACGATGAGTACAATGGGAGGAGCAATGACTCGACCCTCCACAAAGTGGTTGAACTCATTCACGTCGGCCAACACAACGGATCCTGCAATAAGAATGCCCAGGCCTGAGAGCTGCGAAGTAAAAATTGCTTTCAATTAAAATCCGATTTAAGACGAGCTAAAAAGTTATGTTAGTCTGTGCCGAATTCCTGCTCTTGTTGCGATTATTACACTCAGAAGTAAGACTTGTAGAACCTTAGTTCAATCATAGTCTAATCTATACTTTTAGTTTGTGTTTCGGCAGTTTTTCTTGATGTCCTTTTTCCAATAAATTACTTGTCGTTACTTATAATTTAGTTGATGTGCAAAGGTAAACGATTTCTTTGAATACTCATTGTGGCTTTAACTAATCTATACAAATAATTTGATTAATGGCTTTAATAAAGCCAGGAACAAGTTATATACTTTGGGTATGAAAGTGCTTCTGTGTTTGTATTTATTTTACTGACCAATTCTAATTGCCAGATAAACATCCGACAGGGTGCACAGCCCACATGCAACCAAACTGGTAAATACAATTCAATCCATTCCATACTCGGGTGCAGGCATTGACCATGCCAATGGCATTTACATATGTCATTGTTATTGTTATTTCTGTTGTGGTTGTTGTTTTGCGTGCTTATCCAAATCAGCCAGCAATACTGCCTAATCGCTGGACATGTCAGCTAGCCTGATTGCCTTATGAGTTACACGCCAGGCTTAGGTCAATACCAAGGCATTAAAGCATTGAGAGTTCATGGCTGAAAAATATTGCCTACTTTTGTGCGCCATTTTTTCTTTTCCTGACTTCTGAGTGAAAGCATTTGTAAAGGACACAAATCAAATCGCTCGAAACAACGAGGTAATTCCAGTTTAATTTGCATCATGCAATTTATTTCAATGGCATATGAAATTATCCCTTTTATAGATAATCATCAACATTACTATTAGACTTATTAGCCAGAGAATGTATATACACACATGGTTGGATGTAATTGAACACTCAGGAATAAAATAGCGGGGCCTGGCATAGCTAAACGAGCTAGCAGTGAGTTTGATCCTGAGTACTTGTATGACTCCCAAGTATGGAATTCCCAATCATTGCATTTAAAAAATTACTAACAGTCTTGAATTCTTTAAGAGTGACATAAAGAAAAATGTTATGCTTCGTGTTATGGCTAAATCTGCAACATAATATATTAATATTAATTGATAATAAAAAAAGAAACAAAGTTCCTATACCCAGGATTGTATTTGTTTTATTGAGCTTACTTGAATCAAGTTTGAATCAAACTTAGATTAAAAATCGAGGCAAAATCGTATTATAATTTCTAATTGGCTAAAACGAATTGTTCATTTAACGTTTGTAAGTGTATGGCTGTATTTAGTTAGTTATGCATAATTGAAAACAATAATATCCATATTAAAAGCAAGCAGCTGTTTATTTATATTTTGTTCCCGCCTTTTAAAGGGAACTTTATTTCTCACTCCACACTGTCTAATCTTTCTAATTTCTAATCTATATTTTGTTCCCGCCTTTTAAAGGGAACTTTATTTCTCACTGCGCACTGTCTAATCTTTCTAATTTCTAATCTATATTTTGTTCCCGCCTTTTAAAGGGAACTTTATTTCTCACTCCGCACTGTCTAATCTTTCATTAGAAAACATTTCAGTCTAAAGCTCCATAAACAAAGCTGTGGGAGCAGTTGTGATTAAACAAGACAAGCGGAAATCGCCTTGTCGGCTCCTGGCTCTAGTCATGGATGTACATACCACATGTATAACAAGAGGTCTACAAACAGAGACAACACAAGCACTATACCAGTACCGTTAATTTGTTAAGTAAAAAACGGGGGAAGAAGGACTGATGGGTCTAGAATTTTCTGCTTCTCTTTTCTGAGTGTAGAAGTTAGATTTGTTTGAATACATTTTGATTACTACTAAGTGCATGAAAAACTATTTGTAGTAGGCAACAATCTAAATATTGTGTTAGCTACCCTAATGGGACTGTGCATTCGCTTTACGACATTGCTCATACTCGTATTATCAATAAATTAATTTTTATAATTTGTAATAGCTACTTATTATGAATTGGTTGTTCAAACATAATCGGATTAGCTTGAATCGCAAACTGCTGGATTATTTAATTTGTTGATTCATTTAGTTTAAAATTTGGTCTCAATCACAGAGAAATGTTCATTATTTATTTATTTTTGGCCTTAACTTACCGCAAAGAGCACATTAAAGGCGAACAGGACATATTTAATTAAACTGGGGCCGCAGGAACGCATTTTTGTTTCAGCTTAGTAATTTTTAATGGGTTTGTCGCACTCAAAATAGATTCCACGGACCATACACGGATATTTGTGTTTGAAATTTAGCTCGGTGATATAATCGTTATCTCCGTTTTGGAATTTGGGCTTCAGGCGCGTGTGCATCTGCACCAAATGGCGTTTGAAAAGGAACTGACCAGACCTGATGCGTGGCGGCGCGAGCAAAGCTAATGACGGCGGCGCTGAAGGCTAGCAACGAACTCCGACGTCATGTTGTGGCCACAGCAGTGTGGCAACGGAAGACCAACGTCAACCACCTCCGCCCCTCCACTCCGCCGTGGGTAATTTGAATGTGTCCAAAAGGAACAGACGACGAAAGCAAGAGTACTCGTAAATGTGAGTAAAAGTTGTTGTTTGTTCCAAAGAAACCCATGGCGTATTCAGGCCAATAGGCAGTTGTTGCCCCCTTCCCTCCTCTGATTAGGTGCTCTGGGTGGCTTGTTCTTTGTAACCCATTTCGTTGATTCCCCGCCTAAGAGGGGAGCCGGGTAGTGGTAGCTGGAATCGGAATCGGCATCGGAATCGGGTCTGAAGGCATTCTTGAATGTGTGACATTTGCATTTTGTGCGACAACAAAACCTGAGGGTATTACTTACTTACCACGCTGGTCAGAGGCTTCGTAGAGTTCGTAGACTTTTGCTTGACTCAATCAATGGGGTGCGAGTTGGAGGTGCTTTGAGGTCATCCATGGCTTACAGCGCTATTGGGCCCAGTGGAAGCGGGGAATGTGAAAAAGTCAACGCACTCATTAGGCGGTGCTATGTTTAGGATTTCCTATTGCTAGTACTATGAACATGGGTGGCTTGGGTGCAGAGTTTGGGGGACAGGCTGGTCGCGAACGACCCCATTGCTGTATTGCCGCGTCGGTTGCTTTAAAGCTGAACTTAGCACTACCCCAATGGCAGCCCTCACTACCATAATACGAAATTAATTGCGTGCTGCCGTGCGACCCACAGTGAAAGTTATAAATGCGGTTCATGAAATAAAATGATAGAGTATCAAAATAATTAGGACTTTCCATTCATTGCTCTAGACGTTGGCCATAAAATCTAAAGAAATAAAATCGAAGCGTCCAAAAGTTCCCGCTAGCATCAGGAGACCTGCCCTGCCACTGACCCCATTGGCCGACTTGCTCCTGCGGCACACCATATCGATATTTCACTTTCCCTTTTCCGGCCCATAGTAGGGTTGCGTGTTTCGCCGCCGGAATTTTCGCAAGAAACAAAAGTTAGGGCCTGCATGCAAAATATCGCCCTAAAAACTGGCCAACTTACGCGTTTTAATTGTAGGTGGTGATGCAAGACTTTTAGCCTCTATCTGGTGTAAGAAATCAGGCAGTCTAATAAACTGCAGGCAGGCGTACCTAAATTTATTTTACAAGTATTTTTACTTGGTATGGCACTAACTGTTGCTTTGGGCGTATTTGGCGGAATTTCGCGTCCATAACTAAGCATAGCTGAACTGTACTGGGGAAAGGATATCTCACAATTTCTTAGTATCAGTTTTTTAAAGCGAAGAGCTTTAAAATTAAAAATTTATAATAGAAGAACTCCCTTTTTTAGCACACTACAAGGTGTTTTCCAAATTAAACAAGACTTCGATCGAGTAATCATTAAAGGTGTTCTTACACAAATTACAAAATAATGTTTTTTTTTTAATTTTATTCATTCTCTCACAATATAAAGATTGTCTTACGGTACTGCGAATCGGCAGGACACTGGTGGCCCTCATGAGTTGAGTTAAAAGGCACTCGAGGTGCTATGGATGGCTGGAGCTTCTAGTCCTAGTAATGGTCTGGACCCTCGTGTTGTTTGCTTAAAAATCCAGAATCCTGAATAGGATGGTTACTTCAGGGTAATCCTTGGGAGTGTGTAGATTCAAGGTGATGTGGTAGAATATTTACAAGTGTAACAGGTGGTTTGTCGATAACTTTAAATCTGTGGTTCGTGTAAACTACTTCGCTTTTGACTATTTACATTTATTGTATGCATAGTCTGTTCAAAAGAAAGGATGATTTTTGAATTTTTTGGAAAAGTATTTATTTATTCATCAATATTCATTTTGTCCCCTCAAAAATAAACCCTTTCAGATATAATGCACTTATGCCAGCGCTTCTTCTAATCCTCCTCAGTCGTTGTTCGATTTTGATTTTATCTCATCAATTGTGGCAAAACGCTTTCCTTTTATTGGTCTCTTCTGTTTTGGGAATAGGAAAAAGTCGCAGGGAGCCAAGTCTGGTGAAAACGGTGGTTGAGGCATAATTACGGTACGGTTTGGGCCAAAAAAACACGAAAAAGCAGTGAGCTGGTGCATTATCGTGAGGCAGAATCCATGTTTTTATCTCCACAATTCCCATCAGCCTTATTGTTTCACGCAAACGTTGCATAACTTCCTTGTAGTATTCCGTATAAACCGTACTGCCTGTTGGCAAGAATCGCCCAATCACTTCTTTGTCTAATATAAGTTAACGCCCCTCCAAGAAGCTCAAACAGCGCTGAAAGAGCTTTGAAGACAAAGCACCTCCAAGACGATCAAGATCTTTAATTGATAATTGAAACTACATGCTCCCTGGGATCACCAGCAAGACTCCTTGGTCAGTGTTGTTCCTGCACCTGAGCTCAACGGTGACCCTTGGAACCACCCTATTAGGACGAAGACCTTAGTACCCTTCCAACACGCTGTTTCGACTTCCTCAGCAGTGTGCAGCACAATAGTAGGAGGGCTTCAGCACGCAACGACCTGGCGACGATCTCACCTTCAGTTCACTGGACAGCCTGCACGAGGATCCTTAGTCATCTTCATTACTACATTTGCCCACGGTCCACAAGGATCTTTGAAAGAAACTCTAAAAAAATAGCGGACAACTATTTGACGGTTCACATCTTATAATTACCTGAGGCTTGTTCCTGAAAATGCTTCAGATTGTGTCTTGGGTTTCTTTTATTATATAAGTAGTAGTAAACGAATGGAACAGTCGAGCCCGCACGACCGTTGAATACCCTATGCCCAGTTTATAGTTTACCGGGCTTGATGAAACTTCATAAATATAGAATTGGTTTCCCTTAGGCTATTCTTAGGCTTACGAAAAAGTTGTAGAGAAACAAAATTTTTAGTTTTTCTTGCATTCCTAAGATCTGTTACCAAGATTTGGGCGGTTTGATCTTTAGAATTCACTCCTACATACTTGTATGTTCAAACGGGTAAAACAGTTAAGCAAACCAATCCATGTATGTACTATAGAGGATGCATTGCAGACCGATTCCATTTAAAAAATTATATCTAGTTTTATTTCATGAATACATAGTATGATTTACAAGAACATTTGTTAGTGGGTGGTATGCAGAGTATTTTGTAAGAACAGACTGATATAATACGATGAGTGGGAGCAACATTTCGAAATATGTACTACTTATAGAGCATGCCACACTATATGCCACGAGCGATAAATACGGCGATGATGAGTGCCAAAACGGACATGGATTGCTTAAGGACACCAGCGCCGCCATCCCTGCAGGGCCATTCGTCCACTTCCGAGCTGTAAGTAGAGTTTAGTGTGGAAGATTGTTGCAAACGTGCATAATTAGCCATGTTATTGGTTCGAATGGGCACAAGAAACACTCATATGGTTTTACAACTATACAAAGTACGGATAGGAGTATGGATAGGGGTAACGAAAATTGCTGGGCGATAGTAGGGGATAGAGGACATGATCTTGTGGCTCTGTTTGCTCATGGGGCACATAGAATGTGGGCTGATAGGTGCGGCGGCGAGTATTTTGAGTTGTTTGTGGTGGTATTTGTGCAGATTGTGCGGTGCTTGTGGTTTCTGGTGATTGTTCGTGCGGTTCTTGCTGTTCTTGTTGTTCTGATGGTGGCTCTTGTGGCTCTGGTGGCTCTTGTGGCTGTTGGTTCTCATGTGGTTGCTGCTGCTGTTGATGGTCATTGTATGAAGTGTGCGTTCTGTAAGAACAGAAGCACAGAATGGGCAGCAAAATGGTGGAAATGTTGTATATACAGATGCACATATAAGTGTATTTGCGTGTTACTATATAGTGTAAGTGCCGTTAGTTACTGAAGCATCTCAGTTAGTTCGATTAATTGCATGCCCTGCGAGCCGTATAAGTAGTGGCCAAAGCTGCTCGAATGTTCCGTTTCGTAAACACCTCTTCACAATTCGTCTCTCTTTCAATTAGGCCTAATGATATCAGTAGAAATCCATTGTCATACCTACCACCGTGCCTCAAGTTTGTTTAGGCCAACGAAAACATTAATGACTCAGTAGAAATACATACAGTTACATACTTATAAGTAGTACGGACTTTTAGTACAGTTTCCAAAAATTTTTGTTTATTAGGGGTACACGCAAGCCAGTAAGACGCGGAGTACGAACTAACCACTCTAATATTGACAAAACGAACAACGCAACACCAAGACAGACACGGGGAAGTACAAAGTAAATTAAACAAATCACTGGACAACAAAAGATATTAGCATACTATTCGAGTATGTATGTGTGTGTGTGTAAGTATAACAGTTACAATTCGAATGGGGGAGACATTTCGATGATTCAGCTTGTGAGTACAAGTATGCGTGTGGCGGAATGTGTGTGTAAAGTACAAATGAGCTATGGTTATGGATAGAGTCTCCCTTTTTTTTTCACTTGGAACAATATTTACTTAACACCGATAACACCGCAGGCCACACGACCGCCAGCATTGCCCGTTTTCTTCGAATCCGTATGATTTCCCTGGCCCAGATCGTCCTCCAATTCGTGCAGAACTAAGCCGCGACCGATAATCGTGCGTTTACCAGTTAGGCTAATGACAGGATCGGTGATTGTTGTGTCCACTTTCCCATCCTTGTCGGCCACAACATTGCCCAAGTCACCCACATGGCGCACTTCGTGCTCGGGCGCGCCATGATCCATCTGTGAAGAACATCCGTTTCAGTATTTTAGTTCCTGTCGCTTACAGGAATTCGGGGGACTACTCACCTTGTCCGGATTGTAGTGACCACCCATGCTGGTGCAGCCGTTACTCAGGTCTCCCTTCTCATGCACATGGAACCCGTGTTTGCCCTCCTTCAGACCCACTAGCTGTATGCGGACGTGGACGTTCTCGCCGCAGGCGTTCTGTGTGAAGGTGACGTTGCCTGAGACTTGTGAGCCATCTGGCTGAACGGGTCCGATTACATAAGCTATGGCCTCCATCGGTGTGTTGCGCTACAAGAGTCCGGAAGATGTTGCCTGAGTTGGAAAACATTGTGACTTCTCTCCAACACTTACCGCATTTGCAGCAGCGCTGAGGGCAGCGCAGAAAGCCACCGATATCAGTACAGTACGAAGCATGTTGGGCTGCAAGGGAAAAGACGATCAAGGTATGAATAATAGGATTAAGGGGGCCATAGGATTGTCTCTAAATATAAAACCATTTGGTATGCATCTTATATGATAAGAGGGCCATACTAGTAAGATCGTCTCTATATATAGAAAAACTTGCAGTTTATTTCCATTTTTTTTTCAGAAAAATTCACTATCAATTAATATTTGTGATTTATTATAAATTATATTTTATTTCGCTTAGTCTAAGAATAGAAGGTCATGAACATCGTACAAAATTCATTGAATTTCATGGTTGGACTATATATTAAGTTCCAGTTCCTATAAGAATTGATAAAAACTTGCCGTAAATTTTGTATGCAAATTATGGTTCTTAAATTATGCGTAAACTTGAGTGTTTATTAAGTGTTTACCTTGCAGGCGAATGGTAAGAGGGTATACAATATGTATAAGGCTTTGGGAGAGAATATGTAACATGAACAAGGACACTCAGCTGAATCGTAATGGAATTAATTCATAATCAGACCATATCTAGCAGAAGTAATCTGTCACAATTTCATAAGAATTTATATATGTCCTGTACCCAAGGGATAATCGGGTATTATTAAATAGTTCAGTTTTTGCAATACTCCGAATTTTTGGTCAGCATAACAACACGATTCGTTCTAGATATGTTTGCTCGTCTGTCCATCTGCCTTTACGAATACGAAAATCTCCAAAAATTCCGAATACCTTATAGATTGAATAACCTATTCTTTTAGTTAAAAACATAGTTGTTTTACTTAATTGTTTTTAGTTCCTGAACTTGTCATACATTTAATTTACATTACATACTTTTAAGCTTAGAGTGCATATCTTCTTTTCTTGAATAGCTTTGCTTGTGTGACTTAATAAAATATGTCTTAGAGATAAGGAACCAACAACATGAATAATGTCTTTTTTACACGTTTTTTTCTGGAACCAATCTAACGTGTTAAAACATTATTAGGTGTACTTGTGTAAATACACATTATATATGTTTTAGATTTAATAAAATTAAGATGAATTCTTGTTCCTAAAAAAAACTTTTTTTCTCCTATTTTGAATTTAAACGATGTATTCTTAAAGCTTGTACCCAAAGGGTAGAAGGCTATACATACTAATTTTGTGCGAATGTATGTAACACACCGAAGGAGGCGTGGCAGACCCCCCAAAGTCGAGTCGATATAGCCATGTCCGTCTGTCCGTCCGTCCGTCCGTCCGTCCGTCTGTATGAATGCAAAGATCTCAGAAAGTACAAGAGCTAGAATAACCAAACTTGGTATCCACATTCTCCTAAGTCCGAGAAAGGCCGAGTTTGTGTTTTTTTTCTGATGCACCCCCCACTATTTGTGGTTTTTTATTACTTTTATAACTTCCGGGCTTGCTCAACTGTTCCCTCTTGTATGTACAGATTATTTTAAAATCGGGATACCCGACTTTAGCTTTTCTACATTGTTTTTATTTAATTGAATTGAATAATTAAACTTCTAAAACTTATTTATAAAATTTGTTAATTCTTTTATTTTTTGTGGGCAGAGGGTATTTTACTTGCTTGCCCGACTGTAGCGTTCTCTCTTGTTTTATACGGTTTTTCCTGGAACCAATCTACCGTGGTAAAACAGATTTAGGTGTAGTTATATCTAAAGGTATAATAGTTACAATCTCCATTTGTCATGTCCATTCATATACATAGGTCCAAGAAAGGGCACGTTTAAGTTTCTGTAGTTTTTCGAATCTTTCTTTTACAGCCCATTTCCTTGTTGTCAAGTCTTAAACTAATAACCCAATTGATAAGAAAGTTGGTTAGTTTTTTAGTGTGTGTGTACGCATAGGTTTCTATTTCTTTTTGGTTATCAATGCAGATGAAGACGGTTGAAGTTCAACTCGCCATAATCTTATCGTAGTTATAGTATGAGGAGCATCATAATAGTTTTTACTGTACTCATACGCAGGCATGTGTATTACACATATAGTACAATACATACGTATGCATGTATGTACGAGTGTGTGTGTACAAGTATGTGTGTAAGTGTAATTCTGATGCGCACGCGAGCCACTTGAAGGCAATCGGACGTCATCGAATGTCAGCGCACGACAAAAATAAATTGTCACTTAGACGGGCCGGCACCTCGTTCCTTGTGCGGAATTGAACCGCCTGAGCCTAACCTTAATTTATTAAGCAAAAGCGAATCATATGTCATTCACACAGTGCATTGAGAGTATTTTAGCAAGTGAGTGTATAATTTAAACAGCCTTTTCGCGGGGCTAAGTGCTCGCAATATACGAGTACATAAATAACCAACCTGGCCAACATGTTGCCCGTCATTCAGCGAAGGTCAATATTCATACAGAAACAATCTCTTTTTGTAGGCATACTAGTAGTTTAATAATAATAATGAACTGATGAGCTACGAGATACTTGTATGTACATATATTAATAATGAAAAATGTGGGGGATATTTGTTTACCGCCTGCACCAGCTGGCATAAAATCAAAGTCAATTGTTTATTTGTTTACTGCCTTTTACCTATGAAGCGCTCTTTCTACGTGACAGCCTGCATATTTATTTATTTATATTTTAAAATTGATACTTCTTTCTGCGTTTCTAATCACATTTGCACACGTAACTATTTAGAACCGTTGATTCGATTGAAGAGAGCACAGAAGCAACTGATTCGCCAAGAAATATGCGCACTATCGATATGCTGATGGATAAGATACGTTTATATTATTTATAGTACTTGTGAATGACTGGCATAGGGCTAATTTATATTGGAGAACTATAACACAACGTAATGTTCTTACTTATTGCTAATCATTGTGGTTATAAGTACTTGTATCAAATATGCGCTATTAGAATGGAGCGCCCAGTTGATTGATTCGAAAATAATGGGCCTGAAATGCTTTGTGCTACTTTGCTTTGTTGTAAGCTTATACACTTAAAAAAACAAGGAATAATGTTCGATATTTAAAAATAGTTACCTTACAATTCTTTCATTCAATACATTTTAATGTTACAAAAAAGGTATGTAGAAAGATGGTATGTAAGAGGTATGTAAAGAAGAAGAAATTTTGTCTCTTAATTTTGTAGGACAAATGTATGTTCCATATTTCAGTAAAATATTATTTCAATAATTGCAGTCATTCAAAAACAATTACTGTGGAAATAATTAGCGCACAAATTCGTCCTCCTTAACAGAATAACGTTTTTTAAAATTAATTTCGAAAAGGTATTTTGCAGTAGAAATCTATGTATGTAGTATTAACGGAAAATTGTTATTGATTCTGTTTAAAGATCTATTATTTGTGCAAATTAGTTGCATTTCTGATGGCTTTTCACAGCTTTGGAAACACTCAAAAAATCGCAGCCTATTGTAATACGAGTAGTTTGAAATAACCTTGCTTCTCAATTAACATTTAAAATTAATGGCTATTTATACACCCATATATAATTAACAACTCACGCTTCTCCTGTAAACAATACAAGTGGATGCACAAATTTACATACAATATGAAGGCACTTGAGTGGAATTCCAGCGCCATGCCGTAATTACTTTTACTCCCATGATTCTACAATAGGCGTAGCAAAAACTCAGATTCGAGAGATAAGAACCGTGTATAAATTGCAATATAGATAGCAAATTGTCAACACTTGTTACTGTCAATCTTCTTTTTTTGGAATGCCATAAATCCGGTTGCTGTGATCGGAATATAAAGATGTCGAGAAGTGCAACCGGAGGAGAGGAAAGAAACTGCATTGCGACTTTCGGTGTCGATTTTGGGTTTCTTTCAGCTTATGTGTGAGTTATTGATACATTTATATATGTAGTCAAGTATGTACATAGTATGTATGTATGTATATGTATAAGCACTTAAGCATAGAAGAACTACCTACATTCACAGTAGGACTGGTTATAAGACCTGGCCCAAGGGCATCTTAAAAGTAGATGATTGCAAAATGCTTAAAGTGTTTCCATTTATTAGTACATATTATGTATGTATGTATGTACATCAAAATGATCATTTAGGTACATATATATGTAAGTACAGGTATGTAGGTGTGCATATATACCCGTACATACAAGTACTAGTCCGCAAGTACACACATTAATATATAAAGTGAGGAAACCGGTTCACTTAATGCGTTTTAAAAACAAAAAAGAACACTTCAATTAAAAATTGAGGCGTTGCGATTTTTGAACATATTTTTTTATTTTTATCGCCGGACAGTTGTGGGATTGTAACTTGGAAACACTTTTTGCTTCTATCCTACGTACATTTGTATAGCAAAGCAGTTATTATATGTCTCTCTGTGTATTTTTGTTCGCACTTTAAATTCATTCTAGCAGTAGTTGCAACTATTTTTATACACTCACCTTGTTAGCGACTGTTTTGATATATTAATTAAATAAACGCCAGTAATGCAAAATTATCCGCGTAAGCTGTCAACGAACCGTGATGTTTGAGCGCTGAGCCGAAACTGTTTTAAGCACTCGGCGTTGCCAGCGTAAATCAACTGCGCATTGCGCACGCGAGCAGCGACGGCACCTGAGATTACAAAGCCGCTGAAGGTGCGAGTTGCCTCTACGTGCTCTCAGTCTCTGTGCTCTCTCATATCTATCGCACGCTCATCATACCCTGTACCCAAAGGGAACACAAAGCACTTATACATACATACATACTCATATTACACGAAGAGATGTGTCGGTGTAGCCCTGCACGACTGTTCGTCTGCATGGGACGCAAAGATCTTGGCAACTATAAGAGCTAGATCTTCGAAATTTGGTATTCGTATTCCCCTAAGCTCTTATCAGAATCTCATTGGAGTTTGTATTTCTTACCAACATTTGAAACATTTATTTGTTTATAGCCAAAACATTAATCTCAATATTATACACCTAATTTTGTTTTTTCATGGTCTTTTTTTTACACAATTTTGATATAACGCAATTAAAAAGTGCATTTATATTTCTTTAGAGATAAGGAACCCATCACCTATTTTTGCATATGATCAATGTGATTTTTTACACGGTTGTTTCTGGAACCAATCTACCGTGTAAAAACAGAATTAGGTGTACATATGAACACATACATACATACGTACATAAGTATTTTTAACAAGAATTAAATTAAATCAGGAAATAACAAGAGAGAACGCTCAAGCCCCACAGTGAAATAACCTGTACCCAGCCAAATTTCCGGCACTGCGTTTTATTCAAAATTCAAAAAATAATAATAATAATAAACACGTCCTTTCTCGGACTTAGGATATCCTTTTGAGATCCTTGCGTTCATCTCGACGGACGAACGGACAGGTCTAGATCGACTCCTCTCGTCATGCTTATTAAGAATATAAATGTATACAGTGAAAACTCTCTTGGCAGGACACTCACGGTCGTCCAATTTTTGTCCGCCCAAGGGGAGTGTCCGCTTAAGGGGATACTTAAATACTTTATACACCGATCGAATGTTTTAGAAAACGTGCCCGCCGATGAGCGTGTCCGGATAAAAGAGGTGTCCATTAAGGGAGTTTTCACTGTATTTTATGGAGTCGGAGATTCACACACCTAATATACCCTTTTTACCCTACGGATACAGGGTATAAAAACACGATCTTGTTTTTTCTCAGACCTAGACATCGGACGTAAATTTTAAAACTCTTATCCCTTGGGTACAGGATAAAACTTAAACAAAAATGTTAACTTAGTACTTTTTTCGTAGTGGGTAGAGTGTTCTTTGTGGCGGTCTCGCACGACTCTAGCATTCCATTCATGTTCTGTTTTACGTTGTCGCCTTCTATCGGCTTATCTCTCTTATTGATTCTGGTTTGGCTTATCAGCTATCACCGTTGGCGACTTGCTTAAGCATCAAATAACTTAAATATATGTACATACTTATGTACATATAGTACGTGTACTAATTATGCATTCTGACTCAGCTCTTATGCTTATGCAATATATGTACATACTTGTATGTTTGTCAGATAAATACATAGCGCGAACACGCCAACGTGCGTTTCATTTGTTTCGCGTATCAACTGTGGTTTACACACATACATACATATGTAAATATAGTATGTACAAATATGCACATACGATGTACATATATGGGTATGTGCATAAACAGAACCCCATTTATGAAATGCACGCTCATTATCCATGTACATACATACATATGTATGTAAGTGTTTGCCTCTAAAATGCTGGCAGAAATAGTTAAACTGCTCGATGGAAACTCCGAAGAATAGAACGAGCTAAGAGTTACTTGGTTAACGATGAAGCTATAAACATACATACGTATACCCTTAACTGTGCTAGGGGTTTCAAATTATTGTAAGTCCTTACTACCTATTTTTTGTGGAAAAGCTTTTTAAAGTTGTGTTGTGATTTGGTCATTCGTGGTCAAAGTTTGCGGCTCATGAATGGTGCAACGCCATCAGACAACAACATTCTAAATCTTCAATCTGGTTCCAATATCTTTATAGGCAAAAATATGTTTTTTTTTCTTCTTTTTTTTCTGTTTAATCAAAGCATTGAAGCCGTGCATTCAGATTAGCACCTTAACAATACATTTTTACAAATATAAAATAGCCCAACCTCGAGCACTTCCGCGCGAGGATTAATAAGTTAGTGGTGGCTTATGCTTATCTAAATGTTTTGAAAAAACCTAATCGTTTCAGTCTTCGCAAAGGTCTAGCAGGAAGGAGTCCTCTGGCGAGCAAACTGCGGTGACTCAGAAGCCTGTCACTGTATCTACTTGTATGCCTTCCAATCTGCTCCTCCATGGTGAACAGGCTTAGGTCGGTGAAGGGTCGTGCCGCTCACGTACCAGGGGCAGTTGGTAATTTGCCGTAATGCACAGTTTTGCAGAACCTGGATGCGCTTATAATTAGATTTTTCGGCGATCCCCCAAATTTGAATACCGTACAGCCATTTCGGAGCTATGCAGTGGGCATAGACAGCTCTTTTTGCTCTAAGTGGCATAGTGCTCCTTCTATTTAGTAGCCATCGCAACTGTTGCATTCTCTGGCCACATTTTAAAAAAGATGTTCAAACAAAAATTTTATCTAACTCATAACAATTACTATATATGACAGGCTGTAAAATAATGGCCGTTCTCTACATTCTACCTGTGTCCGTCCAAAATAAATGTGGAGCAGTAGTAATTGAACCAAATATACCAAATAGGAAGGCATTCCGATTTATATTCGTCTCGCCATGCTGATCTTACTTGTATATATTCTTTTTGTTTCTTTCGGGGATGGCACGGTTACACATGAAAAACAATTTACCCGTACACTTTTAGAGAAGGGTATAAAAAATGCTTAATGCATCGCTAATAGTTCATCTCCAAATAAAAAACCATGTTCGAGTTTTAGTTGCAACGCAAGCTGCAGATCTTTAAACCCAGATTCAAAACGACAGCCTGATCGTAATTCGATTTATTGACAACTCAAGATAATAATACACGCCGCTACATAAGCTTTTCCCCAATAGCGCCCATATTGCAATTGTTAAATCTATCAACAACCCCGATTCTACAAGTAATAAGAACATCATTTTCGTATCAACCCGACTGTTGGAATCCCTATATCTGCCATTATTCTTGGTACAGCCATCCAACTAAAATGTCTAAATAAAAGAGTGTAGTTAGAATTGCAGTTTATAAAATAAATAATCAGCTGAGAATTACAAGTATAGCCGCCGCACCACCGTTGTGCACATTTTAATTTGAAATCCATTAAATAATGCATTTCAATTTGACTTTCCTTGGGCTTGTCAGAATTTTCGGCTGTTACTTTCAACCGATTTCAAATATGGCTAGATTCTGGTATGATATCAGATGTAAGCTATTGACTTGAATTCAGAAAAATATAAAGCTTTCATATCCTGAACTCAGGCCTAAGTCATGAGATAGAAAATAAATTCAACTTATAGTTGTATACCGTAGTGTTAAAAGGATATATTAGGTGTGTGTAAAGTATCTAAAGGTATCAAAGGATGCATCTCCAACCCCATAAAGTACATATTCTTAATCAGCAATACGATACATATTAATATAGCAATGACCGTCTGTCTGAATGAACGCCTGGATTTCGGAAACGGTTACTAGAGTCTATTTTTTTTTTGAGTTTTCCATCTTTCCCACGCCGCAGAATAAATATTGTCAACACGAACTAAAACTATGCTTAGGCAGCTAATTTATGATTCCCTATTTTCATCTAAATTGGTGAATTCTAAGAAAAGTTATTGGCAAAACAATTTTATTCCTATCGGGATAGCTCGACTCTAATACTCTCTTGTTATATATATGCAATTTTTTTGAGAAAAACAATCCTTTTTTGAGCATATTGGAAATCTAACTAATATTTAGATTTTTCTATTATTTGTGAAACATTCTCAAGGTTCTGTCATATGATTGGAGATACGTATATAGACTACCTTCAGGTCCATCGGTGTTAAAAAAAAAGATACAAATAAGAGCATTGATTTCCTGTCATCAAACAGTATTTCTAAAAAAGCGTATTTTTTGAATACATTTTGTTTTCAAGCGATTACAAAATATAGATTCTATCTAAAAAGAAAAGTGGAAATTCAAATTCAACTGAGATAATAGTTTATTGGCATACCTTTTTAAATGTAGTTAACAGTATTTTCTCGGCTATATTAACTGATCGGTTATATAGTACATATGTAAGTGGATGTAAGTACAAGTACATTGCAACCCAAAATTTGTTGTACGAACGAAGTATTTTTAAATAAATAGTATAGTAGGTGCTAATTGAAATTATATTTTTGCACATGTCCGCCTGTTGTGAAAACAGCTGCATCCACTCTGGCGAGAGAGGTGCTACCATTTGGCCAAAACTAAAACTAACTAACTCTAATTGCACTCCAGTGGTTAGATAAGCTTATGCCTTCCGAGGGATGCCGTTTGGATCGGACTGCAGTTTTCGATAAGCAACCCCTCCTCGCTGCCCGTGCCGTTCGTAGACTTGTTGTTGTGGACGCGTTTCAAGGGCCTCTTGCGCTCCAGATCACTATTGCATTGATGCAGCTCCACAGTCTGCAGACTCTGGGCACGCTGGAGCGATAGCCTCAGTGGCTTCTTTGGTGGAGTGGGCCGCACTGTTGGCGCTTCCGGTAATGGCTTCGATTCGTTTTCGCTCTCGAAATCCAGGGACTTGACACTTCGCATGTCGGAGGGCAAGCGTGCTCGCAATGTTTGCACTTCATTGTTTCGGCTGCGTGGCGTGTCCCGGCGTCGTTCCAGTCTATGAAACAAATAAGAAATATCAATAATATGCTCGTAAATAAGAATTTCTACGTTTCAGATAAAATGTGAGAAATTAATGAATTGAATTGTATTGATAACCACAATTCAATTTACAATGATCCCGAACTGGTACTGAGCGCACTCTAACTGTATTTGCTGATTAAAAGCACCTGGGGCGGTAGTACTAGCGCTTAATTCAGAGCTCGTCGTGCTGTATGCGCACTTGTGCGGATATGGGGAACCATGGCTGTAATCCCTTCAGTGTGGAACACGCCATGTAAAAAAAGTTTCCATATGTGGTCATCAATGGTTACCTTCCGACACGCAAAAACTAAGCAGAATCTTCTGATATGACAAGAGCCTTCTCAATATCCAATATTTTTGAATATCTTTATAAGCAAAACATACATACATACATACTTGAATTTAGAAACCAAATTTTAAGTCGATCAGTAGAAAATTGCCGAATATTCAAACAAACTTTCGAGTTCGGTTTACCCCACTTGGAGGTCGAATTTTCCAAAACAGAACATACTAGTATATTGCTTACCCATTGTATTGGTTAAGATGCTCGACGCTGCGCGCATGCGTCCCTATCAGGTGATCTCGATGCAGCTGCTGCTGGGCGCTGGTTCTTTCTCTTTGGCGCTCTTGGCGTTCTCGCTCGCGCTCTCGGTCGCGATGTCGTTCTTTCTCACGCTTGTAAGCCTGCTGTATGTAGGCGGAGTCACTATTGATGGAGATCTTTGAGGCAGACAGGGACTTGGAGGGCATGGAGTAGATGTTGGGCGTGCGTTCGCGCAAATCAATGTGCGTGTTTTCCTTGATGAGCGTCTTGGTCACGTGGCTTGGACTTGTCGCTTTGCCAGGACCCATTTGTTGCTGCTCCTCGCCCAACAGCTCGATGGGCTTGCCACCCACCAGGGTGGTGATGTAATTTCCACGCTGAAAGATCTGCGGCTTCTCGGGTGGCGTTGACGGCGGTGACGATATGCTTATGCTGGTCACATGAGCGCTGTTTGCTTGCGATTGTTGTTGTAGTTGCTGCGGAGCGTGTAGTCGTTGCTGTTGCTGCTGCTCCTTCATCGTTTGCAGCTCGCGCACTTGCTCCTCCAAATAGGATATGCGATGCTGCAAGCGCATGTTGTTCTCCTTCTCCTGGTCCAATTGCTTCTGTGGTATGGGAATGGACTTTTTACGCAACACGACCATCTGGCACTTGCCCGAGTTCCCCACATGCTTCTGCAACTCTTCTTTGGTCTTGCACGTCACGAGGCGCCCATTGATCTCCAGTATGCGATCGCCCTTGTACAAACCATCGCCTTCAAGAGCCCATTCTACGAAGAATCCCGGATGTTCGGGCTTCAGCTGAGCGGCCCAGCGGCCGGTGGTAGCATGAACTGCATGCAGACTTAGCGTCACTCCGGAGCTAATGATGTTGTAGAGCGTCTGCGCCTCTGGCTTGGATTTCTCCAGGCGCGCTTGCAACGCGCGAGCTTCTTCCACAATCGACAGCATCTGCAGTTCTTCGCGTCCCAGCGCATACTCCAGTTCCGCTTGGCGGATGCGTATGTCTATGTTGCTGCAATTAAGTGGGAAAGAGAACGGGCTTGTCTTCAAAAGTCTCAGTTACTACAGTAAATATATATATACTTACTCTGTTATATCAAGTTTTTCAAGCGCACTCTTCAAGTTTTTAATCTTGATGCGTTTGTTCTCCGCTTCGGCCATCAATCGATTTAGCTTTTGCTCAGCAGCTGGTTTCTCAGACTCGTCCAGGGGCGGGCCGGTGGGGCGTGGCAGCTTGCCCAGACACAATTGAATGCGCAAGTTCTGTATGACAGCCTCACGATCCTGAAGAGCAGATCGCAGCTCCTTGGACTCGCTGCGTGTGGACCGCGATGAAAGAGTGCCACCCAGCGATGTTCCCTTGCGTCTACGGCCAACGGTGGCGCAGTGTGGGGTGGCGCCATTGCTCAGATGTGTGTCGTTGCTGTCCTGGTGTAGACTGTACTTGGCGCAGCTCTTCGGATTGGGACTGAGTATGGTCTGTAAGGAGCAAGTGAAACATTTGAGATTTAATGGAAAGTTCGACTGTACGTAATACTAGCATTAGGTGTGCCGGCTAACAATTTTCTTGACGCAGCTCGTAACCTTCTTAAAGCAGACATTCTAATCACTAGGTACAAGCGCTTACCAGCTGAATGTATTTCAACCAAATGATATGTACAAGTATATCGTAAAAAACTTGTTTTTTTAACAAGAGCATTTAGTACTAAGGTTACATAATATGCTTTGTTCAAGGGGTAACTAAAAGGAAGGTTTAGAAATCATGTTCTATTTTTGGTAGCACTTATATCTCGTCTAAAATTAATTAACTAAAATTTATTTGTAATTTTATTTATTGGTTAGGCCATTATCCCTTTGGGTTTTTAGGATATTTTGGCATTTCATATTAAACATTTGACTAAACAATTAAAGGGATAACACCACAACTAATACAGGCAGTTTTTTAAAATGCATATTTTAAAAATAAATATACATTTTTTAAATTAACGTTTCATTCTAAGCGCAACTGCAATAATATTTTTCGCCATATTTAAAACTTTTTATTATAATTATATTTAAAATATAGTTCAATTTCCATTGGTATTTAAATGTATTTACCACATAAATCGTAATATCTTGAAATATGTAGATATAAACTAATTAAGTCGGGTGTCACGACTTTGAAATACTCTGTACATATGTTAAGCATAAATATACAAAGTAAAAAAAATTAATAAAATAAAAAAAATTGATTGATTTTATTTTATTTTATATTCCAACTCACGAAAACGGTGTATAATACATATAATACATACTTGTATGTTAAGAATAAATATACAAAGTAAAAAAATTTATTAAAATAAAAAAAAGAACGATTTTATTTTATATTCCAACTCACGTAAACGGTGTATAATTTACATTTACAGAGCAAATTTGCCTATGTGAGTGTATGCACGTCTTTGCGTGACTATTCCTGTCTGTGTGAGCATGCACGCAGCACAATGTTGAAACTACGCAGCAGCAACAACAACAGGTGCGGGCCGCGCTTGGGCAGCAATTACAGTGAAAACTCTCTTGGCCGGACACTCACGGTCGGCCAATTTTTGTCCGCCCAAGGGGATAACTTAAATACTTTATATGCCGATCGAATGTTTTAGAAAAAGAGAGTGTCCATAAAGTGAGCTTTCACTGTATATAACTTCTGTATAACTTCTGGCTATAACTTCCTGTTTAATCGGTTTATCATAATAAAATTTGGCATAATCACTATCTGCATTTGAAATTTGGCTTGGAAAATCATGGGGAGAGGGGGGGGGGGGGCTATTCATCTTGTCTTGTCATGCTGATCAAGAATATATGTATGTACATATATACTTTGTGGGATCTGCCACGCCTCCTTCTGCCTATTACTTTTTTCAGCTCGCGCAAGCCTTATATACTTTTGTACATTTCAAGTACAGAGTATAAATATATCGAGGTTAAGCATTGAAAATGCAAGGTATTATTTAAATGCTCGTTTTATTAATATTTTATAAAAGTACAGATGTATGGATGTGTGTTTAATGAGCTATAGTTGTCCTTGGCAGTGCTTAATTGTCCTTGGGTATGTCGTACACGCCGCACTCCCTATTGGCGGGCAAGCTTGCGTCTGAAAAAGTGCCTATTCAGTCTTGTTTTTAAGAATGGTGTTTAATATGCTCACCAATTTTCTTGGGATAGGGCAAATTCAAGTTGTCCATAATATTGATGAACACCTCAAGGCTCTTGGTCAAACGTGGGTTATATTGCTTCTCCTCCCAGACACTGCTTTCTAGCTGACCTCTGCAAAAAGCACATTGCTCAGAATACCCTTCTCTGAGTAATTCTTGCAGGCACTTACTTGTAATCGTGTGCTGGATAAATGCGGAAATTCTCCGGCAATGTGAAGATCTTTGAATGGACATTCTCGTAGAGGCTTTGAGAGCTGCCCTCTTGAAAGTCGGTGCGTCCACAGCCCCGTATCAAGAGAGTGTCGCCGGTGAAAACACAGCCTTGCTCTCGCACAACATATGTCATGCAGCCATTGGTGTGACCCGGAGTGGCCAGTGCATCTATGCGATGACGTCCGAACTCCACTTGCTCCCCCTCCTTCAAATGGATGTCGGCCTTGGCGCCACTAGCGGCAGCAATTACCGACTGACAGCCCGGCAACAGTTGCTTCAGCCACCCACTGCCCGTTATATGATCCGCATGCATGTGTGTGTTGACTATAAAGGTGTGGTTTTCAAGATCTCATGGTGAAATTCGTAGCTCAAAGGTCGATAAATCCGGCTTACTTGCATATTTAAGGGTAAAGCCCAGATCTTTCACCAGCTGGGCGTCCCGCTTGGCCTGCTCTAGCACAGGATCAATGATAACGGCCTCACCGCTATTGGCATCAGCCAAGAGATAGCTGTAGGTGCTGCTCTCGGTATCGAAAAGCTGGTGGCGTTTCGTAAGTTGAATTTTATTGATTGACATCATGTAGAATTTTAAAAATACAACAACTACCCACTTGGCGAAAGAAGAAGTCCTGCGTGAAGGATATGCGTGTTGGCACAGTCATGTTGCTTCGACAATGATGTAAACGCTGTTGTTGTTGTAGCCAGGTGGGCGATACAATTGACGGGCCTGGCTTAGCGAGCTTAGCAGTTTGTGCTCGCAACTGCCGAAAAGTTGAAAGCAGACTGGAGGCAACGATTTTCATTTTGTCGTGTTGTTGTGCTTATCGTTTGTTGCCTATGGAGCGAGTGTGTGCAAGCCCCTAGAAAGCTTCACTCTTGGATCGTCACTATGACTAGTTATTTTATTGCGATTCTGTCAGCAGCTACTTATTTACTGTTTAATATTTGGCAATGGTGGTTCTCTTGCTCCAATGCTAGTGTGTGCATCGATACAACTTTAGCGATACTGAAATTTATTTGGATTATTTGTTAATTCCTATTAATGAACATCTGATAATTTTTGCGTAGATACAAACAAACATATGTATACACACTTGTGCTCATCGACGCGTAAGAATATCACAGCATTGTTATTCAATGGAAGCACAAATAACTTTCTCTCTTTCGCAGTATCTCTCTGAGTGACACTCAACTTTTGCTAACTACTTTGGCAGCTTTTCATTTAGTTTTACAAACAGCAATTTTCATCATTTTCTGTTATACAAAGTAGTAATAGATTTCAGCCGCATCAGCTGTTGACACCGCACCGCACATTGAAGAGTCCACAAGCTACTGAAACAGAAAAACACTCATCACTAGCGTCAAGTTCGCAGCATATGCGACGAGCTTTTCGAAGAGCTTTCAAAAAACCTGTTGCTTGGTTAGTTGACGTAATATTAAGCTTTGGGTACGTGACCATAGCCAGCTGTGGAGGTGCATCGAGAGACCGGCCGGGTTGATGTTTACAATTCACCGATAAAAGAGCAATTGAACACCCAGCCGTATAACCATCGAATGACCAACAACCCATGCATATTGGGCTTGTCTGATACATACATACATACATACATACGTATGCAACCCTTTTAGGATGCTCTGATAGCTCCTAAGCAAAGTGATGCCTGCATTCTCGGGGCACCCCTTCCAAGGCACGCGGTTGAAAAACTTTTAGAAATTGCCGGACCTTGTCCAGTTTGAACGTGAGAATTTTTGATAGCGATGGTTTCCTAACCTTTGAGTTGGATCATAAGCAAATTAGCATATTTATATGCTAATGTCGACACTTTGACGGTAGCCAGTTGCGGTCTTGATTTAAAGAAATGTACGTTGAGAAATTCATGGAGAAATTGTCTGGAAGAAATTAATCTACCGAATATACCATGAATACATATGTACATACGTGTGTATGTAAGAATGAATGAACATAGGGGTGCAAGATGCAATTTGTAACGTGCTATGAGAGTTAAGGTAGCCACCCTTCTTAGGTTTGAAATAATTTAAAATTTAAATTTTAAATAGACACAGAAAGTTGCTTGCATATAAAATTTTGTGCACATGCATGGTTAAGAGCTCGTGAATTCACAAGGATAAGTAAAATATTTTACTATTGAAATATTCGATGTGTGGAGTAAAAAGGGCTTATTATTATTATTTATTATGCAGCAAAAAAGTAGACTGGGCACCAAGAACACAAGACACGATCAAGCGAGGTAGTCCCCCATCTAAGCCTTGACCAGGACCGAAAACGCTGAAGCATTCAGCGTGATGGCGTGGTGAAAAGTGAATTTTATGCTACATTTCAGTAGCTGAATTATAAATTATAGTGTTTTATAATTTTCACCAAGTGGCATTACTTAGCTTCTTAATTTTTAAAAATGAATAATGGCTGATGAAATTAACATTATTAAAATCGTCAATGCTAAAGTTGGAGGCAAGTTTTGCAAGTGCTTATGGGTGTGAAGCTGCATATCGCACATAAAAAATATTTAAAATGTATGTATAGTATATAGAAATAAATATAGTGACATAAATCTAGCAGATTCATTACGAACTTCTATAAGTAAAGAACAAATAGACTCTGAAAAATTAATAAATTAATATATATGAATGTAGTCACAACTTTTTCCAGTGTACTTTTTTATATAATTTTTTGTTCGTAGTTTTTGATGGGCTCATAACCCTAACGATAGTTTTTTTTTTGGTAGATATAAAATTTTTTGCCCACCACTGATATAAAGAAAATGTAGGTATAGATTACGAGTTCTTTTATATGTACTTACTACTACTACTGTACTACTACTTAACTGAAGTTTTTCCCTAATGTATATACATATGTATTTTAATGAACGCATTTCTTGGTTCATAATTCATAATAATATCTGTTATTAATTTTCACTCGATGTTATATAGTATTGCTTTATCTGAGCTGCCATTTTATAATTTTCTTGTACATACATATGTATTTATTATTGATTTAAAAAAAGGTTATGAAATTGTATATTTGGGCAATTACTTGGTGCTCTTGTAAACAAAAAATGGATCCAATTACCGAACAAAATGATCATTAGTCATGCCCAATTTATTAAGCCAATAAATATTGCTCATTTGTTATTTATAGCTTCGACAGTTAATGGCCAATTGGCAGCTTCCCCTATTCGCATCAATGCAAAACATATACAATTACATATGTACATACAAGTATGTATGTACATATGTGTGTTATTGTACTTTTGCTTTCAGTCGCTTTGAGTGAAAGTACATACTTGTATTTCAATATTGTTGCCTTTGTTGGTGGAGTACGGCTAAATAGTTTGGCCTCTTCTACTAACTTGCCAGCAAATCACTCTACGAGTGTACTTGTGTGTACGTACATATGTATGTATGTATGTCTTTGGGTGCTTAGATTGCTAAAAAAAACTGTGAGTTTTTTAAGCGTACATTTGTACATACATTACTCGTACATATACATATGTATTTGGTTGCATCTGAATGAGTTGGCGTGGCTCCGTGAAAGTGTTGCTTAAAAATGCATTACAATGCATAAACAATTAATAGTTGAAAGATACTTTAGTGTGTACTTATGCTTATACCACATACAAATGCACATACATATGTACATACATTTGTCTGTATTTGTGTACAGATGTGTGTGAATGTGCTTTTCTTAAGCGAGCATTTTTAACGCTTTAATTTGTGAGCCACAGCGTCGATTTTTTTGTGTTTGTCTGTTGTTTTTGTAGCATGCCACACACATTCATTTTGCATGTTTGCGCTTTATTTGTGAATTTCATTTTCGACAACTTTCTACCGTGAAATTATGTAAAGCGTATGAGTGTTTGGGGTGTGTATTGTAGGTGCGTGTCTATACATAATTACCCTCAAGTATTTGCAAGCTTATATAATCGGGCTAAAAAACTGCAGCCCAGCATTGTCTTGTTAACACCGCCTTAATTATGGAATCATATTTTAAATTGGCCCGCTACATACCATAGAGGCGGATTTCTGTTTGGCGAAGGCGCGATGATGCGCGGAAATCGGTTCACTAACCACACTTCCGGTGTCCATGTCGGGGGAATCACGAAGTGTCTGCGAAGTCTGTAATAAAAATATGGATATTATTTATGTGCCGTTATTTTTGTAATGTGGCAAGAAACTACAAGATTACAGATACATATGTATGCATGTATATAAGTACATACATCCATTCAATGTCACTACTGACAAGACAATAACAATTTTTTAGCACGCTTTAGTATTTTCTCAGCGGCCGATCAACTGCTCAGCTCTAAATGCAGCCAATTACAGCGGCATCTCCATTGGATCTACAACTTACTGGGCCTATGAGTCAACAGTCTTCAAACCTTACACACACAAGCACACATTTAAAAATCACTTTAATTTGCTTTACGGTCTGTTGCGCAAAAACAATTGCCGGTTGTCGCTCTCTGGGCTGTGCGGCCCCGAAGCGGTGTCTAATATTTTCGGTCCGCCAGATTTAACAACTCTGTCATGTTACCATTTTGTGCTACTGAGCCATTTTAATTAGCTTACTAGAATCTTTTCCATTAACATATGCACATTTAACAGGAACGTCTTTTGTTGGCACTTTTGACAAAACTATACCCTTTCCTCGAATCTAAATGAGCTGTAAAATGCGCTTCACAAACTGTCAAGTGCCGTTACGAAGCGTCAAAGCGATTGTTTTTGTAAAGGAATAAGCAAAGTCTGCCCTGCTGTGCCATAATTGTTGCACGCACTTGTTTTTGTTCACTTTCCGACTCCCACAGTGCGCAAGCCTAGACGTAACTTCGAGCTGCTCTTTGTACCCAGCCGCCACAACCAGCAAAAACAAAGAAGTGCATTCGATATGCAAATTTGTAATGTTGCTGTTGCTGTTGCTGTTGTTGCCATCTACACGACAGCATCTTTGATGCTGAGCTTGTAGCTGAATAGATGTGTGTATAGATTATATTACCTAATGCTCCGAGATTTCCTCCCATTTTCTTTTCACCCTTTTTTCTGCGCGTAACGGCCATAACATGGCCTCGGATATTTCTCAAATAGCGGAGAAACAAAGAGCCTCATTTATACATGACAATTGTCACAGATACTTTAGACATAGATACATACCACTACATAGCCATATACTTGTATCTACAAATACGTGTATGCTTGTACATATGTATGTGTGTATGCTGTGGTGGGGTTGTCGCTTATGTTCAGCGCTAAGAAAGTCGCCTTCGCCAACGACCATACCACGCTGAATACATCGGTTCTCGTCTGATCACCGAAATTAAGCAGCGTCGGGCGCGGTTAGTACTTAGATGGGGGACCGCTTGGGAACACCGCGTGTTGTTGGCATCTGTTTGTCCCAAACGCAAACTTCTTTTTTGCACATTTTTTTTTATACCTAATCTATTTTTTGCATATTACATTTAACCCCACACTTTTCGCTCGCAAACCAACTTAACGCCATGCATACCAATGCAATATTCTTTACTAAAAAGCGATATCCGTATTTCCTTTCAAGTACTTACCAAAATCAAATGGCAGATTCTATAAATATAGTCTCCACACTAATAACACTATTGATAAATTTAATAAGACTATCCGTTTGCTACACTCATTCATTAATACGTCTACAACTAATAAATTAACGAAACATTTTTTTACCACCAATACTATAGAGAGAAACTCTGCCAATTCCCATTTGTCTTAGCTACAAATAGCCCAAAATATAAGGTTGAAGATGATACATAAGAAGCAAACGTCAAAACGATTGATGAGCTCATCTTTTTGATTGCTGCGCGATCAAATTAAATATTTAAAAATTATTTGCACAATCCACGTACCCTACCAGCTGGTTCTTGTAATCAAAAACGGCTTATAGGTGTAAGATTTAATATAGTTATATTACAAGTTTTTTTTCTTGCCTAGTTTTCCTTGGCCATTAAATATTGTCTTAATTCTGTAAATATCAAAACTTGAAGCAAAAGCTAAAATAAATCAAATAAATATCTAAGGCTACTTTTATATTATTTGAATCGGCCTTAAAGTACAAATATACCTCTCAGAAGTAGGGGGACAAATAAATCAGGGACTAAAAATAAAAGCATGCTTAGGCTAACATTTTACCGAACTTTTTTAAAAAGGAATCATTAACTTATTAATGAATTAAGATAAGGATTTTTTTGTTGTTGGTTATGTTTTCCAATTAAAAATATATGTTTATACTACTATAATAAACCCTAGATAACATATACTAATTGGTTATTACTCTAATAGTCCCTAATCGGCACTCTAGAATTTATTTATGCTAATACTACTAACTTATGAAGTTGTTGAAAAAAGAAATTATAATAAGCACGTAATAAAAATTGGCCAAGAAACATTGCTTATAAATTTTACACAATTTTTAGGGGATATAGGGGAATACCTTAAAACTAAAAGTGTTAAAGGCGATTATCATTCATTTAACTACCAAAGTTAAGATAATGTTGTTGATAGTCTATAATCTTCTAAATAGTTTTTTTTTTTGATTAGGAATTTTAGACTTAAATTGTATCCATTTTGTTAATGTATCTCCGAATGTTCAGTAAACTTGTTCTCAAGGCTGTAGCTTTCAAGGTAGAGTGACAGAGTCATTAGTCTCGTGGACTAATTACCATGTTGACTGACTGGCTGGCACCATTTCTACAAAGTCTGCCTAGAACTCATCAGCTCAGCTCAGCTCAGCTCAGCTCGTGTGTCCCATCTACCTATTTTCTTGGGTGTAAGCTTTATAGTAGTTTGCGTGTTTGTTGCCGCAAAATGGAGCCATCGAGACAGACAGACAGACCGACAGAGAAACAAACAGGAACTACACGACATGTTAAGTTGAGATACCTGCCTACCTACAACAATGCATGTTGCCATCTATTGTTAAGAAATGTGTAATATGTGTGTGTGTGTGTGTCTAATGTGGGTCTATCATTAATCTAATTTCGCTCTAACGCCTAATTAGGCTCCCCAAGCGTGCGCATTGGAAAGAAGAAGAAGCGGCCTTTTTGTCTCTCTGATGGATGGATAGAGCTCGACAAGTATGAATGAAAAATTCGCACATGGTCCTCTCGCAGATACAATTGTGTGCACTTTGCTGAGCTTCGCCTAAGCACTTTACTAATGGTCTGAAATGAAACAATTTAGGCTGATTATGGGGCTTGCAACTGAAACTTTTGGAAAACGACACTGGTTGCTTGCTTGGTTGGATCGTTGGATGGTTGGCTGGTTGGATGGCTGAATGGATCGTTGCAGTGTCAGTTACAACGTGAGAGCGCCCGCAACTTTTTTGCACTAAAAGGCGACCATGCACCCGTGCTCAGGCAACCATGAAGATCATTCAACTATGTCTATGGGCTACGTGCATGCGAGTATGGTTGCCACCTATCGTGGCACGTACAATTTGCGTGCCTATCGCTGCTACCTCGAGAACTCAGTGGAAGCCGAAGTCGAAGTCGAAGGGTTGTTGGCCAAGTTGTGCGGCTTGGCAAGCAGAACAAATTCAATAACAAGTGCAAGACATCGCAACAGCCCTACAAACTGCGGGCTCCGCATTCTACTCTACATATACATACATACGCGTACGATAAATGTACATACATATAATACAGGTAGTATGTGTTCCAATGTGTACATGCTTCCCAGGCTTTGGCATGAGAGCGTCGAGGGCGTCGAGGTTGAACCGCTGAGGCGCAACCACCGAGTGTGTGGCTGATAATTACAACGACCGTGGTCGCGCCAAAAAAATAAAAATAAAAATAACACGGACAAAACTAGAGGCTATTGTGCTGACCCCAGGATTCTCTATACTGTTTGTCAATCCATACATACTTGTATATATATAAAATAGTCGATGCGAACTTAGAAAGTCTATGGAATATATTCTCAATTACTTATAAGACCTCGATGGGGAAGGATACTTTAAAGAATTATATTTTAAATTTTGAATTTTATTTAAACTACGGATCTCGTAAAATTGGTAGACTTATAATAGTTTCATTCCTAAATACCTCTAAAAAGAGAATCCGAGTACTTTGAACTGCAAAGATACAAAAATGTTATAGCTCGAATGAATAATGCAACATCCAAACATATAAATATTATTCAAAAAGAAGTGTACATTATTTTTTAGAGAACACATATTAATATTACAATAGAGTACTCATCCTCATTCAGATCTGAATAAGATTGAACTTGTTAGCATGGTTAGATTCATAAGAAGTACTGGTGGTTGAATTAATGGATATATGTTAATGTAGAGATTATATGGCAGCAGAATGGGTCTTCTTAGGCCTAAGTGGGAGGGTGAACAACATCACCCCGGCCATTGAAACCTAACCTAACCTAACTCATCCAAAAGACTTTTTTCCTTGAGACTAATTTTGTATTCCTTGGCAATAGAACTGACAACATTGTATTTTCTACTTGTTTTTACATAATCAAGAAATAAAAAAGGTATGTATATCAATAAAAATTCCTGGTTTTTTAAACGACTTTAAAAAAGGAGGAGTTTATCAATTTTTGTTTGTTTTTTTTTATTCGACTGGGTGAACCGATTTTGAAGTTTCTTTTTGTATTTGAAAGCTGAAGCGGGAAGCCCGTGTGGACCGATTTGAATTTGGTTCAGTACTGACAAAACCATATAATTCTTAAATCATACACAATTTTCATGGGTTTTGGGTTTAATGAGAAGACACCCGGTAGATGAGTGTCAAATTTAATTTGTTTACTTTTTAGTGCATATTTATTTGTGTTAGAATTGTTTGAAGTTTTTTTTTGTCTTAAAATTGTTATTTATATTTTATTTATTCTAAATAATGCGAAAAATTGAATTTAATAATTCTTTTTCTCTTTTTAATAAATTTATGTAAAGAACCGTATAGACTGTTTTGAAGTAGGGTGTCAATGGGTCCAATACATACATATTTGCCTAATTATTGAACCACCCTTGGTACAACCATAGTAAGTAGCTTAGAACTTTCATTCGCTTAGTGTTTTTATACATTTTTGAAAAAATGAACCACGACTGCAACCACAAGAAGAACAACTGAAGCGGC